ATTTATAACTAATAATGAAAAAAAGCAATCATTATGCTACCTGATTCATAAAATAAACACAACCCACTTGCTAAGGGTTGGATACAAATGAGGCAGAAACAAAGGAAAATCAATATGAGGCACTTTTTTTCTGTTAGTCAACATCAGAAAGAATGGTAATAAGCAGTGCGGTGGAGAATGTTGCAAAGCGTGGGAGTCTGCACTGTTTAGAGAACTCAGCAGTTTGATTGAGGAGTTTTGTCTCACAAAAGTGGGAAAGCGCACAGAGATAAAGATTTAAGGATAAATATTTTCGGAAAAATAAAGAATAATCTAAATATCTGTATAGTGAAAGTTCTTCATACAGTGGAAAGCTGAACAGCTATTAAAATTGCTAATGTTGATGTATATTTGTAGAGAAAAGTGAATGTTCATTATCTCTTGCCTTACAAGAAAATAAATTTCCGTTGAGCCATGATGGCTCAGTGAAAAAATGAATTCCAGTCTCCCTAGAATCCACTCTTGCTTAGATTTGTAAAAGTATATGAACTTCACATAGTTCTTTATATTTTATAATCTTATACACTGTGCCTCAGTATAATTAATTTAAGGAGAGAAGATAGAACAAAATCTGTCCAGAAACACAATATAATAGTTTTCTATTTTTTAATATTTCATTTTCTCAAAATTTTCCTTTGTTATGAATAAAACTTTATTAAATATGATAAATATGAATTAGATTCTGTCAGTCAAGCATAGCTATAAAACACTGAGCCTGACATCATAGATTTATGGTTAGGAGAAATCAGGATAATTTCCCCACATATATTTATTGTGCTGCTTTGGAGGTGACCCCGGGTATCAGCACAAGAGTGATCTGCAGTTTTCTATCAGGGTTCTCCAGTCGGTCTGTACATGCTGTACTGATGCTCTACCGGCTTGTTTGACCAAGGCGTCCTCTAGTGCTTTGGGGCGCCTTAGAGTTACAGAAACAGTCATGCTTTGACCTACCTGTGCACAATAAAACCACATTTCTGTGGACAGTCTTTGAGTGACTTCATCATTCCTATGAGGAGAAAGGGGCCCTCAATGAAAAATACATTAACCTGGTCCAGGATATAGCTCGGTGACACAAGCAGCTGCTAGGCAAGCGCAAAGCACAAGGTCCTGAATTCGATTCCTGGAACCCCCTTTCCCGGGCCCACCAGATGCATTAGCCTGAGACCCACTGTGTCATCAGAGGAGTAGCTCAGTAAATACAAATGCTCTGTGTATGCCCTGAACTCCATGAAGATGGAGTGGCCCCTCTTTAGGGAGCTTGCAATTGGGACAAACAAGCCCACCTGCACACACGCAGTAGTGCAGCGTGGTATGTTCTGGGAGTTTGGAGGCCAGAGATGGGAGCCTCTGTTTTCAGTGTCTTGCAGTATGAGTTACTGATAATGGCTGAACACTGAGCTTAAGGGATTCAGGACAGGCCGACTCAGCCCTGCCACTCACTAGCAATGAGTTCTTGGGGCTCTCAGTCACCTTACCAGTATTTTGTTTATAGTAGTCCTAAGGATTGAATTGAGGGCCTTCATGCTGAGTTACCTCCCTAGTCCTTTATTTTTATTTTTAATTTTGAGATAAGGTCTCATTAAGAAATTACAGTGCCCAATCTGTGATCCTCCTGCCTCAGCCTCCCAAAGTGCTAGGATAACAGGTGTGCTTAGCATACCTAGTTTATTAACCATAATTTATGCTTGTATTACTTGGGTGTTGTGAGGATTTGGCATATACTTAATGTGCATTGTAAGCAAGACAGTGGATAAAAATTATCTTCCTTCCCCTTAACAGCATAAATACAAGTTAAATTGGTCACTTCATGTTCTATTTGCAATAATTTGGACAGAGGCTAAATTGAATTTTTACTCTTATTTATTTATGTACTAGAGAATTCTTTGACTGAGTTATTTTTCTTGAAGTTTTAGAATATATATCTTTGTTTCTTTGATTTTCTTGTTTTTCTAATTAATCTTCACTTTAAAAGACCACATCTACCAAAGAAAAAGGCACATTGTCATTTGCTCTTGAAAGACCATAGGGCAGAAAAATCCTCATAATTCCAGCCTACTTAGCATCAGGAGCAGAAATCAGAAGTTTTACATTTCCCAGCCGGATATAGCAACAGATATAAATTCTAGATTTGCTTGATGACTTCAGGCTCGCTGCAGCAGGGTAAAAATCTCTTGGATCACATTGCTTCTCTGCATTTGAGTCATTTTAGCAGCTCAAGCTCTTCATTTTGGTCTGCTTTTTGTGCTGCTGTGAAATCATTCCTGGGATCGGATCATTTATAAAGAACGGACATGTGTCAACTAACAATTCTGGGGGCTGGGAAGTCCAAGATGAAGGGCCTGCATCTGTAGAGGGTCTCTTTGCTGCTTCATTACATGGCAGAAGGCACCACATGGTGAGCAGAAGAGGGTCCTACTCACTTTTACAACAAACCATTGTCTGTGATAATGACATTAGCCCATGATCTAATGTCTTTTGTGTTTTTGAGACAGGGTTTCAGTCTGCAGTTCAGGCTGACCTTGAACTCACTGTGTAGCCCAGACTAGCCAGCAGTCTTGCCTCTGTCTCCTAAGTGCTGGGATTATAGATGTGTACCACCACACCTGTATATTACCTAATGTCTTGTAAAGGCCCCACTTCTTACCACATTTGTGTTTGGGATTAAATTTCCAACAGATGAATTTGGGTGAACACTTCAAATATTTGTACATTTGCTTTGTTTCCAAGATACAGAATATGAATTGAAGTTGCAAATTATGATCAGGATGCTTGACCTAGCCTTACCCCATGCCCTCCTGGAGGCTGGTTAACCATTGTGGAAGATCAAACAGGATTGCTCCATTCAGCCATTGGTGCCAAGAAAGTCTTGCTTTTAGGATCCGTCTGAGTGGCACTTGGGTCTGATGGAGAACCAGTAATTTTAAGAAGCCCAGGCACAAGCTGAACTTGATTCTGCATCTTCTCTGAGACAAGGCTCAGCTTCAGACTCGTGGGCTGTGTTTTGGCATTGGGCTTAGGAATTCATGTGGAATAAGGAAGGTCCTTTGAGAAAAGAGGAGATAAAGATAGCTGTGTATGAAAGATCACGTGTCTGGACAATCAGATATTTTCTCAGTGAGCATAAGGCTGTTGAACATGACAACAACATAAAAGCAATTTTTAAACTTTATGTGTAGTGGATAATGTGATAATACCACATTCTCCAAGTGCTGGTATACGTATGTGCACAGATCTTTAGACAATCTTAAAAACAAACTATTTTAGAAAGACTCTTAAGATTACACACTTATTTTCAAACTCACATATTCCATCAATTTGCTTTGAAATCTCTAAGGTTTATTAGATGCTGTGCTAGATGCTTGAAGTTAGAGATACACAGTAATACAAATTTGTCATAATTTTTCCAGTCTTTTTTTAAATACTTAGTATCTGTAACATCCATTTTGTTATGTAAGAGTGCATGGCTCTCTGAACATGGCTTTTAAAAACATTACTCCACAATGGTTTATAATTCTAGTGTTTACTCATAAGTGTACTTTATTTACTTTTGTAATTTTAAATGTTGTGTGATACTTCATCTTAAAATAGTTATATTTTGCTTAATGTAACATACTTAAAGTAGATGGTGCTTACTCTGACTGTGATTTACAGTGTTGTAAATAATGTTGCCAAAGTGTCCTTGGTCAGGGCACTCCATGGGACTGTGTCTGTGGGCCAGATAAGTACTGCACCTAGAGGCTGGACACATAGCCTTTTATAGGTTTTTTCCTTCAGAATGGTAAGAACTGTTTTTTCTCCCACCAGCAGTTTATAAAAGATAATCATTTCTTCAACCCAGCAATACTCATTTTATCAAAATTTTAGTTTTTGGCAACCTATTGGTAGAAAATCTTATCTCGTTTTACTCTGACACATTGCAAAGAATCCCACAATCATGATACATCATAATATAGCAAAAGAGTGCTCAAATGAGAGCCGGCTTTGCATGAAAGAAAAATATACAGCCAGATGCTTATGATGTTATTTTCTAATGTAAAAGGCTTTTCAGATGTCATGTAGGATAAAATGATTAAACTGACTCATTCTTTCAACAAACATTTATTAAGCATTTGGTACCAGGCACTAGGATTACAAAGATAAAGAGATTATATCTGTGACATCAGGACACCCTCATTCCACTGGAGGAAACAGGGCGGGCTGCTGTAGATGCAGAATATAATGGAGAGTATAATCTTAATTCTTTTAAGGTCTCCAGTTCCGAAGGATAGTGAACACTGCTTCATATATTTAAAAAGCTTTTCACACCTTTACTCTTCTGCAGTATAATATGTGATAGCAGAACTTGTCGGCCCTCAGGGGGAGGTTCTTGGGACTCTGCAAGCCCAGCTTAAGTCATCACTCCACAGTGAACCATTCATTATATTGTCAGCACGTGGTGTCCATGCTTGGTGCTGAAGGTGCAAAGCAGTATGTGACACAGTGCTTGCCCATTGCAATCTCCAGATCCAGACAGGAGACAAGACAATTCATAATTAATGATTTTTTTTTTAGATACTAAATCCTAAGAGGAAATTAAAGCAAATTTGAACGGCCCGCTGACAGTGGAAAATAAACTTTAGTGCCTAGAGGGATGTCAAAGAGGAATGTGGAATAGAATCAGAAATTTATCCAGGTCCTGAGCTGTATATAGTTTAGAAGCAAAAATTAAATTGTAAGGTGGATGCAGTGGCATGTGCCTCTGCCCCAGCTACTCAGGAGGCTCAGATGGGAGGCCTGCATGAGCCCCAGAGCTTGATGCCAATCTGGGGAGTGGGGGAATGAAACTATATATATTAAATTCTTACTATGTAGCTGTATAGGTAGTAGGCATTAAATAAACTTTTGACACAGAGGAATGGGACCTGATAGACTGTTATTAATACAAATTATCCTCATTTTACTTTTTAATTTTTGTTTTCTAGGCCAAGAAGTGGTTTTCAAGTGCCTTGGGGAAGGGATTCTTGAAAAAGCCTTTCAGGGGTATAATGCTTGTATTTTTGCATATGGACAGACAGGTAAGGAATTACTTTTATTACTACAATCAATGACATTAAACATGATTTTTCTGCCACTTTTTCTTCCCCTTTTTTTTTGTCTTTTTCTCTCTGTCTCTATTTCATAAGCATGAGCTATACCATAGAGTTGCACCCCCAACCCTGAAGATACATTTCTTAAAGGTTAGAAATACACAAACATTTGAGAATCAACAGAAAATGCTTCTGACTTTGTAAGCTTAACTGAATTATATGATCAAAAGTAATCTTTTTTGAAGGTGCAATGGTTCTGACAGTTGAGTAATTTCAATGTTAATAAGCAAAGCTAGTTTCAAACTATGAAGTGCCATTTTCTTAATTGATAGTTTTAGTCTGTATTTGAACTAGAAAAATAATTACCACTTTCTCAGTATAACTGTTAAGATGAAAACTATGGAGGAACTCAGAATCATTCTGTACTGAGAACTTTTGCTAGGATAGACAAATGATGATGAGTTATTAAATCAAGGCTAGTGGAGCGATTGGTCAAAACAAGCAAAATAAAAGCTAGTAGTGGCTTAGGCATTAACATTCAGAGCACTGACATTTTTAAAGACGGGAATAAGTTAATCATGGTGGTGCTGCTCACATCACATCATACAGTAACTAGGAGAATCAAGTGAGGTAGTATGACGTGTTGTGCATGTAACAATAACATATTACTCTTGTTACTTAGTGTCCAGCTGGAATTTTACTGTGCATGCTTTTAAAGAATATGCATTTTTAGTGGTTGTGTTTGTATAGGTCCCTTTGTATCTGCTGAAGGGTCCTCAGCAAGTTGGAGGCCGTGTGATAAAAGAAGAGTGGCTCTGAGGTCCATGGTTCTAGGTTTGGGAGCCAAATTTGCACCTTTATTCTGTGTGACTTTGGCTGATGTATAAGGGCAACTTTTATGGTTGCAGTGTTGCATGTAGCTTCCTCTTCTGCCCTGTTTCTTTTTATTCTTTCCAGGTTCTGGAAAGTCCTTCTCCATGATGGGCCATGCGGAGCAGCTGGGCCTTATTCCCAGGCTGTGCTGTGCTTTATTTAAAAGGATCTCTTTGGAGCAGAATGAATCACAGACCTTTAAAGTTGAAGTATCCTACATGGAAATTTATAATGAGAAGGTTCGGGATCTTTTGGACCCCAAAGGGTAAGTTCATGATTGAAATTCAGTTGGTAAGTAGGGGTAATTATTTTATTTTATTTATTGTCTTTTTCCTTTTTATCAGTACCAGGGATCGAACTCACGACAGCCTGCTTGCAAGGCAGGCGCTTATGCCGCTGAGCTAAATCCCCAGCCCCAAGGGGTAATAATTTTAAATGATTCTAAAGTTAGAATGACAGGGGACTATATGGATGTGAGCCATTGGTCACTACTCTGGTGTCAGTGTATTTCCTGAGCCATCATCATCTCTCAAAGCTGATCAGTGTGCCCAGTGCATGTTAAGTTCACCCTATGGTCATTAATAGACCATATAATACATATGCCTTGTTAAGAAAATATTTTTACTACCAGTATAGTATTTTGCTATTATGGACTAGTCAAAAAATACGGAGTTACTGAGGACACACTGGTCTCTATTTGTATTGGAAAGTAGCACCTTTAAATGAAGGCAAAGTGGTTGAAGAACTGAAACCACCACCCTTCTTTGGGGTGCACTGGAGACACATGGGGAGCTATTTGAGGGTTCCCTGGCTTCAGCTCCACCCATACAGGATGATTCAGTTGGCCCAGGATAAAACCCAGGCATCTGTGTATTTTTTAAACTAAATCATAAAAACCAGATGAATTTGAGTCATAGAGGAAGGACAGGCATTTACTTCTTTTCCAGATTTTAAAAAAAGTGGTTTTTTGCGGCTTTTTTTTTTAAATAGGGTCCCGCTATGCAATTCAGGCTGGCCTTGAGCTAATTACCCCAGGCTGGTCTCAAACTCACAATGATCCTCCTGCCTCAGCCTCCTGAGTGCTGTAATTATAGGTGTGAGCCACCATGCCCAGCCTGTACTGTTTTTAAAAGTAATATATATTTGTAGAAAATTTAGAAAAGAGATAGCATAAAAAGAAATGAATGTGGCTTTTTAATCTTTCCACTGAAAAATAACCTCTGCTAATACTCTGATGCATTGGAATCCTGTGTTTCAGATATGTGTTATGTGTGTACATGCTCCCATTTTGTTTTGGTTTGGGTTTTTTGGTACTGGAGATCAAATTCATGACCTTTTATACTTGCCAGGTAGCTGCTTGTGCCACCAAGCTAAACCCCTGGCTCCCCATGCTCACATTTTAAAACCATACTAAAACATGGTTCAGTCTCCTGAATTTACCATATAACATGATAAATATTAAAATTATGAATGTATTAAAATTCATTTTAAATTATTGTAGCAGCTGTATGTTACATAACACTTGACCATTTATAAGTGCACATGTTGGATGAAATCAAAGGTTAAGACAGAAATTATAGATGTCAAGAAGGTGATGATCATAGATGTTTGTATTTATTTAAAGAGCTACTGCTTAATGCATACAAAAGAACATTTACAACACTATAAGGTATAAAGAATGATAAAATCAATAACTGCCTTAGCTTAATAAATGGAACTTAACCAGTATTTTTTAAGCTTCCTATGTGTTCCCCTTTTCCTACCTTTCCCCAGAGTAGCAGTTTCATGTTTATCATTGTCTTTTCTATTTCTAGCACCTACACGTAATTTCACGCAGTTTTTATGTTTATGCAATAACATCATACTCTACGTATGGTAGAGTTTTCTTTTTTTCAGCATAATGTTTTATTCATTCCTATTTCTAAAGTAGAATCCCAGCACTCAGGAGGCTGAGGCTTGAGGATTGCTGTGAGTTCAAAGCCAGTGAGCCTTTGTCTCAAAGAAAACAAAACAAACAAAAAAAGTAGTAATACATTAATTTTACTACTGTTTAATATTCCACTGTCTGATTGTACCATAGTTTATCTCTTCCCTTGTTGCTTACATGGTTTCTACTTTTCGCTGTTAAAGAGCTGCTCCCTGAGCATTGTGCAGGCCTGCAGGAGTTTGTAGGGGATACACCTGGAGAGATTGTCACAAGATGCTGCTACACCAGTTTACAGTCTCAGTAGCTGTGTACAAGAATTCCAGATGTCAGACACCATCACAGACTCTTTTTTGGTACTGGGAATTGAACTCACGACCTCACACTTGCCAAGCTATATGTCTGGGCCATCACACTCTTAATATTGTGCTAGATGTACTTGTCTTGTGACTAAATAGTATCAAAGAATCCCTGGTTGTGTAAGTGGAGTGCACAAGGGCTGGATCATGTGTATCACTGTAGCTGTCTTAAAGATGAGCACTGTAGTCTGTCCTGGCCTAGAGTCCAACTGAATTACTCATGTCACATTGAATTCTTCATCCTTAAATGTAGTAACACCTACTTTGTCATGCTGCTGTAAGATTACATGGAATAACTGCATAGTGCTTTGGAAATAGTGCCAGGGCCTTGGGAAACACTATTCTCAGTTCATCTTTTCCATACTTGAGTGATACCAGACATTGACTCTTAACTTGAAAAATAATTAATGTTCAGTGCCGTGAGAAAGCGGTCATACCTGATATGGTGAACATTAAGTGTATATAGCTTTACTCTTAATCTCAACTGTCGGTTGATAAACTCTTCAAATAAGTCCCAAACCAGAACTGCCACTTAAAAATTCAATAGAGCTCTAAAATCTTCACCAGCAGAGCCAATTCTAAGTAGGGGATTAATGTCAGTGGCTGCAGGCTGTCCTGTACTATGATTTCACTGTACAAAATTGTCAACACAGAAGCAGCATAAATCCATGTACCTTGAAGAAATAAATTAAAATTTAAAACATTTTAGCATTGTTCAGCATTTATTCAGAAATTTTAAGACATTACTTATTGAGAATGTGTCTTTAGGTTTCTCCCCTCTCCCTCTCCCACCCCTTCCCTTCTATCCCCCCTCCCTCCCCTCTCTCCCTCCCCCTCTCCCTCTCCCTCTCATTTCCTTTCTGTTTAACTGAAGCTCACCCACCTAACATCAGTTAGTGTAAGCTGGTTCTGTGTGCCAGCTGTTTAGTTTGGGACTAAAGATAGAGCAAATATATATGTGTATGTTTTGTTTTTCTTTTGAGATAGGGTCTCACTGTGTGGTCCTGGTTGGCCCTGAACTCGCTGTATACCTCAGGCTGGCCTCGAACTTACGGTGATCGTCTGTTTCCACCTCCCAAGTGCTGGGTCTACAGGCATGTGCCACCATGCCCAGCCAAAAAATTTTAAAATAGTACATTACTTTAAATAGAAATGAAAGTATAAAAGATGTTTCTTATATGGAATGCTGGTTTGCTAATCCAAATAAAGTAACTTTTAAAATATTTATTCTAATTATTTAAAAAATTCTTTTTTGAAATTTTAATCTTAGCTTATGAGTATTTTAAAAGGAAGAAAAAGTTCCAACTTTGGTCTGATTCATTCATTCCTTTTTTTCTCTCTCCTAAAGGAGTAGACAGTCTCTTAAAGTTCGAGAGCATAAAGTATTGGGACCATATGTAGATGGTTTATCTCAGCTGGCTGTCACTAGTTTTGAGGTAAGTGTCGTTTTTAAAAAATTATCATTGAAAACCTGGCATTAGATCAGAATTGATTAGCACATCAGCACACTCCAGAGAGCAAGGGTATCTGTCACACTTGCCAAGCTGGCTTGTTGTGAAGGTTTCACTCTGTGGCCAGAACATCTCAACCCTTTGAAGTTGCTGAGTATTTTTACTGATACTATTCTGTTGAAACTGTTCTCCCTGTTGCTGCCAGTGACATCTTTCTAGACAAATGTGGTAGTCTAAACAGTAGTATTTGAGAGTTAATCCAACCTCATCTTGTTGACAAGTTTCTCCTGCCTTCCGTTCTATCACTTTTCACACTTCTGGCTCTTGTTTTTTTGAATCGGTCTTCTCTCTATGGACTTGCTGTTTCCTGCTCCTCGACTTGAATGTCTAGACTCAGTTTTCTGCTCTTATTTCTATAATCATGGCTTTGAAAACCTCATAACACAAGCTGCTGTCTGTGATGCTGAAGAATGTAAACGAATGCACGAATGAACACATGAATGCCTATGTTTACTTTTGCTCTCTGAGGGATATGGCCAATCCATTACCACCTCAGGCTTAGACTAAAGTAATCTGTGAGTCAACTCTCTCCAGCTATAAATGAAGACATCCATAGTATTTCTCAAATTAGGAATAATTAAAAATAAGGCACAGTCATCATTTTAGAATGAGCAGAACCCTTTTTGACCTAAAGATCCTAAGTTAGGACCTTCACTAAGGAGCCAGGTTCTTAGCCCACTGTCACCGGGATCATTGTGTGTATCATCCTGTCACTTATTAGTTAGAACCAGTGAATTCTTAATCAACATGCTAGTTCTACCTCATCCTAGATGTGGAGAAAGTTATCTGACTTCCATGAATGTGTCAGCATCTTTGTATGTAAAAGCAGAAAAATATTCCTTCCCTGAGGTTCATTCAGCAAGCATTTCGTAAGAGCCCATGCATTCCAGGTGTGTGTGAGGAGCAAGTGTCCACACATGCTGGAGGGACAGCGCCTTCCTTTGGAAAGCCACAGTATTGGGTAAAGAAGCAGGTAAACAAGTAGGAAGCAGCTGTATCAGGTCAATAAGCAGAGGGAAGTTAGGATTAAAGAAGATGACTGCTGCTACTGGGTGTCTGGAGTGTTCAGGAAGTACTAGCTGTCCTTGGAACGTACAGAGGAGAAAGTCGGGTCTTAATAGGGAAAGAAACCATCTGGCCGGTGGGAAGAATGGGAGACTGTTTCATATACTGGAAAACCCTGAAGAGGTGGAAAGTCAGCTGTACTCTGTGGGGAAGAGGCAGGGGGTTTATGGTAGGGTGACAGAGGGTCAGAGGGATCATACTGCACACTCACACACCTTGGGTGCAAGCCTGTGTCCTTGTGTTTTTGTTTATGGTATTTTCCCTGATGCTTTGCCCCCAGGATATTGAGTCGTTGATGTCTGAGGGAAATAAGTCTCGAACAGTAGCTGCAACCAACATGAATGAAGAAAGCAGCCGCTCCCATGCTGTGTTCAACATCATCATCACACAGACGCTGTATGACCTGCAGTCTGGGGTGAGGGACAAGGCAGAATGTCAGGACGGGGGGAACCCACAGTGTGCACAGCTGGGGGGGGGGTGCGGGGATGGGGTGGGTATGGGGGGGTGTCACAGTTGCATTTGCTAGCTGGAATTTTGTGTTGACCTACTGGGGCAGCTGCTTTGCCTAAATCATTTACTTGTTTAGGTCTTCTTTTTGTATGTTTTTTTTTAAAAACTGGATTTTGTGTGCAAGCTCCCCAGACAAAATCACCATGCAGCTTTTAACATGTATCCTTTCACACTGAAATTGACTTAAAACCTTCTAGGTCTACTGCATGGGTATTGAGGTATATTAAAGAGGAAACCATGACAGCCTAAAAACCTATATTTCAAAAGAAGTAATTGACCCAAACATGCAGGAACCCTTGTATCCTGAAGTCTCAGACACATCAGGCTCCAGCTCTTGGCTGTATTTTGGAAAACTGGAGGTGCTTCCTGCCTCACTTCAGTATAAAGTATGGCATTCTATACCAGTTTATATTTGAAATGAAAATCTTTGGACTCTTTAAGATCTTGAAAAATTTGCTGTGTTGGAATGGGATGGACTGTGAGGTTACTCTCAGTCATGGTGCCCATGCGTATACAGATACCATACAATATTTGCATTAACGTGTGTCGTTTCTCTCTAGAACTCAGGAGAGAAGGTCAGCAAGGTCAGCTTGGTAGACCTGGCGGGTAGCGAAAGAGTATCTAAAACTGGAGCTGCGGGCGAACGACTAAAAGAAGGCAGTAACATTAACAAGTAAGGTTATCCTGGCTGGTTCTCCGGCCCTGACTCCCCTACACAACTCCCCCCCCCCTTTTTTTTTTGGCTCTCAGCATTCAAACCCTGGACATTCCATGTGGTAGGCAAAGGTTTTACCACTAAGCTACACCCTAGCCACATCCATCCATCTACTCACTTTATCTATCTATCTATCTATCTATCTATCTATCTATCTATCTATCATGTTAGTGGTGAATCAGCGCAGGTCCTCATACAGAGCTACGTCCCCAGGCCTTTTTTAATTTACTGTTTTGAAACAGGGTCTCCCTAAGTCACTGAATTGCTCAGACTGAGATTTAATTTGCAGTCCTTCTGTCTTTGCTTCCCAGAGTACTGGGATTATAGGTGTTTACCAACACGCTCAGCTTATCCTGGCCTCTCTTGTGGTTTAGGGAGAAATTCGTTGCATTATGATTGACGATTCTGATGCAAGGTTGTTCACAGTATTGTAGCTTTAGTAAAGTGAGCTTTAAAAAAAAGGCTGCCTCTGAGCAGATGCTCGAGGTTTACTAAGTAGCCCTGTTCCCCTAATGGTACAAACACTTAGGGATACCATCATACTTACAGATGGTCGCTGACATAGGATAGTTGGGCATAGGATTGTTTGACATTACAGTGGTTTGAAGGCAAAGTGCATCAGTAGAACCTGTACTTCACATGTTAGACTTAGATCTCTGCCTGGGTTAGCAACATATGGTCTGGTCCTCTCTTCCGATAATCGCGAGTCGCAGCAACGACAGCTCCCAATCAGCAACTGTGTCAAGGAGGAAAGAAGCAATAATCTAAAGTGTATTGTGTGGTAAAGTTAGGATATTTGGAAGTTTGGGTGTGTTACATGTGTTTTCAGTTTAGGGTGAGTTTATGAAGACTGCATAAGCCGAGGAACATCTGTAATAAAATCTTAGATAAAATTCAGATCTCATCTTCATTAACTTTGGGAGCTCATTCTCAATGGAAAATGAGGTTTAAGTCTTCTCATAAGGCTAATACTGTGTTAGAAAAATTTAACACTGGGTGGATAACTGCTATCCTGGAGTCTTGCCGTTTGGCATGAGTGCCTAGATGTGCCCAGTGCTGCAGCACAGGCTGGAAGAAGGCAGAGAGGGAAAAGATGCCAGCAAAACGCAAAAGATACAGGTGTTCCTTATAGAAGGTTCTGCAGAGCTGCAGAGGTCATATGTGCATTGTCCCCACAAATCCCTCTGCTTTTCAATTGAAGGTAGAGCAGTTTGTATTTCAAAGTTTATGCTCAGGCCAGACTGGATTTTACCCTGAATCTACCAGTTACTCTGTGTGTATGTCAGGAGCAGGAAATTTAACCAGTTTGTACCATATTTTCTCATCTGTAAAATAGACATCATTTACAGCTGAGACATATCTCATCTGTAAAATAGACACATATTCTGTTTCATAGAATTGAGGATTAAGTGCTAGCATGTGCTTAGAACAATGCCTGGATTGCAGTAGACACAAATGTTAACTGTTATAGCTATGTTTTTACAGATTGGCATAATCACTGTTATCATGTCAAGTTCCACTGAAAGTAGTTTTAGTCTGTTTGTGACTGTTTTCTGCTGAGCATAGTAATTTGGGATTTTGCTTAGAACAGAATTTGAGAAGAGGAAATATATGCAGTGCCATGGTTTGTGTAGCTTGCACCTTAAAGTGATACTGGCACAGTACAATTTTAGCATATAAAATTTTAAAAATTAGAACTAAAACATTGTTCCTGTGTTAGACAGAAATAGCTCACTCTCTGGGAGAGACTGCTACTTGAGGGCCTTAATCTTCCAGTCAGCCTGTCTCCTGCTCTAATAACAAGGGATTTTGCTACATTTCATGACAAGGCCTTGCAGGATCCCAGCTGGCACTGCAGTTCTGTTCCACAGTGAGCTCAAGAAGAGGACAGGATGTAGAAATGAGAGTGTGAGGGAGCAGATACCAAAGAAAAGATTGTCACTTTTCCTAGAGATTCATTTCAAGTGCTGAGCCTTGCCATCCGTTGACCTACTGGGTGGGCTTGTGGGGTGACATGGGAAAGACTGAGCTGTGGACTTGGAAAGTGTTAGAGTGCATGTGTATGTCTGGCCTTGATGTAGGATGACAGTGACTTTGACTCAATTCTTGCTAGTCCTCTGAATGCTCACTGAAGTACAGCAGAAATTTAGTCCACAAATGCTTTTGCTCACAAACAATTTGGTTCGCAAACAAGTGTTCGGGAAATTTTTGTTTTTGTTTGCGAACTCTGCATCAGGTGACACACAGGACCACAGCCATCTTTCCCACACAAACATGAACATGGCCAGCTTTTCCAGCGTCATGGAATTACGTTCACGGATCGAGGGACCACTGTAATGACACATGGATCTTCCTCTCAGCATTGTGAGACGTATCTTCACTCCTCATTGTGTAGATGAGAAAACCTAAGCAAACAAAGTTACATGTGTCTCAGGTCGCCAGGCTCTCAGTGCAGTTCTTGGCTTGGACTATACACAAGCTCCAGGGTCCTGACCCCACCACCCTGTTACAGTTGGTGTGCCAAACATTCCATTTGCCTGGAAGGGCCTGGTTGATACTTTTGCCTCAGGGCAAATATTAATAGTGCCCCTTAAATTCGTACGCTAACTTATGTGACTACTTCAAGTTATGTGACAACATTTAGGTCTTCTAGCAACTGGCTTTTTTGTATAACAACTTGTTGAACTAAAGGGGATTTTCTCAGCGTAAGTCATTCCTAAGTTTCACTCTAAGTCTTTCACATATGGGTCTGTGTATTACTTACTGCAGTCTGTGAACTAGGTAGGACTTTAGTTTTAGTGCATTTAATAGCTTTCAGAACATTTTTATATGCTTTATTTCATGGGGGGGCTCAGAAGAGGTATTTTTATCTGTATTTTGAAGGTGAAAAACTGAAACGGGAATATAACATGTATGAAAGGCCATCACAGCTTTCTTAAACTTCTAGTATGTGTCTGATGCTGAATTAGATGCTGCGGTTCACAAAGAATTAAGGGATAGGAAGGGTAACACCTCCCATCCCCAAATATATCTTTATTCTCATTTCCAAACCCTGTGTTCTTTACAAGGCAAAGAGACTTTACCGTTTTAGTTTTAGTTAAACCAATGATGTCGAGATGGGAAGATTATCTAAGCAGGCCTGTGTAGTCACAGGTCATTTACAAATAAAAGAAGGAAGTAGTGGAGGTAGAGACCTAGTGAAGCAGAGAGGAAAAGACTTGAGTGGACACTACTCAAAGATAATGGTGGGAGTGTGAGCCAAGGCAAGGAAAAATGGGACATAGAAGGCCACCAGAGCCTTCAGAAGGTTGCAGTCCTGCTGACACCTGGAGTCATTCTGTGATTCCAACCCCCACAGAGCTGCAAGGGTGGGAGCATTTTCCTAGTTCAGTAGTTCAAGAGCTTCACTCACACAAGCCTGCCTCATCTGTCTCTACCTTTATAGCCTTCACCTGCATACTGCCCACCATTGATGTGTTAGTACGAGCACTGCCTAGGATTCCTGAACTTACTAACAGCCTAAGTATTGTGAACTTCAAGGCACAGATTGGCCCAGGGATTTCAGAAAAGAGATATGAACTTGCTGTTTTGATCCAGTTTAGCAAATGTGTACTGAACACTGACTAGGTATAAGAACAGAGCGAGAGGTAGAGTGGGCCATTGGCAGTGGGAAGACCCGAGGGCCAGTTGTACTAAAACCCAAATGCACAGAAGTTTGGATGGAGCAGAAGGAGTACAGGGAGGGATGATTAACACAGCTTTGGCGGGGGGAGGAGGGGCACAGTCCAGAGCAGACACTGCAGTATTCCAGTTCTGTAAGTGTGACCTTATTTCTTCATCAGTAAAATGTAATGAGGAAACTACCCCACAAGTACAGTTGTTTTGAAAATTAAACTATAGTTTTTGTGAAGTACTTAGAATATTGTGTGGCACATAGAAAACTATATATGCATATTATAAGCATATTAATAAAATAAAAAGTCAAAAACTACTAATAATTCCACAAATGACTTTCTAAGCTTTGTAATTGGTGCCCAGTTAAGTTCTAGAACAGAAGCAGTCTCTGACATGTTTCCTAAGCTTTCCTGCCTCCTTGGGCTTATTTGGTGGTGCATTGGTAATCCTCTTAAACAGACCTGTCAGGGACTCCATACAGACATCAATGTCTGCTTAATGGGCTGTGGATTTAGGGACTTCATCTCTCCTGAAGCTCTTAAGAGCTTATAGTATACCTTATTCCTTCATCCAAAAAGCTAAGATGCTGTGCGCAGGTTTGGGGCACAGGTCTTCTGTGGACCATATTCACAGGGACACCCAGTGTCTAAGGGAAGATGGAGGCGGGGGTCATTCCTGCCTCTGGCGTCTGGCTGCTTCAGCTTCCTTAGGAACTCACGTAGGTCCTGAAAACTGTAATGTCCTGAACTTTGAAAGTGCTTCCATTTTATCGCAGGGACTTGCAGTCACTAAATGCAAATGAGAGGCATCCAATGACTGTCATTCCCAGCCACATTTCCATTTCAATTGCTGTGGTTAAATAAAGTATATAATTGCCATTCCCCCCAAGTGGGTCCTTCTGAGTACTTGTTCCAGAAATATGCATACCTGTTACTTCTAGGACTATGTCATAAAATTTGATTTAATAACTTACAAGCTTTCTGTATTTAACAGTTTATGGGACTCAGTCTCCCACCCCTTTTCCTTCTTGAACGTTTTTCATGGCTCCTTTGTTTATTTCCTTTCAGAAATCTCACTTTATATCCCAAATGACCAAACATGAATTTGTATCCAAGGTCTGTGAACACAGCCTGCTTCTATCCGATACTCAAGGGTGGGGGCTCTTGGTAATTTACAACTAGCACATTGCAATGTCAAAGCATATTGGGGAAGAAAGATGTCTTTGTGTTTAGCATGAGGGAACCAGAAAAGACAGCGACAATCTCCTTGGGTCATAATAGTCAGGTCTTTTGGGGGAATGTGACACAGTTTCTCCACTGTTTCTTAAAAATTTCTAGGAAGTATTCTTTGGGTGGCTCTTGGAAGAAATACTTATAAAACTTCCTTTGGAGAGTTATAATGATAAAAGCTTCAAGAAGTTCTTCAGGAATGAGTCCTAGTTAACTTTAGGTCATCATTCCCTAAACTTATTTGATGACAGAATTCTAGATGTAATGTGTGTTAAGATCCCCATAACAAGTGTTTGGTTAAACCCAGTTTTGGAAATGTTTATATGTAGTTTATTGTCTTGTCACAGCTGTTGAATGTAAATGATATTGAGAATGATACTCAGTAGATAAATATTGAGTTTGATGATTAAGTACTGGGAAACACTATATAAGGTAATGGCACTCATGCTATAGGCATAACTATTTTCTTTTCTTGGCAATTATTTGATGGTGCTATGGTTTCCTTACAATTTCTAACCCATATGCTTTTGCATCTCTACTCTTAAGAGTCAGAGCTTCCTCGCCGGGCGTGTTGGCTCACGCCTGTAATCCCAGCACTCGGGAGGCTGAGGCAGGAGGATCTCTGCGAGTTCGAGACCAGCCTAGGCTACAAAATGAGCTCAAGGCCAGCCTGAACTGCATAGCGAGACACTGTCTCAAAAAGACAAAAAAAGGGGGCTGGGGATTTAGCTCAACGGCATAAGCGACCAAAAAAAAAAAAAAAAAAGAGTAGGAGCTTCCTGGGGAGAACGTTCAACTTGAATGTTAAACTCAAATCCACTTATTTTGTTGTGTTCACCTTATTCTTTAAAAGTCAAGGATTGCTTTCTGCTGTAGGGAACAAAAACCAGTTACACTGACAATGAAGTGACTGGTTATCTCATTTAACAAAAAGTGTGGAGGCCAATACAGCACCTCAGAAATGCCCGCAGTTTCACCAATCTAAAAGTCCTTATAATCTCAAGATGGCTCTACCATTTTAGATATTGTATCCATATCTATGGTCTAAGCAAGAGGAAGGCAGAAGGAGAAAGAGCACAGCCTTCTGTGGTCTGAACAAAAGTTTTAATCAGGAGAACAGTAGCCTTCTTGGAAGCCTTTCCCAGTAATGTCTGCCTGCAGCTCCTTGGCCAGAGCTATGTTTCACAGCTACCCAAAGCTGCAAAGGACTTGGAGAAGGGACTTTTTAGCTGAGTATATTGCTTCCCAGTAAAACCAGAGTTCTGTTAGCAATTCACATACAGTGTGTCCCCAAAGAATCACTGAGTCAGCCCCTTAGAAGCAACGGTACATGTTCTATTCTCTAGTGGGTTCTGGACTTAGATGAACTCAGTACTGTAGATATTTACTTAGTAACCTCCCTAAGTCAGGACAGGAATTGCGTGCAGGAATGTGTATAGCAGTGTATGGTTTCTGCCCTCAAGGTGGTCATAGTCTAAGTGGACAGATTCAGATGTACAGAGTCTTTGTATACATGCAAGTTTAGAAAGTACTATGTATATGATCTATAAGAGACAGATCATTAAAAAAAGGTAAAATACATTTGAAATCCATCTGAAACAATACAAGTAGCTCACATCACATCTTGTCTGTTCCCAAGGGAGAAATTTGATGGTTAAAGTTAACAAAAGAAACTTTTAAGGTTGAGTAAAGGTACACAAAATGAAAAGAAAGATTGAATACTAACTCAGTTTTTTTCCTTATTGATTGTATTTACTGGTGCAACTTTTATTTTGTGTTTTATTCTCCCAAGTTTCATGTACTTTCTTTTTGATCCTGAATTCTCCCTTATTGTAGATAAGTAAGTTTAACATTTTTTTTTTCCTACCTTAAAATACTGTGGGCTATGGGTATAGCTCAGTGATAGAGTGCCTACTTACTAATATGCACAGGCCCTGAATTCACCCCCAGCATCACCAAAGCATAAAACAAAACTTGGCTATCTGTTTATAAATATCTCTTCTTTCCTCTCCAGTCAGCCCCTCCCCCGACCCCACCCTGCCCAAGAATTTGTGGTGAGAGATTTAAAGATTAAGGCCTTCCTGTGTCCAAGTCCAGCAGCTCCAGGGGAGGAGCAACACTTTTGTAGAATTAGAAAGATTCCTTAGATAACGTTTTCTGTCTCTAAAATTGGCAAACAACTGCCACCCTGTTCCATATCATTGTGAGGCCAACTGGCTGCCCTAGTCTCTGCTTAGGAAGACGTTTCTAGCAAGATTTCAGAATTAATGTTTTGGTTATACTTTAAGGCTCTCTGGCAGTAAAATTCTCAGTAAAATAAGCATGTTGTTGAACTTTCAGATGTTAAAATTTAGTTTTAGGGATTCTAGATCATTGCTTCTGGGTGGAACCTGGAAGGGCAGGAAGGTGTGGGTGAACTATTACCTCTCACTGGGAAGCTCAGTTACCTGGGGTTCTTTTTATTTTGGTTACAAGGAGATGGTAATAGGGTTACATAAAGCTCTTGTTTTGAATGTTCTCATGCTGTTAATAAGGTAAAAAGGAATGACTTCTAATAATAGATTTCTGGATAAATTATACAGCAAATTATAGTTGACTGTTCACATCCATGGCAGATCCAACCACTGTAGATTAAAAATGTGAAGGGGTTACATCTCTACCGAGTGTGTACACACTTTTCATTGTAATTATTCCCTAAATAATCTAGTATAACAACTATTTACATAACATTTACACTATATTAGTTATTACACTTGATGTAAAGCATATGGGAGAATGGATGCAGCTTATATTCATATTCTAAGCCCTTTTATGTAAGAGACTTGAGCATCCACAGATTTGCTCTCTCCTGATACTGAGGAATGTTTTCTGATACTGAGGAATGATCATACACATGGAAGCTAGAGTTGTGTAACTGTTTCTGTACAACCTCACCACTTTGCTGCTAGTGCTGTTAAAGAAGAACTATTAAAGAGTCCATTGTTTTAGACTAAGCTCCTGTTCCGGCTCCAACTGATTAGACTGAAAATCAAAATGGAATCAGTCATGCTAAAGTTTCAAATCACTAAGATGACACTAGTCAGATTATGTGACCGTCTAAGAAATTAGAAGGCATTAAATATGTAAGAACTAACTTTCCCAAACAGACCAGTTTCGATTGTCATGACAGCGATCTTTCTTCTGCCTTTGTACTTAACCAAGAAAGGGTAGCAGTAACCCAGTGTTAACTAGTTATTTTCTTATTCTCTTTCTCTGTACCTGCCTTATGAGAAAAATAACTTTGAAGTGACAAAACCTTTCTAGTTCTGCTTTTTTAAAAATTTATTTATTTATTTTGTCTGTTTGAGACAGGGTCTCACCATGCAGTTCAGGCTGGCCTTGAGCTCATTTTGTAACCCAGGCTGGTCTCAAACTCACAGTGATCCTCCTGCCTCAGCCTCCCAAGTGCTGGGATTATAAATGTGTACTATCACACCCAATTTAGTTTGTATCAATTAAAATTATTTCTGCTACATTTCCTAGTAAAATACCTAAGATAATTTTAAGTTCTTTAAGAACTGTTTGTAATTGTAAACTGGTGTTTCAGCACCTGCAAAATGTTAACAAAAAAATGCCCTATATGCAGAGTACAGGGCTTCATGCCTGTAATCCCAGCAATCAGGAGGCTGAGGCAGGAGGTTCAGAAGTTCAAGGCCAGCTTGTGACCCCGTTTTTAAAAAATTTAAAATTCTTTTTTTAAAAGAAGGCACTGCCAAAATGCAGATTGCTGGTCCCGTGTAAGTTTTTCACTAAATAGGCCTGGGAAATGGCCTGAGGTTTTGTTTCTAACAGAGTTTCCGAGTGATTATAATGCTGCTGCTGTTGCTCCCAGGCCCACACTTTGAAAATGTAAACCTACATAACTCACTGTATGTATGGTTCACCTGGAGCTCTCAAACTTTAGCATGTGTGTGTACGCATCCCCTGGGGATGACTCAGTAGGACCAGGAAGGCTTTCAGGGTTTCTTGATTGGCTCCAAAGTAGCATCCTACAACTTTGGTCAGCTGGGGCTGGAAGAGAAGCTGTGTGCTGCCCTCTGTCTGGATAATTCTTTGTTTTTGTACAACTATAATAACCCTACAGCGAAAAAAAAAAAAAAAAAAGAAAAAAAAAAAATAACCCTACAGCGAATAAATGTTGACAGCTTTAAGCAGATGTATAAGCTATATCCTGTGTAGTGGAAGGATGCTATGCAGGTTGTATAGCTATTCTGGGAAACAAAGCCTGAGGCCAAAATAGTCTAAATTAGACCTAAAGAGCCTATGGCTTGGGCTTTTAACTTAATTTGGAGTGAATTAAAATTTTCTAGTGTGATCCTTTAAGTACATGTTTACAGTTTGTAAAATGTAAGTTTCAGAGATCCTGTGCTTGACTACAGTGTTTTCTTACAGGAATTTTAGATTCATTATTTTTGTGTTATTTGTTCTTGTTGTTGTTGTTCAGCTTCTTGACAAATTAATGGAGAACTGATTTGTTAATGTTTGGTCCTTATTGTTCTGCATGTTTTATACTTGTTACCTAGAAGAATTACTGTTTTATGGAAATAAAATAAATATCCAGTATAACTAATTTTTCATTTTTTTTACTGGCAGATCACTTACAACCTTGGGGCTGGTTATATCCTCATTGGCTGACCAGGCAGCTGGCAAGGGTAAAAACAAATTTGTGCCTTATCGAGATTCCGTCCTCACTTGGCTTCTTAAGGTAATTCATTGCTCTGGCATCATCTTAGCCCCACTAGATGGGCAGCTGAAAGATATGTGCAGAGCTAACCAAATACACACAAAGAACTATCCTGATATTATTGTTACCCTAATTCCTGAGAATGCAGATAAACACTTCCCGTTGCTTTTTATTCCATCATAGTGTTGTTTTATAGGTATTTTTTATTCATTGTTGTGAATAAGAAAGGCCACATGTTATCTTGTCATTAAATAATTTATGAAATGCAAACACATTTCCACATAGCATTTTCTTCACCCAGAATGTCCCACATGTGTATTGTTTGCTGCTTTCATCATACGTGTTGTGCTGCAGCAGGCTTCTCTTTGATGCCATTTGAATGCTTTACAGGACAATCTGGGGGGCAACAGCCAGACTTCTATGATAGCCACCATTAGCCCTGCTGCAGACAACTATGAGGAGACACTCTCTACATTAAGATACGCAGATCGAGCCAAGAGGATTGTGAACCATGCTGTTGTGAATGAGGACCCCAATGCCAAAGTCATCCGGGAACTGCGGGAGGAAGTAGAGAAACTAAAGGAGCAGCTTTCACAGGCCGAGGTGAGATCAGCCTTGTGCTCCCCCACTTGTGTACCTGACTAATGAGGACCTGTTAGCTCAAGGTCCTGTGTCATCTCCATGTGATTCAGCATTTCAGTGTTTGTTGGCGTCAGCTTTGTGTCAGTAACCATTACAAAGACCAACACGAGTAATTCAAGACTTCTGTCCTGGCAACTTGTAGCCATGAAGGCAAACAAGATAATTCCTGCTATGCCTAATTGTCTGCTTCAGTAAAGCAATTAGTCCTGGTGAAGTCCTGAGAACTAAGTGTGTTCTTTTTATTTGCACTGTAGACTATTTCCACCTGGCCTTGTAACTTTCATCTCCTTGTTAAGGAGACAGCATGATCATGGATAAGCATTAGAAATAATTCTGCAGTATCTTTTCATGTTTGCATTTACATGAGCCTCTAGAAGGTAACAAAAGCAATATTTTTGCCTTGTAACTGTCTGTCCTTAGCTTTCCCCAAACTTTAGTAACCATGTACTTTTCCAAGTATATATTGTGTTTTGCAGGTTGCTGATTGATGCACTGGATCATTTGAAATAGGTATAGGGACTGAGATTGAGGATAGGTACCTTAGCTGAAGTTGCATGTTTCTTTGTGTCAGGACTTGTGTTTGATCTGGTATGGTTTAAATAGGAAGCACACACATACCTGCAACTCACGTAGTGAAAATTTGATCCCCAATGCAGCAGTGTTCAGGGGAAAAAGGCTAGAGAGGTGACTAAATCATGAGGGTTATCACCTTTCCAATGGTTTGATCCACTGGTGAGTCCATAGTTGAATGAACTATTAGAAGGTGGGGCATGGTTAGAGGAAGTAGCTTACTAGAGATGCCTGTTTCTCTGTCTGGTCCCCTGCTGCTTCCCCTCTGGCAGTCCCTTGCCTTCCGGGAAACAGCTCTTCTCTGCCATGTTCTTCTACCTTAATGTTTCTTCCTTATGGCCAGTAGCCATGAGCTAAATCATCTAAAACTGTTAGTCAAAATAAACCTTTGCTCCTTTAAGTTATATACGTCAGGTTCTTTGTCCCAGCAGTGCAGCAATGACTAATACAGGAATTGATAGTTCTAAGCTCACATTTCTTCATACCGTTCTTTCCTGATCCTGCTTTGGTGGTAGGGTGGGATGTGGTATAAGGTTCTGAAGTTTGTTTATAGGTAGGTTATCTTCCTCTTGTTTCTGAATTTTCAACTTGACTATGACCGTAATATCTAAGCCAGAAGACTACAGCAATATGTAGCCAAAGGAAAGAGAAAAGAAGCCGCAGGGACCCACCTAGAACTTCGCAGTGTATCCCCCTGTATCTGCACTAAGTGTCACTCAAGCTCTCTTAATGCTGAGAGGCCCAAGCATACTAAGGAAGCTTCCAGAGCATCACCATTCCATCTTGTAGTCTAAGCGTCTGCATTCATAGAGCTGTACCCTGTAGTGGCTCATGAACCATAGAGTATCAAGGCAAGTCATTGCAAGTGAAGCTCTTTTAAGTTCTCAATTTGTACATGTCTGTGTTTAGACCCCTTATTTACTGCACAAATTCAGAGGGAAACTACTGCCCAAACCAGATGTCCTGTTTTAAGTGAATAATAAATATGCTAAGTGTAGCACCATCCATGGAGAAAAGTGGCATAAAGAGCCCATTCACATTTTAATCTATGTGAGAAAAATCATTACCTTTCCTGGTAGGTTAATGTAGCTGTATGTTTATGGCAGTATGTGTTAGTATCTGACTTATTTAAAAAGAAATCTGCAAAAGTAGCTTTTTTCTCCCCTACATTGATGTTTTGAAGATGAAAAATGTTAGCCAACTTTAGGTCTTTAAATGTGAAATTTAAATACGGTGAATAAAATGACTGCCATGGTTTGTCTCATTTTCGTTCGGGCACTGGTATTTCTTTTCCTCTATGTCCTCCTACATTTCATAGCTTAGTAGAGATCTAAGAGCCACTCCAACAGTATTTGACTTAATTGCTTCCGTTGGACTCCTCATACCTGCTTATGAGTGACGTAAGTATTCACTGTATGCATCTCGTACATAATGGTAGGAAATTTTGAAAGTCAACTGTCTCTGCTTTTATTTTAAAGGCCATGAAAGCCCCTGAACTGAAGGAGAAGCTCGAAGAGTCCGAAAAACTAATAAAAGAACTAACAGTGACATGGGAAGAGAAGCTGAGGAAAACAGAAGAGATTGCACAGGTACCCTAGTAATTGAGGCCAACATACTCTGATCCCTTTCCTTCAAAAGGCTCGAGTGCCTGTTTGCTGGACCAGAGACTACAAAGATAGTTTTAGACATCAGCATCATGTCTTTTAGCAGTTAACAAGTTGGTTGGTTCATTTGCTAAAAAGAATGTTAGAAAGTGCTGCATTTGAGTAGGCAAGATTAGAGGAAATGTCTCTTTCTTCCTGCTCTTCTCATTGCAGCAAAAGTCTGACTTGTGATTTTGAGGTCTCCTGGGTCACACCCCAGAATGGTTGTCTTTTTATGTCTGCTTGGTGTCCCAGTGGCACCGTCACAAGATGTCATGCACGGCAAGCTCACAGTGAACTTTATTGAGCTGAGTAGAATGTGTCATCTCATTGGCATCGTCCCCAGAAACAGTGACTGACTTTTTCCATGGATACATCTTGTGAATGGAGCAACAAACAGAGTTCGCTGCTTCTGTCTGTTTTTGTGCCCAGGAGAGACAACGACAACTGGAGAGCATGGGGATTTCCCTGGAGACGTCTGGCATCAAGGTGGGGGATGACAAGTGTTACTTAGTCAACCTGAATGCAGACCCTGCTCTCAACGAACTCCTGGTTTATTATTTGAAGGTGAGAATATACATAAACAGGTAATTGCAGTCCTAAATTATCCCGCGTACAATTCCCAGTGGAGCCTGAATGCCAGTCCCCATGATTGCACCTTTTGAAATCCAGTTTAACCTTCATTCATAGTACAGTCCTGTTACCACTGAGAATGGAAAACAGCTCTGTTGTTTCACCCGGGACCGAGCAGTTGGGCTCAACTCCCTGCTAGTGCAGGCTTTAGAGGGGCAGGAACAGGCAACTGCAGGTGTCCAGACCATCCCTGTAGGAGGAGATTTCAGGAGTGAGGTGACAGGGATTCTGAGAATATCCCTGCATAGCCTTGGAGGTCCTTAGTATACGTCTGAGGAATTCTAAGATCTTAAGATCAGCCTGAGCCTAAAAAGGCGTTTACACTGAGCATGTGATACACAGCTGTAATCCTAGCACTCCAAGAGGCCAAAGGAGGAAAATTACAAATTTGAGCCCACTCTGGACAACTTAGTGACATAGGGAGACCTTGTCTCAAAATTTGAAAATAGAAAAGGTAACTGAGGTGGAGCAGGAGGGCTTCTGTGCTAGATTAGATAACAGTGTTCTTCCACGTCTGTTCTGCATAAGCCTACATCCTCAGGAGAGAACATGGGCACCTTTCTAGTGTGGCCTCCTGGGGTCAGCATTGTGCAGTGACTGTGTTAGTTGGGTTATTGCAGCAATTCTCAAACTTTCTGGCTTTTTTTTTGTCTTTTTCGTTTTTATTGGTATTAGGGATTGAACTCACGACTGCCTGCTTGCAAGGCAGGTGCTTATGCTGCTGAGCTAAATCCCCAGCCCAAACTTTCTGGCTTTAAATCCATTTACACTCTTAAAAAGTGTATCAAGGACTCCAAAAACTTTGTTTACCTAGGTTGTATCTATGTGTACTTATTACATTAGGTTTTTTGTTCGGTTTTGTTTTTTGTCGTTTTGTTTTGTTTTGGGGTTTGTTTTGCTTTGTTTTTGCATTATATTTTGAAACTGAGAACAATTTAAAATACAAATTTAAACATTATTCTTTGGAGCAACATCTTATCACATACACATTGAGGTAAAATCTGGACTGTATTACATGATAAAATTAAAACAGACACAAATAACATTTTTGTATTTTTGTTAAATCATTTCACCTCATGAGCCTCTCCAAAGGTTCTCAGAGATGCAAGGGGTTTTCTGAGCACACTTTTAGGACTGCTGATCTGCTTGTGTAGTAAAGAGTGAGAATCTCGTCATCTCACCTTAAACACCCTGATTTTGTCTGATCTCAGAAGCTAAGCGAATGGGACCTGATTAATACTTGGATAAGAGAAATAAGTCATCTGCTTAAAGCAGGGCACCTAGTTGACATTACTATAGGGCATTCAGTTGACCATCAAGGTATATTTCTGAACTCATAAAATGATTAAGAAATAAATTGCTTCTGAAACTATTTACTTCAAAGTGCCAAGATCCACATTTTCTTTGTAGGAAAATATTATCACTATGATTAAATAATTTATAGGGCAACAGAAAAAATTACTCTGTGCATGAACAGGAGCTTATCAGTGACCAGATCACTAGTAATTGCAGTCATTTTGTGTCTGTGGTTCAGAGGACTTAAAATCACACTGACCTCTATATTTTGTAACTCAAGGCTTCAGTACTCTAATATTGGCATTAAAAAGTACAATTATTTTTAACATTTTAAAAAGTATGTATTAAGCCCTGTGACACCTTAATAGCTGATAACACACATACTTAGCATATTCAAGGTCCTGGATTCAATCCCCATTATCCAAAAAAAGTTATATATAATACTTGTTCTGGTTTGGTTCCCTTCACCCTAAAAAAAATTAAATTGAAAAGAAAACAGAATCTTAGAGTAAGAAATGACTTGCTTATCAGCACTTAAATTATAAGTACTTAAGTCAATATTTGGACCCAAGGTACTCAGCTATCAAGTATAACTTCCTTGCTTAAAACAATATGTAATTGGGGGCTGGGGATTTAGCTCAGCGGCATAAGCACCTGCATTGCAGGCAGGCAGTTGTGAGTTCGATCCCTGGTACCGATAAAAACGAAAAAGACAAAAAAAAACAAACAAAAAAACCAATATGTAATTGCTATTGACCAAGGCTCTTTCTTTTTCTTTTCTTTTTTTTTTTTTTTTAAATGTTTAAGCACTTAAAAAAAAATTAGTGTGTTAAGGTAAACATTTGGCTTCTGATGTTCCAGATGGCTGGCATGGTTCATTTAATAATAGTCATGTTTGTCTTACTGGGTTGTTTACATTGATTGGGATAAATTTTCATCGAGTTGCTAATTAGAGTGGGTTTTTCTTCAATAATCTGTTCGTAGGATCATACCAGGGTGGGTGCAGACACCTCACAGGATATCCAGCTCTTCGGGATAGGAATCCAGCCTGAACACTGTGAGATCGACATCGCAGGCGATGGGGACGTCACTCTTACTCCTAAGGAAAATGCAAGGTGAGAGCAGCTTCGTGTGTCTTGCATGCCTGGTTTTCATAAGGAAAAGGCTGCTCTTTCTGTTTGCCCCAGTTCTATCAGAGTTGAGAGCACACTGGGTCCACAGGAAGAATTGTTTTCTGTTTGTAAAGAGTAGGACAGCAACACTTCGAGAGCACTGACTGCATTGTTATCAGTATAACCTAGGTCAGCAGCATTGAAATATTACTGTGAAGGGGACTTCCGGGAGAACATGGCGGACAGATAACAGCAACTACCGGAGGCTCTCTGAAAACTAGGCTCAGAAGCCAGGTATGGTGCGGACTAAAGAGACATAAGCAGGTGGAGTTATGCTCTGCTGACTCAGGAACGAACTCGGCTGAGAGAAACCAACTTGGAATGCAGTCCTGGTGCTAAAACAGGAACAGAAAAGCCTCGCTGCTGAGGCTGGACCCCACGCCATTTGGGTTTCCCGCCGCGCGGTGGCTGGCTGCCTCTACGTCGGCTCGGCAAGGAGAGAGACGCACGGAAACTCTGAGAACGGGAGTCTGTGAACGGAGTCGAAAACAGGACAGGCAGGGAGGCATGTTCTGACTTGTGGCGAGGTGAGTGAGAGAAACTGACACTCCACCACAGTTTGACTCCAGCGGACTTTCTGGGCCCGGGCAGTCCTGTGGGAGCAGGGCGCGCTGGCGACTCCAGCCACACATTCCCCTGTCGGGCGGGATTGGTGAAAAGTGCCTGGCCTGCGAGACGCTGCCGGCGGACCCCGTAGGCTGGCCCAACCCAGATCCCAGAGCCTGACGGAGGTCGGGAGGGGCGGGCCCCCGCGTAGGCTGCCTGGTGTGCAGCAGTGAGTGGAAACACCTAACCGGCGCAATTCGATCAGGCTGTGGCTGACAGAGAGAGAAGCTAGGCCTCTCATATAAGCTTGCATATATAAGGAACAGAGAATATGGGAAGAGGCAGCAACAAGAAAGGCTCCTCGGCCCCCAATTCTGAGAAACAGGCAATAACAGACACCGCACCATTACACATAAGGCGCCATATAGAGAGCCTCATAGACCAATTCAGGAATGAAGTTATCAACGACCTGAAGCTAGAAGTATGCAAAATAGTTAGAGAAATGCTAAGCACCACCCAAGAAAAAACAGATGGTGGAATGGAAGAACAGAAAAAGAGGGGAGAAGTGTTTGATGGAGAAAACAGGGAAAGCATAGAATACGTGAAGCAGGTTCAAAGGGACTACCAAGAAACTAAGAAGTCTATCGAAGACTGGCATAACAGCTTGAAAGAAACTAAGGACAGACTATCTGAACTGGAGGGCAGAATTGTAATATGGGAGAATGAAATGAAAAACTTCTTAAAAATAACAAAGAAACAAACAGCAATAATACAAAGACAAGAAGATGATAAGAGGAGCCATAACTTAAGGATTAAGAACATAAAAGAAGAAGTAGGGACACAAACAAATGAACTACAAAAGCTACTCACAGAAATAATCCAGGAGAATTTTCCTAATTTAGCAAAAGGTAAAGATACTCAGATGTATGAGGCATACAGGACCCCAGCTACCTACAACCCAAACAGAGCAACACCCAGGCATATAATAATAAAAATTCCAGAAATTCAATACAAGAACAGAATATTAAAAGCTGTCAGAGACAAGAAGCAGACCACTTACAAGGGAGCACCCATCAGAATTACAGCAGATTTCTCTGCACAAACCATCAAATCACGAAGAGCTTGGGGGGAAATAATTCAAGCTTTGAAAGATAATAATCTCCAGCCAAGATTGAGATATCCTGCACAACTGTCCCTCGAAATTGATGGAAAAACAAGGTGCTTCCAGGATAAAGAGGAACTGGGGGAATTTGCAACCACCAATTCAACTCTACAGAGAGTATTGCAGGATATTCTAAAAAAAGAAAAATACAAAGAATCCAGAAATAATGGAGGCCACAACGAATGGAGCAGAGAACAAAGTGAAGAAGACAAACTGACAGCTACTGACAGAATAAGAGCTCAACAGAAATGAGGCAGAGAAGATTGGATGATAGGAACAGCTATTTTGGAGAAAATGACATCTTAATAGGTAATACTGATTTAGTATCATCTTGTTTTGAAGTCTCATCTAGCTTTTGTCCTTCTGTCTCCAATGGTCCAAATAGGTTGTATCTTACTGGATTTTATTATGTATGATAGTATAAGCAAAAACCTTTTAAAGACAAGGAGATTATACAGAAACCATTGTTCATTTTCTGTTAGTCGATTCTAAATACTCTGTAATGCTGTCATTCTCTTGAATGGTTTTACATTGTTTTGATATACTTAATGCTACAGTATACGAAGTTGTACTCAAGGATTTCAAGGAAAGAGATAATATGGTAACTACTTTTAGGTCAGGATTATCTGGTGGTGAAACACTATTCTGCTTAAATGGTTATGTTTTGATCTGTGCTGTTTCGTTGTTATGCCCTCTTTTATCTCAATCTCCACTCCATTATTTACTTTTTTATTTTTATCCTTTTAATTAAAGGAAAAAAATAGCAGGATATATTATAGTAACCCACTTTGACTTTCCATTACCTCGATTTAAAGCCCTGTATTACTCTCACCATCTGGTTTTTAACTGATGTTCCCCCATTCTGTTTTGCTGGATAGTATCAGGTTCGAAAATTTAGGCATCAGCTGTGAAGATAATGAGATTCATTATAACGCCCATTCTCATTGACTTTTATCTATTTTTGAAGACCTACAATGTCTCCAATGTTTTGGTTTTGTCGGTTTTATTCTTTACAGTTTTGTTCAATTGTATTGTAACTAACAATATAGGCAATTCTATTAGAGATAGCGGGAGGCATTATGGTAACCATTGTTGATCACCTTGTATTATGTTTTCACATTATCTATTATGTCCACCCTTTTGACTTGACCGATTCTGTTCTGTTATGTCACATTTGGTTTTACTCTCTTCCAAAAAAGTAATAAGAACCATGGGAGCAATGAAACCCAAAATGTGTAATAGTCATTGTACAAAAGAGAGGAAAAGAAAGTGCTCTGTACTATATAACTGCATGTATATTTAAGTGTATAAGATAGAAAATGATATCACAGAGTTTTATTGGATCATTGAACAGAACTGTTTTCAGTATCATTGATGGAATGTCCACTTTACAAGCTTTAATTTTGTGACTTGAACAATTATTTCTAAGATGACAATATGTAATCCATTAACTAGTAATTTCCTACTGTTCATTTTTTTTTCTGCAAATCTGTATAACTTGTACCCTTTCTCTGCTTTTTTTTCTTTTCTCCTTAAATAAAATTAAAAAAAAAAAAAAAGAAATATTACTGTGAAGGAGTGGTTGTTTTCAGTTTCTGAGCTTTGATGTCCTATAAGGATACATGAGACTATATGCAAAAAGTGACTTATTAGAAAAACTAAAACTGGAAATCATACCCCTTGTTTTTCTTTATCAAACTTCACTTTTATTTTTATTTTTTATTTATTTATTTATTTTTGAGACAGGATTTTGCTGACCTGCGACTCACTTTGTAGCCAAAGCTGGTCTCAAACTTGGAAACAATTCTCCTGCTTCAGCCTCCCAAGTGCTGGGATTACAGGAGTGTGCCACCACACCCAGTTTATAACTTTTAAGTTATCAGAAAAACTTTTAAATGAGATATTCCTTTAATGCTAATATATATTCTTTTCTTTTTTGTTTGTTCATCTTTGTTTTGGGGGTGTTGAGGTTTTGCTTTTGTTTCCAAATTTGGACAAAGTATCCCACAAGGAACATTTTTTGCCTCTACCAAGAGCACATCATGTTAGACCGTCTTTCTATGAGGGCCCATGGTGGCCCTTGATCTTGGAGTGTGTGCTTCAGTGATGGTTACAGATTCCATTGTTATTTCTTAAGCTGTTTTTGGAGACCATCTATTAAGAGAAGCCTCCCGCAGTGATCTCTCTGTGTGCCCACACTGGGTCTGTGTCCTGTTCACCCTCCTGATGTCCTCTCTGTGTCCCTTCAGGTCCTGTGTGAATGGCACTCTGGTGGGCAGTTCCACCCAGTTGTGGCACGGTGATCGAATCCTATGGGGAAATAACCACTTTTTTAGGTAACATCTTTGTGTTCGCTAATATTTTCTTATACATTCCTGTTACCTACTTAAGTATAAAGCAACTTGATTTTTCTCTTTTGGTGAAAAAACCCCACAGAATTAATTTACCTAAGAGAAAAAGGCGAGATTGGCTGAAAGACTTTGAAAAAGAAACAAATCCAGCAGAGCATGACCTGGACGCGGCCAGTGAGGCATCCTCAGAACCAGACTATAACTATGAATTTGCACAGATGGAAGTCATCATGAAGACACTGAACAGTAATGGTGAGACCCTAATCTCCTTTCCTGTCATTTAGTGATGGGTGAGCATGTACAGTGTGACATCCTAAAGTTTGTACACATAAAATCACTGATTCCTTCCCAAGGGGCCACTGAAGAGATTTGAGGGGCCGTCTCCTCCCTCAGGTATAACCAGAAAGCAGGCAATCCCTTTTTTTGAGACCTGTTCTCAAGCCAGTTGTGATATTTCCACAGTCCAGAGTTCTTAGTGATTTTCACAGTTTTTATCAAATTTCCTCCCATTACACAGCAGGTGTGGTAATGAACACCGTTAGTCCCAGCTCCTCAGGAGACTGAGGCAGGGGGATCATGAGTTTGAGGCTAACCCACGTAAGGTACTAAGATCCCCAACTCCTATTTAAAGAGAAAGAAAATTCTATTCTTGAGCCTTTCATTTGTAAATCATTGAGAGTGTGAAAATCCCCTAGAAAATCTGAATCCAGGAATTTTGAATAGAACCTAATAGATAAAAGTTATGTTTTAGGGGCTGGGGATTTAGCTCCATGGCAAGCGCAAGATCATGAGTTTAATCCCCCATACCCCCCCCCAAAATTATATTATATTACATTATTAATAAGCCTAGTAGTCTCAGATACAAACAATGGTGGAAAAGCAATGCTTTGTAGGCTTTTTATTTTATTTTTTTTTTTTACTTGCACATGGCCTCTCTTAGATCCCTGGAGAAGAGATTCTCCTTAAAACATTTCTGGGTCCCTCTTTCAGGAGAATTTTCAGTGTTTATATTAAAGTTCTGTTAAGTCTGCATTCCTTTATCTTTTCTCTCCTTCTGTACTTACACATACCTGTGCATTTAGTCACATTCACACCAAATTCTTTCCTTGGCTGCTGTTTGATAAACCGACCCCTTCTGCTTCCCACCCACCAGTCTCCCAATTCCCAGTCCCTGGTGCCTGAGACCCAACACCAGCGTTAAGGTCTTCTGCCACTAGGGACCAGACAGCATTTCCAGGATTACAACTGTTTTCCAGGGATAAAGGTGAGGCTACATTCAGGAGCACCAGAGAAAGTTTCTGGGCTTGGTCTGAGGCCACCTTTCCATTCATTTCTCCTAGCCACTTAATGACCCAAACTCGAAAACCAGGGTCCTGGAGTCCTGGAGACAGGAGCCTGGAGACAGGCTGCTTCCACCTCATAAGATGCTAAGAGCGCATTTTGTTTTTTGCAGTTTAGTTTTTCCCTGAAATGATGACTTTTCACTCTATTTGCTAAATAACCCTGTCTTGGAGGAAATGGAGCATGGCCATAGAATTGTCAAATTTGGGGAGTTCTGTTGCGGTAATAAGATTTTGACCTTTCTATCCACCTCTGTGTGATGTTTTTAGTCCCAGAGACTCTTTAAATTATAAAAATGAAGTATAAAGAAAAAATCAGACTCTGTAAAACAAAGATAGTTATATAAAGAACATAGAAACACACATCCAAAACTGGGGAAAAAAAGCTTTACCAAAAAAAAAAAAAAAAAAAAACCACTTGGTCATTTCTTTCTTTAAACGTTAAAATTGGGTGTTTAGACACATGCAAGCCTAGAAATAAGCTTCAAACCGTTCCTTACCCAGCAATTTGGAAGGAGATCCCCAAATGTTTTGTGTTCAATCATTGGAATCACACCAGTTGGTCATTTAACAACACGCCTGGGTGGTGAATTCTCCGCGAGTGATTTTCAGGACCCTGAGTAGACATATTATAGCTGGATGTGGCAGGAAGGTATAGACTCCACATTCCTGTGGAGGATGTCTGTTTAGAGAGAGCTCATTTCATCAGATGAGGTTATAGAATTCTAGGTGTGTCTATCGCCTAACACTGCAGAGTTTCCAGGTATCATCAATTTAATCATTTATCCATCTCAGAACACGAGTTTCTGATTTTAATTGCTGTTTCTTGCCACTTATAAATTAGACCTTTTAAGGCTGGTGTGGTGGTACCACGTGTAGCCCTAATACTTGAGAGACTGAGGCAGGAGGATTACTGCAAGTTTGAGGCCATTCTGAACTACATAGCAAGACTCTATCTTAATAAAAATAAACAAACACAAACAAATCCCAGAGAAACTAATGAATATGAGCATTCATGAATTTTTCTAGACCTTGTAGTGAAACCTATTAGAGTCATGAGCAACCTAGCTCATGGTAGTAACAAGAGTAATTCACTTGGTTTGCCTATCAAGCCTTGCTCTCTGGTGTGGATTTTGTCCATGTGAAAGCGTACTCCCCTTCTTGGTCCCTTACCCTATCCTGCTGGTGAATGAGTTTCCCGCCAGGCACACACTTGCTCTGGTACAAATGTTGAATGCTGGTGACCAGACAGTGATCACTGAATTCACCTCTACGCTAGGTGGCTTCCCGATGATAAGCTTGTCTGCCTGGTGGTCTTCCCCATGGTGGTCCTATTTGAAGATTCTCTTTCCTCTCCTTTGGTTCCAGACGAAGCTCCTCCACAAACACTGGGACAGAGGTTTTCACCTGACTGGCAGTGGCATGAGAAGGCATGGCTGGTTTTCGGCAGGCTGCTAATGCTTATGCTATGTGCTTTGGCAAAATCTAGGCGCCATGATTGGGAAGAAGCAGAAATTCTTTGTGCAATGAAGTTACTCTGTATTCTTGATTGAGGAATGTTTCTTTATAAGTGTGACTGTGTTGCATCGCACGTCCCAACTCTGTTGTCTTCCCAGTGTTAAGATAGGAGGGCCATGCCCTTTGCCTTGCACTCAAGAGTGCAGAAAAGATGAATGATATCACTGCCATGGTTCCTAATGGCTTTATTACTGCTGAGCACAAAGGCCAGGGCAGAAGCACTTCCAGCTATATGTTCAGCTCCATTAGCCCAGTAATAGCCTGGAATAATGGATTTTTGAGTTCCTAGAGTAAATGCTGACCTAAACCCCAATTCATTTAAACTTAAAAGAAATTTTAGTATTTATGGACAATAATGCCTTCTTTCTAGGTTTCAAAATAGAAGGGAAATACTCTTTTCCCAATCTTAGTAGTAGCCTGCTATAGAGTAAAGAGCAATTAAGGGGCTGGCAAAGGTTATAGGGTCAGTTTATCCCACCTAAGAGTAAAAGGTTCTTTTTTTCCCCCTAAGGATCTGCTTCCCTTCACGTCAGTGCTTTGGACATCTTAGTGTGAATTTTTTTAAAATCCATTTTATTGGGGCTGGGGATTTAGCTCAGCGGCATAAGCGCCTGCCTTGCAAGCAGGCAGTTGTGAGTTTGATCCCCAGTACCGATTAAAAAAAAAAAATTCATTTTATTCAAAGATGAAAAGAAAGAAAAAAGCTACAACAAAATTTCAAAGCACCCAAATCATTCACTCAGCACAAGACATCTGCATTCAGTTGTCCGAACAATACCAGTACAGGTGTGAATTAATTCTGATACTCTTTCTCATGTAGATACCCTACCAGCACCAACACGACTACTCTCTTTTCCATTTTCTGAATGACTGATTAGAGTTCATTTCATAGTAACCCATCTGTGAAACAGTAAACTAATGAAGAAAGATAAAGCTATGTCCCAAAATAATGTCCTGTCTCCCTTATAGACTTAGCTCTTTAGTATTGCAGCCTTAAGCACTAGGTTCACTGAATTTTAAAGCAGCTCATTCAAGAGCAAGAAAGAGAGCAAGAGATGTAGCTCAATGGTAGAACGCAGTATTGTTTGCCCAAAGCAGTGGGGGTGGGGATAAAACAGGTCGTCCTACTAATGTCTGATTGAATCATTAGAGAACAGGACCAATGGTCTTTGGCTTCTCTGAGGCCTATCAGAATCAGATCAACTTGCCAATTAGGTGATCTATTTAAAGGGACGCTGGATTGTGAATGGCAAAGACCAAACTGGTCCATTTGAAGCAGGGAAACTATCAAAGATTTCTATCAGAAAGGCTTGTCCAACTGCTACTGGAATCAGATGAAAATGAAGTCCAGCCCTTGGGCTTCCAGGTGGGCTGCTGAATCACAAAGGCAGGGCTTGCTGGCTCTGCTGGGGAGGCTCAGGAGGAGGAGGGGCTTGCTGTCCTTTCCATATCTGCACATTTGAGGGGTGAGCCATGGTGAACCAGATGAGAGTGATTGTGCTGGATCATGGCAAGTGCTAAAAGACCACATGGCCTCTATACTGTCAAGGAAGCCCAGGATGAGTCCCCTCTGCTTCAGCCATTTGGGATCATTGGTGATTCTGTACCACGGACAAGTGGGAAAATGTGAGCCAAGTACCTTAAGCAGTATTTCTTAGCACACGGTTGTAAGCCCAGCACCTTGGAGGCTGAAGCAGGAGGATCTTGAGTTTGAGATCAGTCTGGACTACCTAGTGAATTTAAGGCCAATTTGAGCAAAACTCAAAAAGAAAGCAAATAAACAGAAATCCTGGTGCTGTCGTTTATTAATTGTGTGATCGTAAGCCATCCACTAAAAGTTTCTGAACTCCAGTATCGTTGTCTTTTTAAATAGGGGTGATATCTGCCCTGGGTGCACAGCATGCACTGCAACATTTCCCGCAGTTGGTGCATGCAAAGTTATAAGCCTTCTGCTAAAATACAGCCAGAAACCGTAAAGATGCCCTTGCCCTTGTGGTTATTTTTATTAAAACAACTCACTTATGCTGAGCATTTCTTGTGCTTTAAAAAAAAAAATGTTTGTTTAACCTTATTTTTTAAGCTAGCATGCTTTTTTTCTCATTGCTAACATAGGAGATTAGTACAATTCATATGTTTATTCACAAATTGATGAAGTATTTTGGAAAAATCAATAGTCATAATCAGGTAATGTAAAAATTTTTCCTGAATCACTTTGATTTCTAACTATTTTCTGCAAATTAAACTGAGACTAATATGTGGGAACATAATTTTACTGAGGAACAGGAAATACACAAATGTACAAGGAGGAAATCATGTCTCAGGATGATGGAGAACCACATGTCTTCTCTGTCCTGGGTACCCGGGAAGTGTTAGTCACTGTAGTCATCTTGTTCTGGCAACAAGATTGTCTAGTGCACTGCTTCCCTGCTGTCTACTCACTTAGAAATGTTGGAACTTTGTACATGTGACCAGGCCCTTGATCTGTCTCCATGGCAGCCAGCTCATTGGCCATTACCAGCCAAGGGTTCTTCTTAGTCAAGCCCCACCTACACCACAGTCACCACAGTGGGTCCTTGGAGCAGGACCCGTTGGTAGATCTCTATGTGTTCTCCATATGTATGGTTATGAGTCCAGTGCTGGCCCATAAGACATCAAATACACGTTTTTGTTATTTTTTCACTTGACTGTCCTCTTAGATACTAGCACCTGAGAAATTGTCAGGCCATTTACTCAATATTGTCACACATATGCTATGATTTTTAAGTTTCCTGCCACCTAAGAGAAATTCAAGAAAAATGAGATTTGTGATGAAAATGGTACCCTTTGTCATATACCAACATAGGTAATAAATGGGCATAGAAAACAACACCTTTAAATGTGAAATCGTGTCTTTTTAGCTAGGGAGCAGTCCTAGATTTCACCAAGTTTTTTTTTCTCAGTGGACAGGATCATATTTCCTTTTCTTCTGCCACCTGCTGGTACTAGATTAATGATCTAAACCTAGGATGGGCCCATCAAATGGAAGATGGTAACACAGCACACATGGAGAATGTTTGCACGTAAGGCATTTATCTTAGGTGCTAGAAAGAAGGAAATTGAAAGTATTTCAAGCCATTGAGCCCTCCAATCTTCTCACAGGAAGTACCAGGCCAGCCAAGATTCTGGGGCCACAGATGGTTCTAGCTGAAGGGTCCCCAACAGATTGCTGACTTAGCCACTGAAGGCACTTTGCTTTGTCTCTTTGCCCACCAGACCCAGTTCAAAATGTGGTTCAGGTCCTGGAGAAGCAATACCTGGAAGAAAAGAGAAGCGCCCTGGAGGAGCAGCGGCTCATGTATGAGCGGGAGCTGGAGCAGCTCCGCCAGCAGCTCTCCCCCGAGAGGCAGCCACCGAGCAGTGGCTCTGAGCGCCTGTCCTACAGCAGCCAGACAGCGCAGCAGAAGGTGACCCAGTGGGCCGAGGAGAGGTGAGAGCGGGGAGGTGGCCGGGATGTGGCGGACCACAGGGCTAGGTAGAGGACAAATTTCACAAAGAAGGAAATGGGGCCCAGCACAATGTGTCAGCTATTGGCTTTTCGTTCCCCAAATACTCTGTCCTGATACCTTTGCTGTGGTGACAGCTGCCAGAGAGCCCATCTCTCACCCCTCAGTAGAAGGCTCAGACAGTTAAGTATGAAGAGAGAGGAGTCTGAACAGTTCTTTAACAGAAAAAGACTTGCTTAATTTTTCTATTTCTTTTACCTTTGTTTTTTTTTGTTTGTTTGTTTTTTGTTTTTAGTATCAGGGATCAAACTCATGACCTGAGCTAAACCCCCAGCCCCTTTGACTCTATTTAAATATAACTTCATGGTTGAGAAATCTACTTTTAAGTATGAATTTTCATACTTAAAGTATGATTTATAACTTTAATATAGTTACATGAGAACTCTCAAAGGAGGTTGTAGTAGAGGAAAAGGTAATAACAGCCACCAGTAAGGACAATAAGTTACTACTAACTTTTGTTGGTTCTGGGCATGGTGCTGATTTTATTTAACACTCCCAATAGAACTATCGCTACCTTCCTAAATGGGGTCTCTGTTTAAATAGGCTGCCTTATCACCCATCTAGAGAGTGAGAAGGCCAGAGTTGGAATACAGGTCTATCTATAGTCCCTATGCTATCTGCATGTTTCAATAATTAACAGGAGTTATAAAGGTAGCACCTGATATGACAGAGTATTCACTGTGTTCTGAGTACCAAGGGCTTTACGTTATCCCTCTCCATACCTGCTACTCTTGTTTTATACTTCAGGAAACTGATGCCAAGTGAGATAGCTTGGCTTGTAAACTGGGGCACCCAGACTCTAGAGCAGTGATGGCAAACCTATGGCCCATGTAGCCGCAGCAAGCTGTTATTGAAAGCTCTGCTGTAGGGATTCTACTCAAGCCCTTACTTCCAAGTTCTCACTAGCAATGAGACGCCCAGGGGAGCTACATCCCGAGAGATAACCCCAGGGTAGGAAACGGGAACCCACTTGTGCATCGAAACTTTCTTGAAAGTAGTGTACTTGCTTAGCCGAATGAATCAAAAAGAGCCAGTTCCACCTTGCCAGGAGCCCCTTTCCAACCGTGGGGGTACAGAAGCGTGAAGGCACATCATGCTCATGCTGCTCTTCTGTCTCTGTGCTGGAAGAAGCCCACAGGATGATCAGGTGGTGTTTTTCCCAAAGAGCTGCCTTTCCCACAGGCACATGAGCGGACTTCTTCCCTCTGAGCATCATTAGCTGTTGAAAGTGGTTAGGTTAATTACACCCATTGATACCCTTTTATTACAAAAGACTATAATAGACTAAACAAAAGTATCTGGTGGAGAATGTGGATTGTTTTTAATTATAGAGTTTCTCAGCTAAATGTGTAGAAGTTTTTCACTTCCCTTAATTGTAGATTGATTGTCTTTGAGGCTTAAATTCGTAACAAGGAATAAAGTAGAGATGTTTGGGGAATTGTTAAAGCAATGAGTGGTTGCAGTATAGATTTAATCAGGTTTCCCTGGATGAAACTGAGGTGCCTAGTGGTGAAGGCTGTGTAAGATGCTGAGACTCTTATCCAAGGAAAAGTCAATGGGTTGGGAAATAATGAGAGACTCACACCTACATAAATATTGAGAGGTGGAGAATCAAGTGTATTTTAAAAGCTGGGAGAATCGGAGAAAGCTACAGATGTAGTTTATTCTGTTTATGCACTTAGGATATAACATAGATGAAGCAAAGTATCATAATGTGAAAAATTAAATCATAATAGTAAATCAGAAGTTTTCATTTAACAATAGAAAGTGCAGTGACTTTCTAGCTTTCACTGGCCTTTTCTACCCTGGAAAGTATGGTTCAAAAGATACAGAATATGTTTTGTTCACTAAAATATCACTTATGTCTAGAACGATGTTGGCCTGTGGTAGCTACTTAGCAGATGTTGTTTGTATTGACTGCGAATTAACTGAAGTGATAAGCAAGTATGTGATCGTCAAGTGGGCAAAGCATGCAGTAAGCTTGATGATTTGTTAGTGGAGGATAAGACCCCAGCGATATTGAGTGTCCCAAAGAGATTTTCTTGAAAAAGACAGAATTTCTAGTGATTTGAAATAGGCAGGGGGCTGGGGATTTAGCTCAGAGGCATAAGCACCTGCCTTGTAAAGCAGGCAGTCGTGAGTTCGATCCCCGGTACCGATAAAAAGGAAAAAGACAAAAAAAAAAAAAAAGAAATAGGCAGACAGAAAATAGGACAGCTATTTATTTATTGCTAAGTAGGCACTCAACCACCAAGCTACACCCTTAGCTGGTGGCGGGGCATTGTGAATGAGCTGGCTGACATAAACAGAAAGCAACAGAACAAACTAATATGTATTGGGTAGGTTTTAGGAGAAGTGTTTGGTTTAGTCTAGAAGGTGATTTCTAGAGAAATGGGGGAAATTACATCTAAAAGTATTAGCTAGGGTATGTAGGGCATTTGTTGTGTCTTGAGTGTTCGCAGGGTATCTCCTAGGACCAGAGAAGCCCCCGCTAGCCTTTGAGCTAAGCAGTGGCCTGAGGCAGGCAGGAGTTTAGGACTGATTTGTAGTAGAAGAACCTGGTAAAAGGGAGACAGACAGACACTTAGGAGCTGTTTCAAAGGATGAGTTAAGAAAGCTTTGGATATTGTGAGAAAAGAGAAAGGCTGGGCTTACTGAAAGTCCAAGCCTGGGCGAGTGGCAGAGTGATTCTATCTTTGGAGAAAACCATTGTCTTGATGTGTGTGTCCTCACTTCCTCCGGAGCGTTTCTGAGGCAGTGAGGAGGAGCAGGGATTTGCATGTGCTGAGCTCGTCTTTTGCCTATGAAGTAAGGATGGCGCTGAATCAAAGGTAAAAAAGAGAAACTACATGCAATGCACAGAGCAGTCACTAGACTGCATTCTCTTTAAACCCAGACACAAAAACAAAATCCACAAATATTCTTTCACACAGCGGGAATTTTACATTTCCTCTTGGCCCATGTACTTGGCCAGGAACTCAGTGTCATGGTGAGCAAAAAGTGACACAGCCCAAGTAAGCCTGCCCAGTGCTGAGAGAGCCTGTCAAATAGTTCTACAGATAAATGAGAAGCTATCCTGTGACAGTCCTCCAGAAGCAAAAGACAGGGCTAAAGGGACATATGATAGGACTTGGATCAAGTCAAGATGTTGCTTTTTTTTTTTTTTTTCCCAGTGAGTGGTGTTGTGTAGTGTTGGAAAAAAAGCATCCCACTGCCCCAAGCACCCCAGTGGGACTTTGACCACTTGAAGAAAACATGTCAGCCTCTGGCTTCTAACTTTGGGTCTCTCACCTACCAGCACCCCGCACTGCCACTACATCCTGCATACCAAAAGTCATAAACCATCATTTTGTTTCCTAAAGGGTGTTTTTGGGTTTTTTGTTTGAAGCCTCACATCAAAATCTGGTATTTATTTTATTTTTTTTTTTAATCAGTACCAGGGATTAAACTCACAGCTGCCTGCTTGCAAGGCAGGTGCTTATGCTGCTGAGCTAAATCCCCAGCCCCAGTATTTTTTAAAGTGTACAAATTATAATTTGATTTTGGCTTCGCCCTGGCATGCTAAGCCCAGGCTCTGCCCCTGGACTGTGTCTCTCACCCTACAACCTGGTTCTTGTTGAGTCACTCTGTACTTTCCTCCCAGCAGTGGTTCCCAGCATGATGACCCTGTGAAGGCCAGAGGACGAGATCAGAGATGATTGAAAAATATTCACTGAAAGAAGTTTTCATCCACTTTATAATAAGATTGCTCACAGAGAAGCAGCATTGCCTTTTTCTTCCACCTGTGCTCATTTTCTTTTATGTCCACCACAGGGATGAGCTCTTCCGGCAAAGCCTGGCGAAACTCCGGGAACAGCTAGTTAAAGCCAATACCCTGGTGCGGGAGGCAAACTTTTTAGCTGAGGAAATGAGCAAACTCACCGATTACCAAGTGACTCTTCAGATCCCTGCGGCCAACCTCAGTGCCAATAGGAAGGTGAGCTTGCCCTTAGAGCAAGAGCAAGGCCCGCAGTAGGGAACATGGTGAGCCAGACCCTTGCACTGTCCTTCCTGCAGCCAAAGTGTTTCTTCTTTTTAACACTTCTGGGTAGAAAGCTACGTGGGTAAGAATCCTGTTTCAAACATTTCTAAAATGATGAAAAATAATGATAATAAAATAAACAAGTAAACCTATTGGTGGCTAAAGAACTTGGTAATTTAAATTCTTTCTTTAAAGCAGCGGAACTAGCAGGATGTGCAAGTCTGCTTTTGTGAGCACATTACTGTTCCTTCTAGAATGGGGAATATGTGCATCTTTCATAACATTTGTTTTTAGGGGTTGTTCTGTTCTGTTTTGTTTTTAGTGCTGGGAATTGAACCCAAAGCCTTCCCACAGAACTACATCCCCAGCTCATTTTATTTTTTATTTCGAGACACAGTCTCACCAGTTGCCCAGGTTGGGCCCAAACTTGTGACCCTCTTGCCTCAGCCTCCTGAGAAGCTGAGATTACAGGCATACCCAGCATATCATATCTTTCTAAAGAGTAATTCTACAAGCAAACAAAATGTCTGTGATGCCCATCTTTATGTACACAGAGCGCTCTGCTACCATTTGGAAGTTCCTTCTTGTTTCAACTTAGAGAACGTTTCTGTTAACAAGATACAAGGAAGAAAATTGTTTTTCATCCCTTTATTTTTCTTTTTGGCAAACTAGAAAGTGAGTCAGAAAGTACTTTGTCAGTCTTGCTTGTTTTAGTCTTTTTAACCCTTGTATTTCCCCTTTGAGAAATTTTCTCCACGTATATAGGCATAGAAATATACATAAAACTGTATGTCCTTAGTGTATAATGGAGCTTCTGATGGTGGCCTTATAATGGCAAGATTTTGAAACTACTATTTAAGTTGAGCAATAAAATAGTCAGATCCATGTGGTAAATCCATATGATGAATTCCTATGTTGCCATTAAAAATTGTGTAAGAATATCTAATGCATAAGAAAACAATCAGAACATAAAAATGAAGAGATGATTAGGATATGAAATGATATTTTTATTTGGTATTGGTTGTGATAAAAATAAAAAGTGTGACCAGGCATGGTGGCTCATGCCTGTAATCCCAGCATTTGGAAGGGTGAGGCAGGAGGATCTCCACAAATTTGAGGCCAGGCTGGGCTATATAGTGAGTTCATCCCCAGCCTGAACTATGTAGTGAGACCTTATCTCAAAAAAAATAATAAGTGTATTCACAAGTATACATAAAAGAAAATAAAGCGGATATTCCATAGGTGGTAGAATTTTATCTTCTTTTGTATGCATTTATGTGTTTTTTCAAACTTAGTGCTATGTGTATGTGTAGCAACCAGAAATAAAAGTTGCAATGCCCATGTCATTTGGTTTTTTTTATTATGCAGAGAGGCTTAATAGTGAGCGAGCCAGCAATTCAAGTGAGGAGGAAAGGAAAGAGCACCCAGGTCTGGACCATTGAGAAGCTGGAGAATAAATTAATTGATATGAGAGACCTTTATCAAGAATGGAAGGAAAAAATTCCTGAGGTAAAAGAGACATAACCCAAAGGAGAGGTGGTTATACTGAAAGCAGAGAATGCAGATGGCTTAACCTTTAGAACATGCAAATGTACACACACAAACATGCACACACAAATGGACGTGCATGTGCACACACACACACAGGCATTAGTGAAAATGAAATGAACTTGAACAGAGCGCTGTGTTGCATCTGTAGTGTGACACATGCTTGCCACAGATGGAGCAGAATGAAGAATAAAGCCTATGTGGCTTTATTTTCACTGGAGTTCAAGGGAAATGAAGCAGAACGAAATAACTTTGCACACTGTTTTGTCGGCATCTTGAGAAATCAGTTTGGCTGGATCTAGTGTGGATTTTGTATTTGCTAGCATATGTTCATGTTATATAGCTATGAGGTTGGCTGGGTAGATTTCACAAAGTAGCTTTAGGTGCATAATCAATTTTCTGAACATTAGTAATAGCGAAGAAGTTTTGGCAAAGAAGATGAGGCGAGGCACTGGGGGTAAAGTGGAGAAGGCTGTGGGTGGGTGTGATGGGGCGGGAGGCAGGATCTAAGAAACACACCTCCACATGGCTGTCACTTTGTTTCCTAGCCAGAAAGCCCTCTCTTGCGCTGCTGGACCAGATTCTAATTGTACTTACTTACTTCCTGTGACCACTTCCTGTACAATTTTTAAAAATAATATGATTTAGGTTGTTGTTACTTACTCACCCACTGCCACCTCCTGCCCTTCAGGCAAAGAGACTGTGTGGGAAGCGCGGCGACCCTTTTTATGAAGCGCAAGAGAATCACAACCTGATTGGTGTGGCCAACGTGTTCTTGGAGTGCCTCTTCTGTGACGTGAAACTGCAGTACGCAGTCCCCATCATCAGCCAGCAGGGGGAGGTAAGGAGAGGCCAGCCCAGAAAGAGCAAAGGTTTGTATTTTTTAAGGCTCTCTTAAGATAGATCAAGGAACTAGGATGAATAATTTATGATCGCATTCTATCTTCTATATTAATAATCGGCATTTGACACAGAGTTCAGTCATGGTCTAAAATGTGACAGGACGATCATTTCAAAATCCTCAGTTCAAGAAAACAAGCTTATATAATCCATTGTTATTGCCCTTCTAAGTGCCCATATTTCACTTGTTTAAATATATTGACCATAGGGGCTGGGGATTTAGCTCAGCGGCATAAGCACCTGCCTTGTAAGCAGACAGTCGTGAGCTCGATCTCCGGTACCGATAAAAAGGAAAAAGACACACACACACACACAAAAAAAAATATTGGCCATAAGTAGACTTTTGTGGGGGAAGGACAGAGTCTTACTGTATAGTTCAGGCTGGCCTTGAACTCAGATAATCCTCCTGCCTTGGCTTCCCAAGTGCCGGTTTTACAGGTGTGTGCTGCCATGGTTGGCAAAATTCAAACTTTTTGAAAAATTTTTATTTTGTCAACTGAGTTTATTTTTAGTTATCACCTTTCTTCCTATCTTATCTTATATAACCTAGAAACTTGAATTACCAAGTTGCTTCTCGTGATTCTTAGAGCAGAGTAGCAATAAGACGCTGTTCTCCCCAGAGTGAAACTGGAAACCAGACTGAGTTCCCAGCTGTGTGGGATAAATCTAGAGCCCATTCCCACTGTGCTGACCCTCCTGCAAACACTGTCTTAGACCAGGGGCCAGCACTGCTCTTTCCCATGTTAAGAAAACGTACAACTCATATGACAAAGGGACTGAGTGACTGAGAACCTTGCTCAGGAGTCTTAAACTGGGGTCTAGAGGTAGGCTTTGAGTATTATATGAATCCCCTGAAATTGAAAGTGTGTTTCATTCTCAGAAACACTAAAGAAAGCATGTGAACCACTCCCTTCCAGCTGAGTTACCTTATTTCCTCCCCGCCCTCATAACTTCCTTCGTATTTGTCTCACTTGTCAAATACCATCAACTTACCTCTCTCAGATTGTTGGTGCCAGTGGCAATTGCTGTGTGCACACTGGGTCTGAGCTACCTTCAGAAATAGCCTTCACTATTTAGGAGGACAGCGGCACTGTCACCTTTATAGCACGGTTATCTTGAACTGAGATAGGAACAAGAACTCAGCTGGTTTAAATGCCCTGAGAATATCTTGCGTGTTTCAGGATAATCCTTGTACTGAAATTCAGTTCTGCACAAGCAGCTTTAGGAGGAATACTGTTGAACTGGCCTCTATCCAGAACTGCCATGATAGGGAGGAAATTTAAAGTCTCTTAACAAAAACAGCTTTAAAAGAACTGTTTCTTCATGTCTGTGTGGCTTTGTTTGTGCTATACTTCCTGGAATACATCTGGTATTCTTCATTCTGCTCCAGGATGTGTTGAGCAACTAGTTTACACGTGTTTCTGCAATTGACTACTTTATTTTTCCCCACTTGACCGTAAATTCCCTGACGGCATTGCCTGTGTCTTTATCTTGATGTCTTATGAAGCCACATGATTGATCAAGTAAATAAGTTAAGGCAGTGTGGTCAAAAGAGTGCATGTACGAATATACAAACAGATGTGGACAATAGGTGAGTCCCAGAAGCATATGACAGCTCCCCTGGTCTGTTCTAGAGGAGGATAAGACTGAGGATGATTACAAGAGGCAAACTTTAGACAGAGTCGGGCAAGATGGTGTCAGAGTAGGACCAGGTTCTGGGAACTGCAGGTTTCCCTCGCCTGGAAATGGCAGCAGCAGTCATGAGGGGCTCCCCAGAGCTTGTGGAGTGTGTGTGCGTATCAGCTCAGTTGCCTACAGAGTGCCTTTTAATTCCAAGGTGCTCTGCTTCCTTGCCCCAGGTTGCAGGCCGTCTCCACGTGGAAGTGATGCGTGTGACGGGAGCTGTCCCGGAGCGTGTGGTGGAGGATGACTCTTCAGAAAACTCCAGTGAAAGCGGGAGCCTGGAAGTCGTGGACAGCAGCGGAGAGATCATTCACCGAGTCAAAAAGCTGACCTGCCGGGTGAGAGGACAATGAGGCCGCTTCTGTCAATGACCTTCTTCATGCAAACTAATTCTGTAAAAACAATTATGAGAGGTTTTCCATCCAGCATAGTAAAAATTGAATCATCTGACAATAGACAGAACTGTAGATGGTACTTTGTCTGACAGTTGCTTAAAATCCAAAAAATACAGATATATTCCTCCCTTAGTACCAGTGGGGCATTGGTTCTAGGAGGCCCTGCAGACTCCTAAATCCACAGATGCTTAAGCCCCGTACATAAAATGGCACAGTATTTACATAGAATCTATACACGTTCTACATATGCTTTAGCATGTAAGTCACTTATTAATACCTAAGGCCGTGAGAATAGTTGTTAAATACAATATCATTTAAGGAAGAATTACAAGAAAAAACTCTAAGGTGTTCAACACCAATACAGTTTTGTTTGTTTTTTCCAATATGCTTTGTCTGCTTTGATTAAGTATGCCAAAGCCAAACCCACTAATATAGCAGGCTAACATATTTGATGTGCAAAGAGTCTATGTTGCTCAATGAATTATGTTTTTATAGTGAAGATCACATATATATCAGAACTTAGTTATTAGGGAAGTGTTTGTGTTGCCAAGTGTATATACTACAGTTGGAGAATAGTTGTACAGATTTTGTTATCGATAGAGCCCTTTATGAAATGATGTCAAATATTTTCAGATGTCACATGGATGATTAATTCACTTCATCACCTCTTAAATCTGTGATAACTGAAACAGAATCTATAGTTTAACATCCCTTCTATGGGAGTAATATTTGCCTTTTTTAATCTTTCAGGTAAAAATCAAAGAGGCAACTGGGCTTCCCTTAAGCCTGTCAAACTTTGTCTTCTGTCAGTACACATTCTGGGACCAGTGTGAGTCTACCGTGGCTGCTCCCGTGGTGGACCCGGAGGTTCCATCACCACAGACAAAGGACGCCCAATACACGGTCACCTTTGCTCACTGCAAGGTACAGATGCCATTGCAAAGCAGGCTCCATGCGATGGGGAGATTGGTGCAGTTCAAAGATCTACATGTAACTTAGAAGTTATAAGTGATGTCTTATTGGACTTCTAACCTCAAAAAGTACTTCATTAAAAGTCCAAATATACCTAGAAATATTTAAAATCTGAAAGATCTCAATCTGCAGTCTTACTATGTAGAAGTAGAACCACCACCAACAGTATGCTACATATTTAAATAACTTTTGTATTGTACAACTTGCTTATGTGTCTGACAAACATGTAATATACATAAATAGGCACAGATAGCCACTTTTGCATTGAATGCACATAACTTGCGCATGTATCTGGGTATCTCAACATCTAAGTTGTTACAGACATTTCCCATTCTTTTGAATGTTGTATAGCATTCTAAGTCAGTGTTCTAATACAGCATATGAGGTTTATTTTTTTGTTTGCTTGCTTGATCTTTTTGAGACAGGGCCTTACCGTGTAGTTCAGGCTGACCTTGACCTCACTTGATAGCCCAGGCTGGCCTTGAACTTGTAATGATCCTCCTGCCTCAGCCTCCCGAGTGCTGGGATTACAGACATGCACTACCATACCCCACACCATATGATGTTTTTTTTTTGTTTTTTGTTTTTTGGTTTTTTTTTTTTTTTTTGTCTTTTTCATTTTTACTGGTACCAGGGATCGAACTCACGACTGCCTGCTTGCAAGGAAGGCGCTTATGCCGCAGAGCTAAATCCCCAGCTGCTACTATATGAGTTTTTAAAGAAAATGGAAAATGGAAAAGATGAGTTTGTAATTAGACCTACCTTGAGACACTACTATCTACCCTTTCTTACTTTCACAAAAGAGTACAGTAAAGTCATTTCTGAAAGATCAGTTCTGTCCTTCCTATAATTTTTCTTTCCCTGGGCAACTCTTTTTTTTTTTTTTTTTTTTTTTTTGGTAACTTTTTTTTTTTCTTTTTCCTTTTTATCGGTACCAGGGATTGAACTCATGACTACTTGCTTGCAAGGCAGGTGCTTATGCTACTGAGCTAAATCCCCAGCCCCAAAAGTCTTTTTCGTTTTTTTTTTTTTTTTTTTTTTTTTTTAATCGGTACCAGGGATTGAATTCATGACTGCCTGCTTGCAAGGCAGGCGCTTATGCCGCTGAGCTAAATCCCCAGCATCTTAATAGATACTCAAGATCATTGCTTTGGTAAATTGGGCCTATTTTTTTAATTAGAAAGCAAAGACAGTGATACCTCAGTTGTTGAATCGCTCCAACTTCAAACTTTCTGCTACTCAAACAATAATGTGTTTTGTTTTTTTTTTATTTTGCTTTGTTTGGTACTGGGGATTGAACTCACAACCTTGTGCTTGCCAGGCAGGTGCTTGGCCGCTGATCTAAATCCTGGGCTCAACAATAATGTTTGAAAAAGATCTGATCGATGTTCATAACTTCATTTGATAGACAAACTGAAAATCCAACCTGAAAAAACCTGTATAGGCCGAGAATGAGTCATGTGCTACATCTCACTGTGGACACAAGGGGGTGACCCTTTAATCTAAGCGCTGCGCTCTCCCAGACAACATATGATGCTTCTATTAGTGCGTTAAGACTTTTGTTAGGGCCAGGGATACAACTCAGTGGTGTAGGGCCTGCCTGGCAAGTGCGAGACCCTGAGTTCAATTCCTGGTACTAGAAAACAGGTTTTAAAAAAAAAAAAAAAAAAGTCTTAAAAAAATAAAACTTTTGTTAATGTGGGGTTTTTTTTTTTCCTGTGTTTGCATAAAATATCGTAACCATGGCTCCAAAGAAAGTAATGACAACAGTAAAGCTAAGAGGAAAGCTGTGAGAACCACAGTAGACTTAAAGAAAAAAATCATGGTGCAATTTGTTAAAAGTCCTAGAAAAGTGAATTTATAAGTGTAATTTGAGGCATCGTGACCAGTTGTTTCGTTTTCCATTATTTCTTGTGGAAAACATATGTTCAGTGGGCTCAGAATGAGCCCAGACGATTACAGTCTAGATTGATCTCTGGAATCAACAACAGAGTTTGATTATGGACAAGTAACTCTCTTTAACTTCCTCCCAAGACGGAGGTATTGAATTAGATTGTCTTGCCATGTCCCGTGGTTGTTGACAGTTTTCCATTAAACAGAAGAGCTGGGTTTGAGGTTGAGATCAGGCTGATAAATGCCAAGGGAACATGTAGATAGGTGAAAGTTAAAAGGATCATTCCACAGACTCCGTATGCATAATTCCTGTTGCCCGCTCCTTCCTTCTGCTTGTCCAGGACTATGTGGTAAACGTCACAGAAGAGTTCCTGGAATTCATTTCAGATGGAGCCCTGGCAATTGAAGTGTGGGGCCACCGATGTGCTGGCAATGGTAGCTCCATCTGGGAGGTCGATTCTCTTCATGCCAAGACGAGAACATTGCATGACAGGTTTGTTCCTGGCTGTGAGTTTCGGATGTGGGGTCAGAACTAGCACGTGGACAGTGATTAAGAGCACAGGCTTTGGAACCTGGGACTACTACTGGTACTTTGGACAGGCTATTTATCCCCTCTGAGCCTGGTTCCTGCTTTGCAAAATGAGAGTGATAGAAGGAACTACCAGCCACAAATTCAATGAGAAAGAGCAGTTGTTTTAATAAACAAGACTGGAACAATCATGTATCCACATGGAAAAAACTAAGCATTATTTTATTTTACTCCATACACAAGAATTAATTTGAGTAAGACTAAAACTAGAACTATAAATCTGATGGAAGAAAAGAGAATAGCTTCACAATTTTGAGATTGTCATAGGTTTTTGCCACAGAAAGCACTTACTACAGAAGAAAGATTTTTCTTTCTTCTGTGACCCAACATCCCCAAGGATTTGCGTGAGAGAAATTAAAACAAAATAAGAGTCCACAAATAAGAGTTGCATATTCATGTTAATGCCGGCTTTATCTAGAGTATTCCAAAATTCCAAACATTGAAAATATCCATCAGTAGGTTAAGCAGATAACCAACGATGGTATTGTATATACAACAGAATAATACTCAGCATTTAAAAAAAAAAAGAGCTGTTGATGCCATTTGGTCAAATCCCAAAAGTACCAAATAACAGAAGCCAACCACAAAAGAATCCGTACTACGTGCTTCCATTTATATGAAGGTCTAGAACAGACGGAGCTAATCTGTCGGGGAAGCCAGCTGCCACAGGACCATGGGGATCAAATGGCAGAGTCATGGGCAACGTTTCCGAGGCTATGGAGAGTTAGGTACACAAATTATGCGTGTTAGATGCTTTAAACTCTGTTCTGAAGATGTGGGCATGCCATTGGATCTGAGTTATACCTCAGTGAGGTGAATTAAAAGCAATACCACAGGGTTGATAGAGAACTGAATAAGGAGATGATCTGTGTGATATAGCTGGCACTGCGCCTAGGACATAGTGCTCAGTGAATGACACTTAGTGTCATCACTAATTGTGCCCCTGGACAGTGACACTTTGCTTGTTGGGATGTGCTCTGGCAGGTGGAATGAAGTAACTCGAAGAATAGAAGTGTGGATCTCCATATTAGAACTCAACGAGTTAGGGGAATATGCTGCAGTTGAACTCCATCAGGCAAAAGATGTGAACACAGGAGGCATCTTTCAGCTCAGGCAGGTAATACTACATTTGCTCACTGTTTGCATTTTTGTATTTTCAGTCTAGCACACAGTTTCTGTGAATTTTCTATGTATGACAAGTCCTTAATTCTTTTCCTTCATGTTTTTCCTTCTCCTATCCCACCCTGATCCTATTCCTGGCCTCCTCTTCCCCCAAACTCTGCCTCTATCTTGCAGGGTCATTCCCGTAGAGTACAAGTCACAGTGAAACCTGTACAGCATTCGGGGACACTGCCGCTCATGGTTGAAGCCATCTTGTCAGTGTCCATTGGCTGTGTGACTGCGAGGTCCACCAAACTCCAGAGAGGGCTGGACAGTTACCAGGTAAATAAAAAACCCACATTTGAGAAATACTGTTTAATGAAGATTAGGGCTTAAGGCTGTAATTTAGTGGTAAAATGTCTACCTGGCATGCACAAGGGGTTTCTTCCTCAGTAGCAGGGGAACTGTTGAAGGGAGCCAGATGGGACGGGGCTCATCAGTGCAGAAGTAAGGAAGTTAGTAGTGTATGTGGGGGGCCTCTTCGGGAAGATTTAGTGTTAGTTAATTATTTTGTTTATAAACACACATTCATGCATAGTAGTCATTTGCTTGAAGACGATTTTATTTTACATCTGGCTCAGAGTATGGGAAACATTTAACACTGTTGCCTGACCTGACCCACTTTTATTAGTATCGCAAAATTGTTTCCCTACACCATCAGAGGGAATCAGTTTTCTGAAAGTTTTACTTCATTTTTTTTTTCAGTTATAAAGCTGTCCTCATGATCATCTTTTCCATTACATCTCCCTTTTCTGAATCTCATGTTCTCATTTAAATTTTTCAAAAAGAAAACCTCTAAAAATTAATCTTTATTTTACCCACCAGGCCTCTTCAGTTGTCTCTGAAAATAAATTTCAAATTTAGGGACTTCCCCAGCATGACCTGAAAGAATGCATATGTGTTACTGTGTCCCCGTGTACTGTCACATATGCCTTAGCAACTGAGGAGAGTGGCTGATATCTGACTTTCTCACATCTGGCAGTGTCATTTTTTGACAGTAAGGAAACATCTCCCCCTTTGTTTCTCAGGCATAAGCCAAACCAATCTTGAGAACGTTCTTCTTCTCTCTGTTTTGGCTTCATGGCATTTATGTCGATTTTTCTGAAGCTAAAAAAAATCAGAGGACAGATCATGGGGCTTTGGGGAAGATATGGCTTTGTCACACTGCCAGGCCAGAGCTGCCTCCAGCTCTCAAGTCTACGCATGCTTCATTCAGAGCATGGAACAAAGGCGGAAGGCCTGGCAGCTTCTCCACTGGGCTCCTCCTCTGGTTCAGTCCCTTTTCCTGACCTGCAGTTTCTGGGGTAGCTCCAGAGCTTTGTATAAAGGGCAAGCACCAGACTTAGAGTGAGAAGGCCTGGCTTACCTTTGTCTTGCCTGGGTAACGTAAACTCAAATTTCCCTTTTTCCTGTCCAAATGGTAACCTTTCTTCAATGATAATTTGAGGCTTAATAAATCTCTGATCTTAGCTAAAACATCAAGTTTGTGCATCTCAAACTGACTTGACAGACAGTAGATAACTGCCTAAGTGTTCCTATTTCAGAAATATTATAAGAATTATTTCCATGTTTTTAAAAACAGCATTGCCTTAAGTTCAAACTGGTTTTTGTCAAAATATACATGTTAGAATATTATTGTTATATGCTCTGTTAAGAATACAGTAACAGGGTTGGGGTATATCCCAGTAATTGAGCATGTGCTTATTTTAGCAAGTACAAGGCCCTAGGTTCAATCTTCAGCACCACAAAAAAGGGGACAGTACCAGCCACATGATTTCATTTTTTTCCTTCTGCTACCATGCCCAACGCCATATCTGTTAGCATAGTACTTTAGAATTATTCTAATGCAATAGCTGAAGCCAAGAGTATGCTGATATCACAAGTGTTACATTATAAAAGGTCAAGCTGCTATTTTATTGATGAAAGTAACCTCTTTATCATAAAAATTAATGATATATTAGGGAGTTTGTTCGTTTACATAAATACTGAGTATTCAAGAGAAATTATTTCAGAATTAGGGCTTGCATTTAATAAATTAGTCATAAATGAGAATAATGATTACTAGACTTTTTAAAAAAAGTTATAGATGTGAAAGTAATTTTGCTGTATTCATTAGGCATATTTTTCAAAAAAGGTTAATATTTTTTCTGTGACAAAAAAAGGTTTAATCATAAATTTAAACAAAGGGTTTCTAAGTAGAGTTGTCTCAAACCTCTTGTTTTCAGCACCTTTTCTTATTTTTGCCTTATGTTTTTGCAGAAGTTGTTATTTTATGTAATTAACATAAACTATTGCCTGTGTTTGGTACAGTTGTGATTTTCTTAGCTGATTACTGTGGTCAAGAGAAGATACTGATAATTATGCATTAAAAACAGTGTGCTAGGGGCTGGGGATTTAGCTCAGTGGCATAAGCGCCTGCCTGTCAAGCAGGCAGTCATGAGTTCAATCCCCGGTACCGATAAAAAGGAAAAAGACAAAAAAAAAAAAAAAAAACAGTGTGCTGTGCTTTTATGGCACTAACATAGTACAGAATTTTGTAGGTGTGTGTAATCTTGGGTTCCACTTGATGAGTTTACGCATGACACTAGTAGATAAATGCAAGGGAAATTCGCTGAAGTCACATATTGAAGGCTAGGATTCCATTCTGACCTGGCACTGCCTATACGACCTTTTTGTTAAATCACTGCATCCCACAGACATTGTGCCTTCCTGACCAAATCCAAGAGAACCTCTAAAGTCCCTGGGAGATTTGCCATTTCATCCTCCTAAATCTTTACATCTGAAATCTTAAATCACCTGCCCATCAGTAGATATCCCCTGTCCTGCTTCATGATACCACTGGAGCTGACCCAATGGTGTTGGTTCCTAACCCCATGTAAGAAAGTTCTTGGGTTTATTTTTCATTACTTAAGAAATTCTTTAGGTCAGAGGTTGTAACACAATGGTAGAGCTCCTGCCTGGCTTGCACAAGCCCCTGGGTTCAACCTTCAGCACTCCAAAAAATAAAAAATATATACAAATAAATAAAAAAGGAAGGGAGGTTGGTTTTAGACAAGTGAAGTAAAACCATTAAACCTATTTTTCAGATTCAAGGAAATATTTTATTGTGCTGATGTTGTGTGGGCCATAGTAATATGTGTGCTGTTTAAAGAATTACTTTCCCTGTGTGCTGTTTGAGAAAAAAAATGCATGTCCTTTATGTTTATTTTTTTCCTACCAGAGAGATGATGAGGATGGTGATGATATGGATAGTTATCAGGTATTGCTACTGCTGTCAATCCTGTGGCATGGGGCACAGCTATTGCTAATTGCCAACATTCGCAAAGCAGAGGCCAGGGAGGAAGGAGGACCGTAGAGCAAGGATATGCAGTTTTTCACTTGCTTTTGATTTGCTTTGTACCTAATCAGGGATACATCACTATTTCTGTTGACTTCCTTGTCAGTTCAAAATTTACTAGCAGTTACTGCATTTTGGCTATGCTACCTTGCATTATCAGCTTGTAAAGCCTTGCTAAGCAAGTCTATTATCACTGTATTGAAATTGATGATCTTAAACGTTGTGCAGTTATCCATTCAGAATCTTTAGATGGACTCTTGTTTTTCCTTTGCAAATCTTCACTCTGCTTCTTACATCCAAGAGACTAGCCTTGTTCTCATTGGCCGTTTTACTTTAAGAGACTTTTTCTGGATAGGAAATTTGGAGACATTCTGTGCGTATAGCTTTGTTTTATTTTGCTTAGCCAGTTTTCTCTCATTAAGATCAAGTTTAGTTCACTGTAACCTGTAGAATTTAAATCTCAGCCTTTTCTTGTTGAGAATATAGAGGAAATGTGTGTAAGTGTGAAGTATGTACCTAAGATAGGCATGGTCAAAGCAGGCAGCACACCAAGCTGAAGACTTCTGAATTTGGTCTCCAGTTTTTGTACTGCTACTCCACACAAGTTAAAGGACATTTTGTAATGTGCCTTGCTATATGTAAAACACAGGTACATTGTTGGAAAAGTGTCAAAGGTTCTCAGGTGTCTGATCTTAATATGTCTTTGGGGCTAGGCTAGAAAAAGAGCCTGTTGAGTTGAACTGATGGATTTTCTTTCCCTGCTCATAATTTTACTAAGAAAGCAACCAAAAACCAACTCTAGCGGGAATGTCAGTGCCCCTTCGAATCTCAGAGATTCCATTGACTAACATCTTGTGGCTTTTTGCGTGCTTCCTGCCACCTTGTTCACAGTGAAGTCCAGTGGCTGCTTTGGGGATTTCTTCAAGCATGGCTGACTGCATGTTGGGTTTTTGCATGGGAGATTTGGTATTAGCTTCATGGTGGTGGTTGGAGGTACAATCTTTGCAACAAGTTCAAAAGGTTCTCTGCTGACTTGTTTGCATTTCAGAAGAAAGTACATGTTACCTGACCCTTGAACTATGAACTATGACAATATCTGTCATTGCCCATTCCATTTGATGTTATGTGGTTTGAGTTCTGTTCATGGTGACCTTCTGCTTGAAATCAGTGCCTACACTGATTTCAGTATATGTATATACACAGCATAAAAATCATCCGCAGCTGATATAGTTTGAGCTTGTCTTGCCTTTGAATATAATTAATCCCTTTGGAGATCCAGGGGCTCTGATTTCGGTGACTGGCATCCTTGATCAGCATGCAGTATTACTGAGACCTCTTTGCTTTCCTGCATATTAATCACACAGCAATGTTCAGTGGTCTGTCCTAATGAAAAAAAATCTCCTGAACAATTGAGATGTATCTTTAAAAGGAAAGAAGCAGTTGTCTATGCACTTTACAGGAAAATATTTCCCCTCTTTATTGTCAGGAAGAAGATTTAAACTGCGTAAGAGAGAGGTGGTCAGATGCACTCATTAAACGGCGAGAATACTTAGATGAGCAGATTAAAAAAGTGAGCAATAAAAAAGGTATGTGAGATTAAACTGGTGGGAGTAGATTTCTCATTTGGTAGTGAGTCGTTTTCTTCCCTTACTGGATAGCAGTGTCTTAGATTCTTGAATTTGAAATAGCTGTAAGTATTGGTGAATCAGGTTATACAGTCAATGTTGGTTTAAGAAGGCTTTGAATTTGAATGTAATAAATTTTCATATATCTCTGAGTTATAATCTGTTACATTAAATAGCATTAAAATTTTGTTTTGATGAACACAGATGTGGTCAATACCAATATGTTAATACAAGGCATGCTGGGTACCAGAATCTAGGATTTGCAGCAGCTAAAGGGCTACTTATGAAACCATACCACTTAGCACTACGCTCCTTTTAGGAAGGGCCCTGGTGTTGAGCTAATTGAGTGATTCCTGCAGCCCCACTTGATGCCCAGGGGTACACTTTGCTTATGTGAATAGTGGACATTTTAAGTTTGCAGCATAAATATGCTCATAAAAACCTAAGCATCTCACCTTGACTTCACTGTCTATTCCTTGTGATTGATTCTGCATCAACAAATACATCATGAAAGTTAACCCATATTGTACAGAAGTTAACAACAGTCCTCCCTCAGGAAATGTCTTGGCCCAGTGTGTGATATTAGTGTAGGCATATGCCAACCTTGGTAATGACTATACCCAGAGAACTCCAGAGTTAATTATGAGTACAGGGATTTCAAAGTACATCAAATAAAATTCTTTTCATAGTGAAGATACAAGAGAATAAAAAGAATTTTCCAAATAAGGTGTATGATGTTTTTAAATCCTCTAAGTGAGGGCCAGGGATATGGCTCAGCGGCTCAGTGCCTGCCTGGCAAGTGCAAGGCTCTAAGTATGATCACTGGTTACAAAAAGAAAGAAAATTATTAACTCTTCTAAATAGCTTATAGCTTTTATAAAACAATATCACTGTCATTATTTCATTTGATCATCCCACCATAATAAAAAGTCTTCTCCTGTTCCAGTGTTTTTTCTACTATTCCCACATGGGCACCTTATATTGGTGTCACAGCCTCTGCCATTCTGGACATTCGTGCTTGACTTTCAAAGGTTCAAAACTTTTTTTAGAATATGGTAGATGTTTAAACTATTTTGCCTGCCACTGATATCTGTTCATTTTAAATGTCGACATCGTGCCTTCTCTCTTGCTGGTGTTCACCCTCTTATTGTCTTCTGCAGAGAAAACAGAGGATGATGTGGAGCGGGAGGCCAGGCTTGTGGAGCAGTGGGTGGGACTGACGGAGGAAAGGAATGCGGTGCTGGTGCCAGCCCCAGGCAGTGGGATCCCCGGGGCTCCCGCCGACTGGTAAGGCCACCCTTCCTTCTCCACTGGCCTGGCAGAGGGTACAGCCTGCCTGCAACAAGAGCCAGGTGACTGGCTTTCTAGGATCATCACAGTAAATGCCAAAAGACTGGGCAGCTCAGGGAGGAATGCCCATCCCTAGTACTCTTGTCCCTTTATTTTTTTCCCTACTGCAGTCCTCTTTCTTCACCAGAAACCAGACAGCCTCCGTGACCTGGCCAGGAATCAGCTTCAGTGTGCCTCTGTGCCTATGAAAAGGCAGCTTGGACATTGTGTCCTCATCCCCAGAAATTCTTTTATTTTGACTCAAAAGAAGTATGTTTTCAAAATATACTTGAAGAGGACAGAAAGTTCTTCTTTGTATTTGCCTAGTATGTGTGTAGCTTGGCAACTAGCAGAGAGGGAGCCCTTAGCTCCATATGCTTAGTCACCTGTCCAGTAGTCAACCCTAGATGTGTTCATGACCAAGCGCCTGGCCTGCTGTGCTCTGGAGGGCAACACTGGACCTAGTTTCCAGCTTCAGCTCTAAGTGAATACGTATTTCTTTAACTTCCCTCACGTTTTCTTCCTAATCTATTAATGGAGCTACCTTTATGGCAATTTGAGCACTGTAGATAATGGATATAAATCTTGTGCACTATGGTAAAATAGTTGTGTATATTACAGAATATATAAAATATTTCTCTGTGCACTAAATGGTAACTGTGGCTGCGTCTTATTCTCATTGTTTCTCATCTTTATTACAAAAATATGTCCAGGACATTTAAGAGAAAACAAAGTCCCTTTCAACATGGAACTTACATGCCTGGATAGTTTCTTTTGGACAGACACAGAAACATTAATAATATTATTTGTCTCTGTCCATAAATGGAAGTGTAACCAGTTTCATGTTGTACTTTATGGAATCAGAGAATCTGACTTTGCAGGCACATTAACTTGTAACCTGCTGGATCTGCCTGCAGCTGCCATGTTCTCAGTCTTGTCTGTCCTTCTGAACCTCACCCCATTCCTCAAATCACTTTAGATAGTCTTAGCCAACCCTGGTTACTCTGATTCAAAAGATGCAGAATGCGCCCAGGACTCTTCCTTTGAACGGGCCTCAGGTGTTTCCTGTGTGGCTGGGCCAGCTGTCCCAGAGGTCCCAACATTGCTCTGACCTTTCCTGCACGTGGCTCTGCCCCCTCACACATCTTTGGGGCTTTTATGTAGTGTCCCTTCTGTTTACTTCCTCTAAGCTCTCACTCATCCTATCACCACTAACAACACCTCTGTCCCTTGGACCTTTCTCTGCAGTTATTTTTAGAAAGTCCTCAAATAACCTTTGTCTCAATCAATCACATGTAATTCACATAAATGGTAGTTCTTCTAGAAAAGTTGTGTAACTCCTGTGGCTTTTATTAGTGGGGGGCAGAGGTGGTGGTCATGAAGTGTATTTCATGAATAGGACCTGCACCTCTAGTTTTCTTCTGCTTTCTTCTGCTTCCATGACCCTGAGGCATTTTAGAATCTAGCAAAACACAAACCATATTTTTGTTTACTTATTTTAAGTTTTTTATTTGTTGATCAGTTTGGTTTTTTTGTTTTTAGAATCTTCCTAGTATAGTCCAGGCTGGCCTTGAACTTGCTGTGGTCCTCCTCCCTCAGCCTCCTAATTACTGTGATTGCAGGCATGCATCACCACGCTGAGATAAGTGTGAAACACATATTTTATTATTGAATTCTTGTTATTAAATTTAGGGTTCCACCTCCTGGAATGGAAACCCACATACCAGTTCTCTTCCTTGACTTGAATGGTAAGTAGACAAAGTTCCAAGGATGTTACATTTAATTAAGGTTTGTCACGTATTCACCATAATCTGATCTGTAAGTCACTTTTGTGATTACTCAGTTGCCATTCCTAGGTGACACTTTTGGTCTAGTCACTTGTGTACAAGCATGGCATGTAGAATCACTGGAAGGCAACATGGATGGTTAGCCACAAAATGAGATCATTTGGGGAGATCGAGAAGTGCATATGAGAGTATTAGAGCAATTGATCTAAAATCTTGAGACAAACATTAGCTGGGAAAATGATTCTGACCATTAATCTTGGAAGGACCCTGGCTTCTGCATTTCTTTTCACTTCCCTAGTAGTTTTGATACCAGCATTGATGACATGCCATAGAATTACATTAAGGATTGTTCTTATACCATGATAATTAGAACTTGGGCAACCTAGAGCAATGGTTTTCAGTGCGTTTAGGAGTAAAATCCTTTTCCAAATGAAACTTCAAATGGAACCCCATGTATAAAAGTGAAAACAGATTTGCTGAGTTGCCTGGCCCATGGCAGGTCCTCCTGCAGAGCCCTAAGGTACTTTAAAACCACCTGAAAACCTCTGCTACAGAGGGAAGGTCTGTAAGGATGGATGAAAGACACGGGAAGTTTGACTTTGACCCAATGCTTGAAGAATTTTTGAGAGGCTAGAGGTAGAGAGCATGCCTCACAAAACGGTGAGTTCCCTGGCATTGCTGGCATGCAAGCAACAGGGCTTGACCACTTACAGATTCTTTTCAAGGGTGAATCTCACATTGGCTAGGACTTTGGACTTCTTTCAAGTGTTCAGGACCTTGACTTTAAATTGATAATTTGACTACTAATATCTCCAATTTAAAGTAAGTTATATGAGTGGAACCACAAACATTAGGTTCCAGGAGAAGTTGCCATCAATAAAGCAGCAAAATTTTAAGGTATGTCAACTGAAAATAGTGCTCTAGAAGTATGAGGAACATCTGTCTATCATGTCCTGTAGGGCAGTCAAAAGGCAACTTCTCGGCTCTCATTGTTTTGTTTGTGTTTTGATGGTGCTAGCAGTTGAACCCAGGACTCACCTGTGCTAGGCAAGTGTTCAACTACAGAGCTACATTCCCAGCCCCTCTTATAGTTATATTTAAAGAATAAAGTCTGTTGGGAGTATTGGGGCATCTACTGCATTCGTAGTTGAGGAATGAAAGAAAAAATAAGCTATATGTAAATATCATGGGTAAAAAGCATAATTTGGGGCTGGGGATATGGATCAATGGCAAAGCACATGTTGAACATACATGAGTCCCTGGGTTCCATCCACAGCACCACCAGGGATTAAAGCACATGAAAATTTTGGTGGTGGCTAAAAAACTGACTTTGCAGGCCAGATATGGTAGTACATACCTGTAATCCCAGCCCTCGGGAGGCTGGGGTAGGATCGCTGCAAGTTCAAGGCCAGCCTGGGATACATAGTGAGTTCAAGGCTAGCCTGAGCTGCATAGTAAAACCTTGTCTCAAAAAGACTCAAAGAAAACCCCAAACACCTGATTTTCCCCCTGCTTTTTCTCCTGTGCCTTGAACTTGACAGCGGATGACCTTAGTGCCAATGAGCAGCTCATCGGCTCCCACGCATCAGGTGTGAACTCCATCCTGCCCAAGGAGCACGGCAGCCAGTTTTTCTACCTGCCCATCATAAAGCACAGCGATGATGAGGTAGTTTATCCTGCGGGCCATGGGAGGGGCTGCAGCTCAGCACAGTGGGGCTGATAAAGCACCTAGTTCCACTTTGGGGAAGAGGACTAGGGACTTTAAAAAATAACACATTAGTGTTATTGTTCAAAGTAGGGGAGGCAAGACAGCCAGTGGACTACACTGAGGTGAGATTGTGGAATCTCTAGTGTATAGTGCAAAATACTGCAGCTCGAGTCATCTTGTTTCTGTCTCCCATCCCCGTCCCTGCTGCCAGGTGTCAGCCACAGCCTCGTGGGACTCCTCAGTGCATGATTCTGTCCACTTGAATAGGGTCACACCACAGAACGAAAGGATTTACCTCATCGTGAAGACCACTGTCCAGCTGAGCCACCCAGCTGCTATGGAGTTAGTGTTACGGAAAAGAATTGCAGCCAATATTTACAACAAACAGGTAATGATGGGGACTGGTCCTGCTGTGTCTAGGAGAGCACAGGTGGCTCTTCTGTGTATCACTCAGCCTTGTTTTGTTGGCATGGCTTATGGGGATGTGCAGAATGTGACTGCATTGGCCAAGTTAGAATTGGACTCATTTACCCAGGATATGTTGGCTCATGAGAGCCGCGGAGGTATATGTCGTCCTCAAAAGGCTCTGGCAGTTTGACTGACTGTCTTCCTGGCAGGCAGCAGCTATGACATGTCAATATTCGAAATGCAAAAACAGTGGGGCTGAGAGGTGAAGTACTAGGTCCTATCAGATAGTGACAAGACCACAACAAAACAGGCTCCGAGTAAATCCTTATCCATATGCCCTGCCACATGTCATCTCAAAAGCAGTGTCACCAGAATGAGTCTCCCCAATATTCTGACTGTGCCAGGGAATCCCGCGAAACCTGAGGAGATAATGTTAGCCCATGGGAACGAGAGGAACACCTGCAGAGGCCTAGAAGGGTGGCCCCACTCGGTAGTCCCAGAGGAACAGCTGGGCACCACTGTGCCTCAGGATAGAGATGAGGATTTTTTAAAATTCAGGGCCATTTTCTGATTTGCTGAATATTATGTGGGTATATAAAAAACAGCAATATATAATGCTTTTATAATTTATAGAATGCTAAATAACATTCATCACAGACTTAAGCCTGTTTTCCTTTTCTGCCAGAGTTTCACACAGAGTTTGAAGAGGAGAATATCATTGAAAAATATATTTTATTCCTGTGGTGTGACCTATGAGATAGTATCCAACATACCAAAGGTAAACTTTGTACTACTTTTTTTTTTTTTTTTTTTTTTTTTTGTCTTTTTATCTGTACCGAGGATCAAACTCACAACTGCCTGCTTGCAAGGCAGACGCTTATGTCACTGAGCTAAATCCCCAGCCCCTACTTTTTTATTTTTGCCACATGGGGGATGTAACCCAGGGTCTCACACATTCTTGCCAAATGTTTACACCGAGCTATATACACCTCCAGCCATATGGGAGGGGTTTTTCTTGAGAGGATACCAGGGAATTGAACCCAGGGCCTTTATCCTGAACTACATCCTCAACCCTTTTATAATTCTTTTTATTTCGAGCTGGGCAAGATGACACATCACTATAATCTGAGCACTCAGGACACTGAGGAAGGATTGCAACAAGTTCAAGGCCAGCCTGGGTTCCATAAGAATTTGAGGCCAGCTTCAGCTATATATATATTTTTTTTTTCTTTTTTTTTTTTCCCCCCCTTTGAGATAGGGTCTCACTGAGTTGCCAGCGTGCCTGGGCTGAGTTCAAACTCACAATCTTCCTGCCTCAGCCTTACAGTGTGCTGGGATTACAGATGTTCACTACTTCTTCTGGTCCCTAAAGTATTTTTTTAAATATCAGTATAAAAATAATAGAGAAGGTGTTCATTCTGTGTACTTGTAAGGCATTTTCTCACCACGCTTTTGATGACTGAAAGTAGCATCCTTTCCTTGCTGTCTGTCCCTTTAGGCAACGGAGGAGATCGAGGACCGGGAAACGCTGGCCCTGCTGGCTGCCCGCAGCGAGAGCGAGGGCACCGCGGACGGCGAGACATACATGGAGAAGTACACACGGGGCGTGCTGCAGGTGGAGAACATCCTGAGCCTGGAGCGGCTGCGGCAGGCAAGTCCCAATTCTGTGTGCGTGCCCGCCTGTGGGGGTCCAGCCCAGCCTGCGCCCCGGACGAAGCTGAGTTTGTGTATGAAATGCCTCTCGCTGTCTCAGAGAAGCAGCGCTTGAGCAGCAGTGTCTGCAGAAGAAAGGCTCTGGCTGTGCACTGCTCAGATAAAGAATCGTGGATCATTTTTTACTGGGTACTTCCTGCTTGCTGAGCACTGTGCCTGAGGAATTCAGATACATTATTTCATTCATTCGGTTTTCACTTGGTTTTTTGAGAGAGTATTCACTGAGGCAGCCGCCATACCCAGCTAAATACATTATGTCGTTGAATCGCTGGGATAACCCTCTGAGTGTCTGGCTGAGTGTCTGGCTTACTCTGTGATCCCCGTTTCCAAATTGGGACAGAGGGAAATTGGCTCCGCAGCACCAGGCTACACAGCAAAGCAGTGGGATTGGCAGACTGGGCAGCTTGACCCTGTAGCCTGTGTGTCTCCACTGTCCCGTCACAGCCTCCTTAAGTTCCAGACCCAGCTCAACTTTCAAGCTGCTGCCAGGATGTTCGAGTGAGAGTAATGACCTCAGGAACAGGACATGAGGCCCACTGTTTTCCCTGTGCTGCTTCCATAGCTGTCCTAGTGACTTTATGGAAAGTGTGTGCTGAGTGACAGGAGAGTGAGAATCAGAAGCATCTTCGCTCCGTGAAAACCCTGCCTGAATTGCTACATGAGTAAAAACACAGACAGCATAACACTTGATGTCACTTTGCAAGTGAGATACATAACCGGAGGTTAACTCTTCATTTTCTCTGTGCCCTTGTTTTTAAAAGTTCACACCGTAAATGTCTTTTGCTTAGCAGTTTTCCTGATTTTGTTTCAAAGCAAATGCTTTCAGTGGATTGGGTAAGGAGTGTGCTGTAAGATTTGTTTTGTAAATGTGAACTTGTGTGTATGTGTATATAACTCGAATGATCTTTATGCATGGATTTTCTAAATTAACAAAGAAACATATGTTCCTTCTAGTCAGATGAGACAATCATTAGTGGTATCTTTAAACTGTTCTGTGTTCACAGGCAGTCACGGTCAAAGAAGCCCTTTCCACCAAAGCCAGGCACATTCGAAGGAGCCTCAGCACTCCAAACGTTCACAATGTAAGCACACTTGTGGTGCCCTGGGCCTCAGGGCTGGGGTGGGAAGCCTGTGCAGGTGTGAAACTGGATTCCCACAATAGGAGTATGACACACACTGACTAAGACCCCAAGTGTCAAGGCTGCATCTCTGTCCTGGGAGGCACACCAGAGCCAAGCCTCCAGACAGATACTCATTTCATTCTTTGTCTCTCCCTTCATGGTTTGGAGTGTCTTCCTCTTTATAATTCATCTAGAAAATTCAGTTGACAGAAATCGCTTCTAGAGCAGGCCATGATGGCACATTGTAATCCTAGTACTCAAGAGGCTGAGGCAGGATCGCGGTGAGTTGAAGAATGGCCTGGGCTACGTAGTTCAAGGCTAGCCTGAACTGTTGGCAAAAACAAAATCAAACAGCAAAAAAAACTATCTACCAGTTGGAGAGGGTTATGGGAAGAAGGGAAAGGTTAATGCTTCTTGGGCCACTTCAAAGCATTCTCTTCCCAGAAGCAACAGTAAAAGAAAGATCCTTTTAAGGAAAGGTGTGGTTTTGTGTCTGCCTAATTTTCAAAATTGGCAGGAAATTATTAAAAACATGGTGAACATTTACAAAAAAATATCTTATAATTGGCCCCAGAGCAAATCACAATAGTCACTATCATACTGATTACTTCTGACCACAAAGCAGTCATTAGAAATGAGACTCATATAGTTGTGAACTGAAAAACACTCTCCTAATTAATTTGTGTCTCAAAGAAGCAATCGTAATAAAAATTAGAATGTATTTAGAACTAAATGATAATAAAAACATGCATTTATCAATGCTTGCAAGATGCAGTTAAAGTAGTACGTAGAAATTATTAGACCTAGTGCTGGGAATGTATGTAGATTAGTAGTTCAGCACCTGCCCAGCAAGCATAAAGCTCAATCCCTCGTACCAAAAAACAAAAAACTATTAGGCCTAAATTCCCTGTCCCTTAAACACCACTGCTTAATCTTAACCTTAAACACCACTGCTAGACAGTAGAGAAAACGAAAAAGTGACATCTATTGTTAGGAAATTTATAGTGTTTACATTAAAAAGAAGAGATAAATAGCTTAAAAGAAACAGAAGCTGGGCTTGGCAGCATGTGCTTGTAATCCAGCTTGTCCAGAGGCAATGTAGAGATGAAGGATAACATCAAGATCCTATTCCCCCACTCCCCAAAAAAGGATACGGGTATAGCTCTGGGGTAGACCTTGTGCTCAGTGTAAAGAAACTCCTAAATTCACTTCTCAACACTAAAACAACAACAACCAAAATTTTTTAAAAACTCCAATCTAATCTAAAACAAGTCACTTTTTGAACCGGAATCTGATAAAAATGTCACATCTATCTGCTAATATTAAACATACCAAAAGACAGTGTTAAGTGACCCCACATGGATTCAGTGAGCAAAATCCAGACTGTGGGAAGCTTTTTTTGTTTTGTTTTGTTTTGGTTTTTTTTTTTGGTCTTTTTCATTTTTATCGATACCAGGGATCGAACTCACGACTGCCTGCTTGCAAGAATCCCCAGCCCCAATTTCATTAATTTCCATGTGGATCTTTTTCCATGCTGATCCCTGATGCTAGCTTTAGATTTGGATTGTTCTTGCTATTCTAGGACCTTGAGGTGTATCATTTGAACTTACTCTGTTTTACTGATGTGAACATTCATCCTTATAAACTTACCTCTTGGGACTGCTTTCATCGTGTCCCATAGGTTCCTGTATGTTGGACTGGCATTATCATTTAACCCTGGGAACTAATTTCTTCCTTGATTTTTCCTGAGACCTGTTGATTATTCAACAGGGCACCAAGTTCCATGTTTTTGCATGATTTGCATGGTTTATTTTGCCATTGATTTCTAGCTTCATCACACTATAATTTGATAGAACACAAGATAATTTTATTTATTTATTTTTTGTTTTTTTGCATTTATAAAGTGTTAAGCACTACAGGCTACCGTGTGGTCTATTTTGGATAAAGTCCTATGTGCTGCTGAGAAAAAGTTGTGTTCTATTGTTAGAGGAACATTTTGTAGATGTCTTTTAAGTCCATTTGTTCAAAAGTTAGGTTCAACTCGTATTTTTTTGGTTTTTGTTTTTGGTTATTTTTGGGGGGTCAAGTTGGTCTGTTTGTGTCAGTGAATACTGAGGTTCCCAATTCCAGTTGAATTGGTGTTAGTGTGATCTTTCATGTCCGTTAGTTTTTGTTTTATAAGACTGGATTTGCTGGCATTTGCTGTGTTTATAATTATTGTCTCTTCAGTTTTTCCCTTAACCAATATGTAGTAACACTTCTTTGTGTCATCTAATAACTGTTGGTTTGAAACTCATTTTATCCGAAATTAGGGTAGCTACTCCAGCTTTTTTCTGGGTTCCCATTTCATGGATTATGCTCCATTTCTAATCTGTGTATTTCTTTTTTAACTAAATGTGTTTCCTCTATATTGCATATCATTGCAGGAGGTTCTTGATCTATTCTGCCAGTCTATGTCTTTTGACTGGGGAGCTGAGATCATTCACACCAAGTGTTGCTACTGGAAGTCATTGGCATACTCCGGGCAATATGTAATGTTCCTGTTGCTGGCTTTTTTTTCTTTCTGCTTAGCTACTCACCCTGCCAGGCATTATTATTTATTATCTGACTTATTAGCATTGCTGGCTTCATTGTCTCTTTCACAGACATCCTTGAGAACTTTTTTGGGTGCTGGATTGGTGGTCATAAATTTCTTGAGGTGCTCTTTGTCATGGAAATAATTACCTTATTTCTCCACCAATTTTGAAGAAATGTTTTACAGGATATATATCATGTTTCCCCCAAATTAATACCTAGCCAAACTGAAGAATAACCAGACTTAAAAACTAGAGATAAAAAATGGCAGCTCCAAACAGCCTCTCCTGCCTTACAGGCAGCCACTAAAAAAGAAGGTGGTGATGACAAGTTAGGCAAGCGGAGGCTGGCTGGGGCTGGCATCTCTGATCTCTATTTCTCAAGGCTGATTATTTTGCGGTCCAGCTAGGTCTCATTTTCTGGGGAAGAGTGTAAGTTTAAGGCTAGAAATTGTTATCTTTTAGAGCTTAAAGTACTTTACTCCAAGCCCTCCTGGCCTTTAAGAGAAGTGGTGTTGAGAAGTCTTCTATGAGTTTACTTCTTTATGTGGTTTGTTGCTTTTTTTCTCGGTACCAGAAATCAAACTCAGGACCTCACACTTGCCACACAGGTGCTTGTGCTGCTGAGTTATGTCCCCTGCCCCTGTTTGTTGCCTTTTTGTAACAGCTTTAAGACTGCATCTCTATAATAAACTGCTAGTACTCTGATGATGATGTGGTATAGAGAGGTTGTCTTTGGTCCTGGCTGTTTGAGTTTCTGTGTGCATTGTTTGCTGCTATGTTTCTTTTCCTGTATTTGGGGAAAACTCTTTTTTTTTTCTTTTTTATTTGTACCTGGGATTGAACTCACGACCTTGTACTTGTCAGGCAGGCGCTTAAGCTACTGAACTAAATCCCCGGCTCATATTATCAATTATTATTTTTTATTATTTCTGTGCAGGTTTTCTATGTCATTCTTACTGTCTCCTGACTTTTCATTTATTCCAGTTACTCTTAGATTAATGTTCTTTGCATTGTCTAGCAGCTGTTGGATCCATTTTTCATATTCTCTTGTTTTTAACGTATCTTTGAGCAGTTGGTCTTTGAAGGCATGCTAGTCTTCTAGTTCTGAAATTCTCCTCACACCAATTGCTTCTGCTGTCCACAGTTTCAGTATAATTTTTAATATCCTGAATTTCTGATTTAAACCTTTTCATGGCATCTAACTCTGTTAAACTGGTGATTCATGTTTTGTATCATTTTCTTTAGTGCAGAGTTCAGCGCAACTGTGGAAGTTACCAGGCTAAAAGATGGTGGGAGGATGGAGAAGTAAGAGTCAGAATACAGAAAGCTAGGTCAAGTGGAGCGCTCTCTCTGAATGGGAGGAAAGGAAGTGCTCAACAGCTGCTGCACTTTTATTATGCACATGACAGATTAGTATCATGTGACACCTCTCTGCATGGCAACCCATTTACACAGCAGCCTGGGGGGGCCCTCACCTTTTCCAAGCTATGGCAGCTTGTTCACGTGGCTGGCCCCAGGCGCTCTGTTCTCCTAAAGGCCTTGCTCCATCCCTGCTGCTGCTGTTAATCTCTAGCTTCAGCCACTCCCCATACTTCAGCTCAGCTAGTTTTTTATTAGTGTCTTCTGAGAACCCCTTGGTCATTTTGATTATTACTTCTTTATCTGTTTAATTATATCTTCTGTAATCGTGCTGAGCACTTTTTTGACCTGTTTTCAAAGCTCCTCTCTTAATGTTTTTCAAGTAATTTGGGCGTGTAGCTTTTGCTAGTCTTCTTATTCTTTTTTTTTTTTTTTTTTTTTTTTTTTTGTCTTTTTCCTTTTTATCAGTACCGGGGATCTAACCCACGGCTTTTGCCACTGAGCTAAATCCCCAGCCCCTGCTAGTCTTCTTATTGATGGCCCCTGAGTGGCTTTGTGGGAGGTGACAGTTTGGGGATGCATTTTGTTGCCTTGCTTTTTCATACCTCTATGTTTTTGTTTTGTTTTGTTCTGTTTTGTTTTGTTTTGTTTTTAGACTGAGGTCTGTTGACATGTAAATGGACAGTCTTTGTTGAGAGAGCTCTTTTAGTCAGTCACTTTTCAGTGACGTACTTTGAGTGTGACTATTATCTTTTGCCTCTGCCCCATAAGTCAATCATGGTTAATTTGGGAAGGGATAACCAGGCCTGATGGTGTACAACTGTTATCCCAGCACTCAGAAGGCTGAAGAATCACCGTGAGTTCCAGGCCAGCCTTGACTACATAGTGAGTTCTACGCCAGCGAGAACTACACAGTGAGACCTTGTCTCAAAACAAAACAAAGCATAACAGTACAGAGGAGAGAATATCCAACACCAAATTCTCTGGAAATGTAGCCCAGTATTGTTAATGTCATAAAAGTAATCTGAGTGATGGCTTACAAAGGAAACTCATTAATAGCAACAGTTAGGGGCCAGGGATTTAGCTCAGTGGTATAGGTGCCTCCCTGGCAAGTGCAAGATTGTGAGTTCAATCTGTGGTACCCAAAAAAAGAAAAAAACAAAAACAACAAGCAACAGTTATATAACTGTAAATCAGTAGTATCATTCAAGACAAACTGGATATTACCATTCCATAAGAACCACCTTTAACCCTACAGAAGAAATTCACAGTTATATTATAAACACTAAAACAACCCATGTACTAACTTACAATTAATATGTACTAAAAGCAACAGCTGTATCTCTGCTAGTGGTAGAAAGAATTCAACAGTAATTTTATAGAGTTAACTACCTAAAGATTAATAAAGCTCGATGGTTATGTTGTCAGAGACATAATGTGTTGGGAATAGGGGAATGTGAGAAAAGTCTGAAATCTTGGACTGCAGGATCTGATGAGGAGAGAAATGGTAAAAAGTACTATTGGGGAGTAGCAAGATGTTTATAAAATTAGTTAAAGGCAGCAGGAAACTGAGAAGTAGAAGGTAAAAGAAAAAAATATAAAGAATAAGAAAAAACTAAAGGGAAAAACTAGAAGGAAGAAGAGGAAAACGAAGAAAGAAGAAACTAAAAGAGATGGGGTAGGGAGGAGCAAGGAAAAAGGACAAAGGAAAATTCCCCAAGACCCAGTAAACCAACGGAGAAGAGGAAAGGCCAAAAGAAATGTCTCTGATTTTACAGTTTTCTTCCAGGGGGTAGCAATTCTTGTTTTTTTTCCTGAGGTCCTGCTTTGCCAGGCTACGGCAGGGTCCAAGTCAAGACATGTCCCAGCTTACACTGACAGATAAAGGTGGTGGTCAGACCCAGATCCTTGCTCGATACAGGCACCAGCAGGCAGCAGGGTTTGGCCTGCGGCCATGGTGGGGTGGAGAGCTGTGTCCTTTCAGGCTCAAAACCCTCTGGCGCTTCTCTTTCCAGCCCACCCCCTCCCTGACTGCATCACTGTCCCTTTTCTGAGCCCTGTGAGAAGATAACACTGAAGTGAAGCCGTTCTGTGGCTGCTCCCAGCCCTAAGTGCTGACACTCAGCCCTTTCCCGAATGGCACCCAATCCCACGCACTCTCAGGGACTAGGGCCTATAGCCGGTACCAGGACTGGCATGACGTACCAGCTATTGCCTGTGGAAGGACTCAGTGGGATCTGTAAGGACCCCATGCTGTCCCTGAAGACTGAAGCAACCACTGGTTCATTCCACCTCTGCCTTTCTCTCTGGGGCCTCTGAAGTCCTCGGCATTCACTGCGTCTCTGTAAGTTTGATCTTCCTTTCCCACAGCCTCAAGCTGGGAACTAGGAGAAAGGCCTGACTGTTTTGTTCCCTTGTGTCTTTTTTTTTTTTTTTTTTTTTTTCTTTTTGTCTTTTTGAGACAGGGTCTCACTACGCAGTTCAGGCTGGCCTTGAGCTCACTCTGTAGCCCAGGCTAGTCTGAAACTCGCAGTGATCCTCCTGCCTCAGCCTCCTGAATGCTGGGATTACAGGTGTGAGCCACCGTGCCTGGCTTCCCTTCTGTCTTCTGCCTCTTCAGTCTCTCTGCAGCTTTTAGTTTTTCTGTCAGTTCCTGTAGATCTCCCCTTTTTTCTTTCTTCCTGAGGTGGTTATTTTCCTAGATCTGTATTCTGAGTCTCAGAGAGGCAGAGTTGTTGCTGCTTACACTCCACCAGTTTTCCAAAGAATCCCAATAGATTATTTTTGGGGAAGTCAAAAACTTTCCCTGAAGTCTCTATGGAAAAGCAGAGTCAAAGACACACAAACCTTATCTATAGCCAGGAGATTTGTTGCCCTTGATACTCACAAGGGTGTCCAACCCTTTGGCTTACCCAGCATGCACTGAGTTGAGAGAAATTGTCTTGATTATATATATATTTATTTATTTATTATAGTTAATGTGTATGGGCTATATAACTTCCTCTATTTTAAAATATTTTATAACATAAAAAAAGATGGCAAGTGGCCCATGAGTGTTAGGTTGCAAAAGCCTGCAAGAGATTCTTAGAGTTGCACCGATTATATTTAGATTTAATTGATACTGAAAATAACTCACATATCAGTACTTGTAGGATGCAGCTAGGGTGGTGCATAGAGACAATGACAATGCCTTATATTTCATCATATCTGTAATAGAAAAAAAATAGAAGTAGCTTGGATAGCCATCAGTAGGATAATGGAACAAAAAGATCATTATACACTAGAAGAAAATGATGTAAGAGAGCACTTATATGAATATGCAAAATTGTATTTCTGTATGTATGTATATATATATTTACACACACATTTACACACACAGATGTACACATAATTACATAAAATATGCATGGAAATACTAAATTGCAAATTGAGAGTAAAAAGGGGGCTTTAGCTATACCTGTGGCATTACATTTCTTTATAGAAAAAGAAAATTATGTTAAATATGTGAACCAGTTGATGAAACTATTCACTTTTTATAGGTCTCTTCCAGTCGACCAGACCTTTCTGGCTTTGATGAAGATGATAAGGTGTGTACTTGTTGTGGGGATGCCGAGGTTATTATTAGATTCCAAGTTTTTGAGAACATAGTCTGTGCTTATACTTTTTGATTATGTCTTTAAGAAGCTTACAATCTAGTCCCTGGAGTCAGCTAACTCCTAAGAAGTTAAAGCAAGCTGATATGGTCACTTCCATAATAGTGTTCTCCCCTTGGTACTCTAACTCTTATGCCTTTAAAAATTTAAATATCAGGTAACCATCCCACCTAATCTTTCTGGAACACTCGCAGCTTGTGCTGCTATCCAGGCAAAATTAAGACTGGAACCTTTTTACTCCAATAAAAATATTTCTGCTTAATCTTTACATTAGTTAGTTACCTTGAATCTATTCTAAATTGATAAAAGTAGTTGCCTCTGGGGAAAGAGAAAAGTGAGGCAGACTATGTAGGTACTGAAAAGTGCATTTCACTATGTTTGTAATGATTTTGTTAAGTCTTAAGGAACTACAATAAAATATTGGTGGTGCATGCCTGTAATCGCAGCTCTCTGAAGGCTGAGGCAGGAGGATCATTGTGAGTTTGAGACCAGCCTGGGCTACAAAATGTGCTCAAGGCCAGCCTAAACTGCATAGTGAGACCCTGTCTCAAAAAGGGGAAAAAAAAAAAAGAGAAAGAAAGAAAAATATTTTAACATTTATTCACTCTAGGTGTACCTTGGGTATGACAGAGGATGTTGTACTAAAGCACTCTTATATGTGCTTCAAATAGTTCATAAGTAAGGAAAGAAGAACAGATATTACCACTAAAAAACAGAAGAAACTCCAATCTGGGCTTCTTTCCTCATTTTCAAGCAGCTTGCTGACATTTGACCCATATTCTTAACTTGTAGGGTTGGCCAGAGAACCAGTTAGACGTGTCAGACTACAGCTCCAGTTACCAAGATGTAGCATGTTATGGAACTTTGCCCAGAGATTCACCTCGAAGAAGCAAAGAAGGTAGTGCCGAGATTGTTTTGCAGTGATAACTTCTTTGTAATTATTTAGAAACAGCATGAAAAGCGTCTTCTGTGGTTATCGCATGAGATATGAAGCTGAAATTCCAGTTAGCTAGATGATACAAAACTGTCATCTTGACCAAATATATTATGTTCACTTACTAGATTTTTTTTCTTTTTCTTTTCTTTTTTTTTTTCCTGTGTAGTTAACATGTCACAAATAATGGCAGTATGCTTTTTGTATGTACTGTTTTTGATTTTCCACATTTTTTTGTATACCAAATTCTGAGTCTGAGATCAGTTTTGAGATTTACATGAATTGTACTACAGTAGTCTGTACCAAAAGGCTATCCACCTCTGGCATGCTTTTCTACTCAAAGGAATTTTTAACAGCATGTGAATGATTCTTAAAGCAGGTGAAAAATTATACCAGAAATGAGTTAGATCAGTGATAATATCATTACCTAAATCATTATTTCCCAGTACCTTGAGAAGAACAGCATTCTCCAGAAATGTAAATCAACTTTGTTACCTTATACTTTATATTTTACCAACTAAGTGCTTTTGTATTAGAATTGGGAAGAAAATAGGGGGGAAGAGGCCAAACCAGATAATAAATGAGGAAAAATGGAAAAGAATTCTTTTTTTCTTAGTCCTTTACAGCCAGGTGATCTTAGGGGAAAAAACACTGGCAAGACAATATACTCAAAATTCATTCACTGAGTACAGTCTTGAGCCCCAACTTACTACCTTAAAATATAGCCAGGAAAATAAAGTATACAGAAATTATAACACTGAATGACGAAGTGCCAAAGCGCATGCACCAGGTGATAGGCTCTGAGAATTCAGAGGTAGAAGAGCCACATGAGCTGAATTTGGTCTGGTAAGTGGTGCTCATGCTCAGTTTTAAGAAGAGCATAGAAATCGTCCTTTCTAATTTCTTACACACCTTTAGCAACGTGGTGGCTTTATAGATCTATTTCTGTGCTTGCCTAGATGGGTTTTCCTGCTTCGCCTGTGAATTTCATTGTCATACCAAGTATGCCTGCAGGCTGGGTTACTGCCCTGCTTTCTGTGTGCCTTATTGGCTCGGCCTACAAACTCAAGGCTTTTTGTCTTCCTCAGGTTGTTCCTCGGAGGCTTCGCATGCCTTAACGGTCAGCCCTTTTAAAGCGTTCTCTCCTCAGCCACCAAAGTTTTTCAAACCCCTCATGCCTGTAAAAGAAGAACATAAAAGAAAGATAGCTGTTGAAGCAAAACCACTTCTCAGCCAAGAGGTAAATGCTTGATTGTCTGCACCCTGCAAAGCAGAAGGGAACTGCGCTGTGTGCGGAGAGTAGTTTGCCTTCTAGAGTCAGGTGCTACATGTAGACGTGCATGAGTTCTCACTCCACAGATCCTGCCCTCGGATACCTCTTTCTCAAGCACATGGGACCAGGGTCAGATTTACTTGTTTTTATTGTTGTTACTGTTTTGGTTTTACTACACTGTGTTGAGGGCTTTTCAGACTATTTGTTCATCTTTAAGTGAGAAAGAGGTGTCTCCTAGGTGTTTTGAAAATATTAAAAGCTTTTATTTCTTCATTTTTTGGATCAAACTAATTATACTTTTTGCCACAGAATCTGTGTAGTCCTGTCAGATTTCACCAGTAGTTTAATTCCGGCCTGTAGAATTGGCTGCTGAATTACTCACATGTAGTAAAATGTTGGCATTGCTTTTCTAACGTGCATGTACTTAACTATGTATCTCGGCTGTCATCGTCTCTGTGTGTGATGCATCTGTGTGTCTTAACCTTTGCAGAGCATGCCTCCATCTCAGGCACATAACCCTGGCTGCATTGTCCCCTCAGGAAGCAATGGCAGCAGCATGCCAGTAGAGCACAATAGCAAACGTGAGAAGAAGATTGTAAGTTCTGGAACCATTTCTGTTGTATTACCTGGTGGTGGGTTTAAAGCCCTGTCACACACTGTCTTCCCAGTGCTTTAGAAGAAAAAGAAGACATGTATTCATTCTTTGCTTTAGGAAAAAAACCAATGGTTATGAAATTTTGCATGCATATGGCCATGACTGTGATTTTTTTCTAAGGGTTCAGTCTATTTATTTTTGCTTTAGTGTAAGTTTGCTTAGAAAAAAAACAGAAGGGACGTCTTTGATGATTCTGGTCTTTACTCTTAAAAAAAAAAGTATAACAGAGATTACTTGAACTAATACTGAAGTCTTTCTAATGTGCCTATACATATATTGTCCAGATTCTGAAGTTAATCTACCTAGAGGAATTGCACTTACTTGGAGTAAGTAAATATGCATTTAGCTGTGGGTATGTTTGTAAGCTTTTTTATGTTGCCTGATGCTACTGCCAAGATAATACTATAGATTATAGCTGTGCTACAGTTCTCCATCACCCATCATCATCATCATCATCATCATCTCTAGTTCAGGGAGTCTTTGTTAATTTGCTGGCAAAGTGTATTCCAAGCCTCTGGTCTCAGCCTTGCTTTTCAGAATGGTGTATCTGTATTTTACTACAGTTAGATTAAAATTTCTGCAAACCCTCATTCTGAGGTTTGGTTTATAAATTACACCTATCAGATAAATTTTTTGTGCTAGGTACTTCAGATTATAAATATACCTCAAATAAAATTGTTTGAAAACCTAGATATTCTCAAGCCTGGAAAAATTCTCTAATTTTATGTTCTAGCTGTCATTCTTCTGTGGCTTCCTAGGTTTGGAAAGTGTAAAGCCAGCCTGGGGCCAGCGGAAGCTGCTTGATGTTTATGGCTGCATATTACATGCTATACAGCCAGAATGTGAGAAGTCCCATTTCTTAGCTTTACCGCATCAGATGCACTCTAAAGACTTGTTAGCCTTCGGTCCTTTAATGAATCCAGACTATGCTGCTAATGCATACTGTGTGCAGACTAACTGCAGCTTAACACAGATGTGCAGTTGGCCACTCAACCTGCATGCCTGAGTGCTAGTGGATCATGAAAAACACGCCTCCTCCTTCCTGATGTGAAGAAAAAAGAAAAGATGCTCTTTCCCTTCATTTCTATCCCTTTCCCAGCCTCTGCTTATAGGTTCTCCCTGTCTCTCTGCTCCAATGCTGCTGTCCTAGTTTCCAGAGAAGAGCACACACCCACAGCTGCCCCTTGATCCTCATCTTCCTGAGCTGTTCATTTCCCCTTCCTGCCAAGTTGATAAAGGCTGCAGCATGGGCTAAAAGGCAGAATGGCTTCTGGGCTGTTATTCCTCAAGTTCTCTGGCTCTACATCTAATTGGATCTGTTTACTGACATAGCTCTTATTACAGGGGTACACAGGGCCAGAATTGAAACCTGTAACAATCAATTTTGGTAGCCTCAAAGTTCACCCAGCTTGTCCCATCATTATTTTCTTCTAAATGTCATAAAATAAGACTGGAAGGGGCTGGGGATTTAGCTCAGTGGCATAAACACCTGCCTTGTAAGCAGGCGGTCGTGAGTTCGATCCCTGGTACCGGTAAAAATGAAAAAGACAAAATAAATAAATAAATAAATAAGACTGGAATTATAGGTCAGCAGTACAAGTGCTTGCCTGACAAACAAGGTTATGAGTTCAATCCCTGCTACCCCCCCAAAAAAATCATAAAATAAACCTCCCCAAGATGAGTAATTACTATGGATCACAGATACTAAAGGAACATAAAACCTTTCTCAGCTAGTAGAACATATTCTCTTGACTCCAGAAATGCCAAGCAGTAGTTAGATTCCAAAACTGAATTCACTATGAAGTATGCTAAGTGATGATGGATGTATCATTTGTCTTTTTGTGGACGTTTTGAAGAGCTTGCCTTTATTCTCCTTAGTGAACTGGCTTGCAGAACACTCTTCAGCTCTGAGGGTATTGCACTGTTTAGTTTATTCCAGATAGCAGTTTCCTGGGACATTTTGGTAGACTTTAAATACATTGCTTTAATATCTCTAGCAAATTTCATTTTTAGTTCCCCTCATAGATAGATAGAAACTGTTTTCTTGCTTTCATTCTAATTCACTTTCTTTTGTCTTCCAATCTTAAAAAAATCAGAGTGGATCAGTAGGTCAGACTGATGGAAGGCATTTGCAGTCATTTTTGAGACATAATGTTAAAACACTATGCCTGTTACTTTTTTAATAACCCATCTAATTGCCACAGTAACTTCTGTAACTTCATGTCAAATATAGTAAATGTAATTACATTTGACTTTTAAAGCCATATTTTGTTCTCTGGTCAATTTGGGAGGAAATATACAGATGTGCTTCTTGTCTCATGTAAATAAGATAAAGGCAACAATATGCCTTTGCAGTCTATCTTTTTAAACTGTGAAGCAAAAAGAATAGCAAAAGGAAAGGCAGAAGTTTTCTTCCACTATCCTCTGATTTGTGCTGGGATGACATATAGTTTATTCCTCCTGTTTTACAGAAGAAACAAAAGTCTAGGATTATTGAGTGACCTGACCAGGGTCTACAATTAAAAAGACTGTAAGAAAGAAGAACCCTGTTCTTCAGCAGAGTGCGGCTGACTCCAGGGACCCCAGGTGCTTCCAAGGCTGGTGCACTCTAGCACCCTGCGCCCTGCCTTAGTACCATGGACAGCAGTGCTGGCAGCTCCTGGCTAGTACAGTCCTGCAAACAGAAACCATCTTTGGTGGTCTGTGCAAACCTGGTTATAGTGGGAGTAGCAACTGCTTTAATCATGTGAAACTCCTTGCAGAGTCACTACTTTAACATGGGTTTTGGTCCCTTTTTAAAATCAAGGTGTTTTGTCTATAGGTCAATATCAGCTGCATAAGTTAAATCGCAAAAATCAAATCATGAAGACTGTAGCTATAGAGACGCTTGAGAACTTCATGCTCCACTTTTAGGTAGGGGTTTCATTCTTTTTGTCCTTAAGACATTGTAGGAAGGTGTTTATTTAGTCTCCCTTAAGATAGAGTGATACAGTGATACAGTGATAAATGATACTTCTGGTATAGAAACTCCTTTATCTAAAGTTCATTTTTTTTAAACCTTGCAGAAAGTAATTCAATAAAATTTCAGTGTCTGTTTAAATATTGGAAAATGTGTAATCTCTACGCAGTTTCTCTTTTTCCAGAATTGTCCCTACCTGTTTAATCTTTCCTTTTGGGTCACTGGGACATTTCCCCCTTCCTAAGTGCATAATTGCAAAGTGTTCCCTATGTGAATTTAATCTTTAAGAGTTTTGTGCACTCTTCAGTTTTACTAAAGTCATCCTAATCCTTCTTTGTGAGTTGATAAATTTTTACTTTTTTCCTATTCACTAAAATCATGGTTACATATTTCATTCATCAAAATTGTATCTTAGGATAAAAGGCCTTTCCTCAGTTTGAGAAGAAATAACTTTCGGGACTGGGGATTTAGCTCAGTGGCATAAGCGCTTGCCTTGCAAGCAGGCAGTCCTGAGTTCGATCCCCGGTACCGATAAAAAGGAAAAAGACAATAAAAAAAAAAAAAGAAATAACTTTCAGCTGTCAGAAGGCCCCAGTTAATTCTCATCTACAGATTTTTCTTTACAACAAATGCTTTTTTGAATCTGAACATGTTGAGTAGAGAACTTAGAAAATATAGGCAAAGCCTGCTGATTCTTTTAACAGTCTACTTAATTTAGCAGACAGCTAAGCTAGAGATGATGTGAGGTAAATTTGGAATATCTTATTTTGTTAATTTTAGGAACTTTATCACCACTACTAACACTTTTTTTTTTTTTTTTTTTTTTTTGTCTTTTTCGTTTTTATCAGTACCAGGGATTGAACTCACGACTGACTGCCTGCTTGCAAGGCAGGCGCTTATGTCACTGAGTTAAATCCCCAGCCCCAACACTTGCTTTTTAATAGCCAAAAAAATTAAGACTACCAACTTCTTTATATACATTGTAGAGGCCAGGAATATAGTTCAGTGGCATAAGTTCTTGCCTGGCAAGTACAAGGTCATGAGTTTAATTCTCAGTACCACCTCCCTCCAAAATCTATGAATATGTCTCTCTATATATACATGTGTGTATATATACATTTTTAAAATGCCTGGCCTATAAATTATTTTTTAGCCAGGCAGGGGGATCCTTGAGTTTGAGGCCAGCCCAGGCTACAAAGTGAGCCCAAGGCCAACCTGAACTGCATAGAGTGACCCTGTTTCAAAAAGATAATATATAAAATAGATATGTATTATTTTTTATATTTATAATTTTTTGAAGTGAGAGGCATTGAAGAGTATTAAACTATTTTTTAGGCACTTAGCATCTTATAAGATAAAAAAGAAGTTATTACCATAGATGGGCATAGAGGTGCACATCTGTAATCCTGGGAAATTTGATACCAGCCTGGGTTACATAGTGAGTTCAAGGCCAGCCTGCTCTACAAAGCAAGACCCTGTCTCAAAGTAAAAAGTAAATAAATTATTACTATAATATAATTTTATATTACTATAAAATTATTACTATAAAAATGTACATTCACTGTGAACCACCATCTGCCCCATAGTGATGAGAACGCCTTCGGGCTCTCTACATCCACATGCATCCCTCCTGCCTTTGAGTTTTGGATCCAGGTTTTTACAGTCGTCTAGTTGTAATCTACAGACATTTTAAATAGCTTGTTAAAGCAGATGACCAGAAGGGAAAACTATTTTTGATGTTTCTAGGTTCAACTTTGAATGAAATTTTTATCTAACCAAGCAGAATTCAGCATGGTTCTAAAAGCACCCACTCCTGAAGGAGGGGCCATGTCTCTCTCGTGATTCCCAAAGCTGCAGGACAGTCACAGGCACATGGTGGGTGGGTGATGATACTTCCATGTATGACAGTCGCTTTTTAACCACTTAAAATCCAAATATTTAAATACAAGGTGACCAAAACTTGCATATTTCTATTAATTCTTATAAGATATGTTAAGTGGTTAAAAGCAATGTCCATAATACCACGAGGTATTCATGAGGTCAACTAAAAGTGGCTGGGCAGTATATCATATCTATATTTGTACATAAAATGCCCAAATATTTTATATTTTCCACCAAATATTTAAAAATCTTTTGTTTGCCACGATATTGGAGTTAATCATTCTCACTTTTTTACATTTCTGTAAACAAAATTCTAAACTAATGCAGATATTCATTGATTATCCTTATTATCAACCTTTCTTATTTTCTAGCCGAATCCTCTTCTTAAAAAGCCGAGAACAGTAGTAGATTGTTAGTAGTTTACAACATTGCAATGCTTAGTACAAGTGTCAAAGTTGTATTTGTATTCTTTGCCCTTTGGCTGCTGGAGATCTCTTTTTCTCTCCTCTCCCCTGATAAAATACTTAAGAACTTTTTCATAAGTGATCTTTACCTCTCATACTTGACATCCCAGGCAGAAGACTGCAAGTCTGTAGGAAGGAGTGATTTTTCTGCCTCCAGCTCTTTGCTCATGTAGTGAAAACAAGGAAACAGAGCAATCATGAGGGATTAATAAAGAGTCCACTGCACTTCAGTTCCATCTCTTTTTCTTAAACCAGGGAAGAAAGTATCTGATAAGCACTGACATAGAGGGAGAAAGAATACCTTCAGGTCACATGATGGTGGGTTTATATTCACAGGTCTCTGAGAATAACTTTCTTGTGTCTACGATTGGTGACAACTTTTACTAAACTTGGAAAGAAAGAAAGAAAAACATACAGAAATGTGAATGCCTATCATAGTAAAGTATTTAAATCTTATCTCACTAAAATAGCTGCTCTAGAAAGTTAATGACTGACTTTTGTTTTATTTCTGTAGGACTCAGAGGAGGAGGAAAATGAGCTGGAAGCTATTAACCGGAAGCTGATGAGTTCACAGCCTTATGTTCCTGTGGAGTTCGCTGACTTCAGTGTTTACAATGCCAGCTTGGAGAACAGGGAATGGTTTTCTTCCAAAGTAGATCTGACAAACTCACGTGTCGTGGAGAAAGAAGTGTCTCGTAGCCCTACCACCAGCAGTATTACCAGTGGCTACTTTTCCCACAGTGCCTCCAATGCCACTCTGTCTGACATGGTGGTCCCTACTAGTGACAGCTCAGATCAACTAGCCACTCAGACAAAGGATGCAGACTCCAGCGAGCCTTCCGGCCCATCACCTGTGCATGATTTCAGACTGTCCTCAAACAGAGAACTGACAGAAGTAGACAGAGGCCTGGGAAAAGATAAGATAATCACGGTGCCACTCCAGGAAAACAGTGCCTTAGCCAAAGGGAGCCCCGCATCCCACAGCACCCCTGAGAACTCCAGAATGCTCTGTAGGACACCTTCATGTTCCGAGCTGGATTCCTGCCCCAGCAAAAAGGGCCAGCCAGCCCGAGAATTCTGCTCGAAGGAGGTGACCGTAGAACGCACCACCAACATCTTTGAGGATCATTCCTTCACAGAGTTCATGGGCGTTTCTGATGGTAAAGATTTTGATGGCTTGACAAATTCTTCTGCTGGAGAATCTTCAAATAGGAGAAACCTACCAAATAGAACAGACAATAAGAGTGTTTCAGGTGGGCCACCGGACACTGATGAGCTACTTTCCAAGTTAGAGAATGACCAGGTAATAAATTCCAGAAGCAGCCTTTTGAGTTCTGTGCAATCAGTGAGCAGATCTAATTGTTCACCAACCCCCAGAGGCCCTTCACCATTGTGACTTAGGAGAAAATATTCATCCGCTGTTTCTTTTCTTTTTTTTTTTTTTAATCGGTACCGGGGATCAAACTCACGACTGCCTGCTTGCAAGGCAGGTGCTTATGCCGCTGAGCTAAATCCCCAGCCCCTCATCCACTGTTTCTTACAGAAAGGATGGACTCAAGGGAAGCAAGTGTACCACTGTGCTGCTTGCTCACATAGGAGGGCAGGTCTACTCTGGCAACCAGAGTGTAACCATGAAATCTGTAGGACCAGTGGAATTTTTTCCTCGCATTGCTGGGGATCGAACCCAGGATCTCACTCTAGCTAAGCAACCACTCTTACCACTGAGCAATATAGCCTAAACCCAAGGACCAGTGGATTTTTTAACTGACACATGGGTTGGTATTAAGCATTCAAATGGATAAAGATAAATTAATCTCTATTCATTCCCCCAAGATACTTACTTTTTGGCTATCACAAAATAATCTAGTAGCAGCTACCATATCATCAAATTTGTAATTCCTTGGATTATTATATACTTCATTATTTTATTTATCATTAAGAAAGAAAAGACACTGACCTAGGGGTTTAGCTCAGTAGAGAAACATTACTTATTTAGTTTAGAATGTGAGTTCCATCCCCAGCACTGCAAAAAAAATTATATCAGCAATTGTAGGCTCATGCATGCTTGTAATCCCAGTGCTTGGGAGGCTGAGGCAGGTTTTAGGGGTGTTAAAATGTGAGGGAAAAAAACCAGCATCATAGAATTAATAAGAAACAGTAATTTGGTGCACACTAATGAACAACTGCTTTGTAAGGCAGTGTAGGCAAATTTCCTGAACAGTTGAAATTTGAGCTTTGAATGCCACCTAGATTGGTTTATATTACTGTTTAATTTTTCTGTTGAACAGAATAGGTTTTTGCTAAGAAAAATAATGAATTACATCATTAAGAGATAATCAGCTTCTAACTATTCTATTCAATGCACCACCATTTCTTCCCATTGACAAAGGGCCACCGGAGAGCCATAGCTTAGAAAAGAAAAAAGAGCTGACCAAGCCAGATGGAAGCTTGATAAAGGACAGATAGCTGTGGAGCAATTCAGCCCCTCTGTTTTGCTGAGGACGTTATTGTGATGGGGGAACATTTTCCCCTGTTTTCTATACCAGCGCTTAGAAAAGATTTCTTTCTCCAATATAAGTATAACAGGGAGCTGGGTGTGATGGCAGATGCTTGTCATCCCAGCACTGAGGGAGGCTGAGGCAGGAGATCACAAGGTGGATCCCAGCCTGGGCAACTTAGTGACTTACTGTCTCAAAAAATAAAATGATGGTGATGGTGATGATGATGATGATGATGATGATGATGATGATGATGATGGGCTAGGGATGTATGTCAATATTAGACCACTTGGGTTTGATCCCTAGTATGACAAAGAAAGGGGGAGTTTCCTGGGAGGGAAATGCCATGTTAGAGCATGTGGTTAGCATGTGCAAGACCCTGAGTTTGATCAACAGCACCACAGACCGAAGGAAGGAAAGAATCAAGGGAAAGTTGGAGGAAAAGAAAACAAGTCTCACTCATTACTTTGTTCTTGTAGGTTAAACATGAATTTGTTTAAAAATCTCCGATTTCCTTTACACTGATATTGAAGCTTTCCATGGGCTGCCTGCCTTGGCTTTTCAGTTGAAAAGCAAAGTCATTGCTGGGTATGATGGCACACACCTGTAGTCCCAGCACTCAAGAGGCTGAGGCAGGGGTATCACTGGGAGTGCGAGGTCAGCCCAGAATACATACTGAGGCCATCTCAAAAAAAAAGCAAAGTCAAGGGCTCTTTAACTCTTCACTCTAAGAATTAGCTTTTCTCATGGAACCTAAGTTATGCAAGGTGACTCTTAAAACTCAAAGGCTCTTTAAAATCACTCTTCCCCAAGATATTGCTTTATATTGGACAATGCAGAGGAAAACATGTTTTCATAAACACCATGGGTAAAAGAATAGGTTGGTGTCACGGCCACAGAGAAGGAGAGGGCAACAACCCTCTTCCTTGTCTGCATTATTTAGAAACCAATGGGAAACATTTTGCTTTTGAAAGGTCCTAGAGCAATGTGTTCCTGGCAGAGAGCTTGGTTCAAAAGTGGGAGCTACAGAAAGGTTTGTTACATCAGATAATAGAATTTGGAGACTTTTTTTCTTTAAAAAGTTTTTAGTGTTTTTGTTACACTGGCTTTCTGCAATGGTTGTTTTGTTGTTGTTCTTTGTGGTGCTGCAAATCAAACCCAGCACCTCTCACATGCTAGAGAAGTGTTCAGCCACTGAGCTACAACCCCAGCCCCTGTGTTGGTTTTCAGACATTGTTGTGACAGTTTTAAAGTCTGCTTGAGAACTTTGTCAATAATAAAGTCAGACTTTGGCTGTAGGCCTGAAGTTACTTAAAACGTGAATCCAGAAGGAACTTTTTTTTTCTACTTTAACTTTGGGTCATACTGTCACACTTTACCCAGGAGCCTTGCCTCGGGGCTGAGCTTCTCTGTTGCATAATGTGCATTCCAGAACTGGATCCATAATAAATGCAGGCCTGAAAGTCCCATCAGGCTAGGCTCTGGGGGAGGTCATGGGGCCCGGGAGCACAGACTCACCGGCCTCTGCTTTCCAGGGAGGCACACACTCGAGGTGAAGACAGCAGGCCACTGCTCCACTGGCCTCAGCGCGGCTGCTTGTTCACCTGGTCACCGCCACCGTGGGAGACGCCAGCCCCACCAGCACCTTGCCACCTGCTGCAGCCCAGCCAGACCTCAGACCAGCACAGAGAGCCAGGCGCTTTCCCCTCCCTGGCAGGGGAGGCAGCACTTTGTCACTCGGGTGAATCCCAGCCTCTGCTTTTTCCAGAAAGCAAGGGAACTGAAATCTCGGATTAACTGACAGTATTTTTGTTTGCACTTACTACACACCCACACTGTGTAGAAACCTCTACAGATTTCAGACAAACTTTATTCTTGTACAATTTTAATCAGTTCTTACTGCAGAATCTGGAGTCAATGCTCTAATGTTTTTTTATAAATAATATATATTATGTATATGAAATGTGTATCTATGGCTTGTCTGTCAGGAGACAGACACAGCTGCACACTAAAATGCAGATAAAGGTGATTTATAAAAAATCATAAGGTACTGGACTTTGTTACAAAGCAACTTGGGTGATCACTTCTGTATGAGATGAAAAATATTTTATTGCCCAAGAAAGAGGTCACAAATTCCTCTTTATAGGAAAGGTTATAGAATTCTTTATAACCAAAGAACTTCACAAAACTGAACGTGTTTGCTGTCCACTTGTTTGGTGTGCATTTAACTGCAAGTTAGGTGCCAATACTCCCTCAGCTACCAGGCCACACACAGCCGTTCTCTGTCCTGTTTCCTAAGCACACTTAGAAATTTCACAGCTAAGTTCTTTGGTCTTCCACCTGGCCCAGCACCTACTGGCTTGATGTTGTATTGTAACTGGCGACAATGACTGGGGCTCTGACTCCAGGCCAGCATTTCCAGTACCGTGGTTCCGCTCAGCCAGGCAATGGGATACAGTATTACTCTCAGCAGACACAGCGAATACCGGGGGTTAGGGTTGGGTGCCGAGGAATCTGGGGTGGGGATTGTGGGTTTGTTGGGTTGGCAGCTTTCACTGCAGTGTGGTTCTTGCTGCTGCTGTTTTGCTTGATTCTGAAAAATGCTGAAGAGATGGACTCAAGTAGAAAGTTCACCAGTTCACACTTCACCGTATTTGCAGGTGGTGGTTGAACACAGACGACCCTGCTGTTGTGTCTTCATTTGTAAAAGTCTACAAGCGGAGATGTAGAATCGTGTGTGAAAATTTTTACAAAAGTACCTTATGTACCTACTCTGTAGATGCCTGTACAGTTGGTGTAGATGTAAACTATAAAGCTGTTGTGAGAGGAAGAGTGAGAGAATGTGTACAGCCTGCTGTACATTTTAAGTTTTGAGCATTGGTCAATGAGATATTGGAGATTTTATTGAAAAGCTGCTGTTCATGATTTTTGTGTATAGTGAGTTGATTGTAGTATTTTACTATGTCTGTTTAAAAACAAACTGTAATTTATATCCCTTTTCAATGTTATTGTATTTAATTGGTACAGATTTGTGTGTGTGTGTGTGTTTTAGAATACAAACTGTCTAATTCAGATTTTACATCGTTTTCAATAATTGTGCCATTAGTTTTACATCTGATCACCATGTTTGCATGTATGTGCAGCCTTGTGGTGTTAGACAATATCCCCGAACATTTATTGAGCATTTACCAAGGACTGTTTCAAACACTTGGTGTCATAATTTCATCTGAGAGCAACAGATGTCAGCAGCACTACTGCTCTGAAGTGCTTAACACACGGGAAACTAAGGCAGGCTAAGGATGGGCTGCTAACAGAGACAGGGTCCTAGCTGTCCTCTCGTGGTTGGTCTGGTGACATGTGCCAGGGGGGCAAACTACTTGCAGAGTGAACTGGGCCCTTGTGGCGGCCTGGTGTGGGGAGTCTCAGGAGTTCCAGGCCGAGCAGCATGGCGGGGGCAGAGCAAGTAAGACATGGTATGTTGCCTCGTTCACAACACTTTGACAAATCTTCACAGCGCCCAGCGGGCCCTCGCTTCTTATAAAATGGTGTCTAAAGATAGCTTACTGTGAAAGTATTACCTAAAATCAGTATTATTACAGAATCTTGTCAGAAAAAAATCTTGAGGTGTTCACAAGTGCCTTTCTGAAGTTACCAAGAATTAGATCGAGTGACTCTGGATAGAAGCATAACTTGCATAGGCTTCCAGGGGGGTTGAGGCGGGGACCAACACTTAAGCTGAATTTTATAGAACAGAGCGAGGGATGAAAGGTAACCATTTAATGTTGAAGTGAACCATGAGAACTGAAAATATAGTTCCAGACTAAAAACAAAAAAATTGTTTCTCTCCCTAGTAAGAGATCAGCAGCATCAGGACGCTGGCACCATTGTTCAATGCAGTGACTGAGAGAGAAGTGGTCTTAGGTCACATTTTGTGAAGGAGCTCAATCTAGGCATGCGTCTAACAGTTAATTCCCAAAGTTGAGTATCACCAGTGCCATCACATTTGTTTACAGTCATTGGGACACACATAACGAAAATATAGTCCCGCGCTTCTATGGCACTGACTTAGGGGAAGGACTGTTTATAAAAGTACCTTTAGAGTTGGGCAGTCTTTTTTTTTTTTCTTTTGGTAGCAGGGATCGAACTCACAACCATGTGCTTGCAAGACAAGCGCTTATGCCACTGAGCTAAATCCTCAGCCCACAAGATACTATCTTCTAATTTATACTGCCTCAGCCAACAATTACTTTTCAGATTACAACATTAAAGCTTTACAACAACATTGGGAAAAAAGGCAACTAAACAACATGATAGAGCATTTTGGTCATACAGTGAAAAAGTCTCCAAAGCCGGGAGTGGTGGTGCACACCTGTAAGTGTGTGGTACCCGCACACAAGCATGAATTCAGCCCTCAACTTTATATAGTAACCGCAGCACATGTGTTTTTCTATGGAGCCTGACTCCAAATAAGAATGCAAATTAATCCGTCATATCGAGCAGTTCGTCTTGGGTTTTCTCCTCACCTAGTAGAAGGAAATCTGCAAGGTCAGCAGCTTCCCACCAGATGTCCTCGAGGTAGCTCAGTCTCCTGCAGATGGGGAACCTGGAACTAAGAAGGCACTACCGGAAGGACAAAAGGCAAGAACCGCCCTGTCAGAGTGGGAACCAGCACAGACAGCAGTGAAAACAAAACCCTAAGCTCTAAATTTAACCTGTTTGTCATTTGCCTGTAATCCCCTAGGGGGAGGAAAAAAGAGTTATAGAGTTGAGCACCATGAAATGGTCATTGTTTCCTGGAGGCTGTGTACAAGTAAAGCTCTATGGTCTCTATCTTCCCAGTGTCCTGGGATATACACCCACCTCTGTATTCTTAGCAAATCAACAGGTTTTCCTTGCAGTCTGGTAGGTTCCATGGCTACATGTGTCCATGATTACACTTCTCACACTTAGAAAACTGTGGCTCAAGATGAAGCCTGGGTTATCTTGGTAGCTATTACCTGAGTCCGCCTCACTACAGGCACTGTCTTGGAGCTAGACTTTCCCAGTGCCTGGGAAAGAGACCTTTGCATACTTCAGGGACCCTATCCATGAAGGGAGCAGATGCTGATTAATGGTGCATGAGTGTTGCCTGAAGAAACGGGTAAGGCTTGAAATTTAGTTTTAAAAGATCACCTTGGACAGAGAAAAATGGTCCATTTTGGTGTCAGCAGAGCATGAAGCCATTTGACCCTTTCACAATATCTAAAATGCATTGCACTAGTTCATTTAAAACTGGAAAACAGTGCTTTTAATAGCTGTGGGCAGTTATTTTGGGTCTTCACCTCCTTGGTGGGCATCTGAGTCAAACCATGAATATAGTACATTTCTCTGTTACTGTTTGTCTTTTCCTCGAGCAGCAGCAGATTTGGGGATGTCACAGCACAGTGGAACCACTTTTCGTGGTTGTTGTTAAAGAAAAATACCAGTGAAAAGTCACACCTTTGTGTGCTTCATCACCCTTGTTGAATCAGTATAATATACCTAGTATGTGGCTAACTGCAAATAGACTGAGCCTCCTTACTAACATCAGACATTAAATACCTAGCTGGGACAACTTCCAGAAAGAAAAAAAATCACTGGAACAAGTATATAATATCTAACCTCAGTACCACCTCTACTCACGGCTGTTTTACATGCAGATGACAATTTGCTCATAGTTTTTACACTAGTCTTTGTATATGCAAGTGTATTTTAGTTAGGATAGAGAGCAATAATTATCTATTGCTGCATAATGGATTGCCCTTTTAGCAGTTTGAAACAGCAGTAAATTTACCATGTCACTTTTTTTTTCAGTACTCAGCATTCAACACAGGGTCATTTTAAGACAGGGTCTTCATCAAGGTGCCCAAGATAGGGTGAACTTGGAGTACTGCCTCAGTCTCTTGGGATGCTGGGATTACAGGTGAGCCACCACGTCCAGCAGACTTCACACCATTCCTTTGGTTCCAAAATTCAGGTGTGGGTAAATCAGTAGTTTTAGTTCTAATCTCTAATAAACTGTAGTCAATGTCAGCCAGAAAGTGGAGGGTCCACTTTCAGGGTGTTTGTGCACACAACTGGCAAGCTGGTGCTTTGGCCGCAGGTTTCCCTAAAGTGCGTGGTTCAGGAGCCACAATCCCTTTCATGACCTCATCTCCGAAGTCTCACTTCCTCCCTTCCTTCACACTGCATGCATTAGGCTTTAGAAGCAGATCCTAAAGTCAGGCTCCCATGGAGGAGGAGAATTGGGCTCTTCCTTTGGAGAAAAGCACTGTAAAATCATGTGGAGACATTTTTAAATCACCCCTAGTTAGAAGTTACATAGCTGAAGCTATTGGTCAAAGCAATGCCACCTGGAACCTATAAATGAATATAAAAATCCAACTTGACCAAATTGGAAAAATGAGGGTATAAGCAGAATATTTAAAATGATATTTTAATAATAAGGATCAAAACTATGTGAATATTCTTGGTAAAGGCAAAGGATCAGAAACTTTGGCTTATATTTTCCCATTTGATTCTTTTCAGATCTGCTTCTAGAGGCAGAAGTGCATGGCTGTGTGATGACTTTCCCCATAACAGGGAACTCCAAACCTGTTTCCCTGTTAAGGCAAGGAATATTAATGGTTAACATTGTGAATAAAACTGCCAACTGAAGAAAAGTTTGTGAATGCAGGCCTTTCTTGCTGAAGATACTGGCAAAGATGGGATTATTTTATTGGTAAAATGTGATACATCCTTTTAGTGTTAGCTTAAGCAAATCCCTTAGAGAAGTCTTTTGATAATTCCTCAGATGACACTGGGCTTTTCCTCTTGTTCACGAGAGGTGCTGTAGTTCTCCTTGATACCACTGTAAATGCTATATAGTTAAATAATCTTAAATTTTCCTGGTTTCTTCCCTTACTAAACTACCTGCTCTGTGCAGCAGAGCCGCTGCCTGTATTATGTAGCACTGTGTTCCCATTGCTTAGTGTGAGGTCGGGGACACAGCAGGTACTCGGAAGTAACTGAATGGAAGAGTCGCACAGTATCAGAACTGTGTTGGAAGACCTGAGGTTTTATTCCCAACAGGAAGGCAGGAGCACGAGCCACCTTTACAATATTATTGACATTTACATTAAAAGACTTTCCCTCCTACCCATTAAAAATGATTTTAAATACTATATATCCTATGTATACAAACATTGTTATATATTCACATAAGTGAAACTTCATAATTTAGATTTCCTCAGTGTTTACCTAATTCCTAATTTTCTCTTTCAGGATCCTGTCTGGGATGCCACATGACATCTTGTCATTTCTTCTTGAGTTCCTTTGGCTGTGACAGTATCTGACTTACTTTGGACATCATTTAACATTTTTAAGGTGTACAGTAAAATATCTTACAGGAGTTTCTATACTAGATCTGTCCAGTGTTTTTCACAATGATTAGATTGGAGCAATAGGATTTTAGGGGGAGATCTCAACATTTGAAATGTCCATGCTATCATGATATTATTGTTGAGAGTGACAATCACCTGAATAGAGTAATACTTCAGGATTCTCACTTAATATTAAGCTACCTCCCCCACTTCTTTACTTTTTGTAAGGAAGACACTATGCAGCTTACACTAGAATAAACTTATTTTTTCCATAGATCTTACCTACCTATTCACTGGAACTGTATGATAGTGCCCTAAACTTCAGTCAACAGCTATGGTTCATCTCTTTACAAGAACAAAGGAAACACAGATGGCAAAGTGTCCAAACTGACTAGGAGAATGAAGAATGTCATTTCCTGCAGTTTTCCCTTTTCTGCTGAAAATTCAAAACTAAGAGTCAAATCTAACTGTCCGTCTTTTTTTTTTTTTCATGGTGATCCTTTCGCCTTAGCTACCTGAGTGCTGGGATTACAGGTGTGTACCACCACACCTGGCTATTACATTTATTTTGACACTAACACACTCCGATGAAGACAGTTTTCAAAACCAGCTCTACCAATTTTTATCTTTTATATTCTTATCAAATCTTTCACTTATGGTTCATTTTTCTTCTCTAAACATGGGGTTAGCTTCAGCATCTGCTTTATGGGGTTGTTTACATGACTATGGAGGCACTGCATATGAAATCTCTTACGCTACAGTAAGAATATTTGTTAATATTAAACAGATTCACATTCTTACCTACAAATCTTTTGACCCTGTGGTTCTTTACTCTTAGTATGGATGACATACTTTTTTTCATGGAGTAGCTTAGCTTTTGGAAGTCACCAAGGCAGTAAGAACAAGGACCTTAGAAAAAAGAACCAAGAACTTGAGGCAAAATTTGAGGTGAAATTGAGATCAATTAAACTCAAAAAAAATGTGTTAATAGCAGAATAGAAACTGAAGAACAAAGTAAGTGTATGAGAGACTTAAAGTACTGAAACCATTGCACAGTTAGATAAAAAAGCAAAGTACAGAAGAGGTTAACTGAGATAAGGAAAGGATGACAAGACAAGTATACTTCTAATACGATCATCAAAGGAAAAGCATGCAGGAATGGGGAAAGGCAAAAGAAGAAGCTATAATTGCTAAAAATTGTCTAAAGTGATAAAAGGCATTAATTATCAGATTCACAAAATACAATAAGTCCCTACAGAGAAAAGTTTACAAGGCAACAATTAGACATACTAAACTGCCAAACACCAAACATAAATATGTTGAAAATATTTAGAGAACATGAAATAAATGAAAGACAATTAGAACAACAGCAGACTTGTCAAACACACCAACAGAAGTCATCAGACAGTGGAATAGCTCCCAGATTCTGAAAGTGTATTTTAATCTTCAGTAGGTTAAAAATTTTTTAAATGGGACATGATAATAACTGAGGTAAAGACTGAAAAAATTTTCCACTTATAAGAGACTCTTACTATTTAAAACAGTACTTTAAGGATGGGTAAAATTAAGTCCAGAAAAATGAATAAGAGGTAAAAGTGGTGAGCAAAGAAGTTGGTCAATGTGTGGATAAATCTAAATGAGCATCAGTGAAACTTGTATGGGAGTAATAAAAATTAAGTGAAACTCAAACTGTCAACAGAGGAGGAGTGATTGGAGTAGAAATATTCTAAGTACCTCTACTGAGTTGGAGGAGGATCTAGCTACAGATCAATTTTAGGTAATTCATGTTAAAATTTAAAGTAACCACTAAAAAAAAAAAAAAAAAAAAAAAGAAAACACAATATAGTTTCCAGGCTGGACATGTTGGTGCACACCCATAACCTCAGCATTTGGAAGGATGAGGTAGGAAGACCCTGCAAATTCGAGGCCAGCCTGGGCTACATAATGAGTTCAAGACCAGCCTGAACTACATAGCAAGATTGTGTCTCAAAGAAAATAAAGTCGGGGGCCGGGAAGGCAAGCATAACAAGTGATATGTTAAAAGGCACAGAAAAGCAGATAGAAAAAAAAGGTCAAAATAAATCCCAATAAACCCATAACCCAATATATGAACATAGCCTTCCTGTTTTTCACTTAAGGATCTTTTTTATCCAAAGAACACTGTAGCTTGAAGGTATGGGGAATTAACTGTAGGAACTGTGATGTTCTAGATGAAAAGTGGGGGAAAGGGCTGTGTACTACCCTGTATTCAATTTGCAGGTGTCCACTTGTTTCTGTACAAATGAATACATTGAACCAGACCACCTCTGGAATGCTAGGTTCTCTGGAGAATGAGCCCCTGTTGTGAAGGTGAGAGAAAGGTCCTCTCCTCCTGGCTGTTTGGGGTAGGAGAGGAGAACTAGGAATCAATAGTGCGAGACTCAGACACCAAACCCATCTGGTTTCCAGCCACGCACTGTCCCCAGCTTTCCACAGCAGTAAGAACCTCCTGGAGTTCTAATTTTGTCAGAAATACCATCTCCTTGTCTTCTGCCTGCTAAAGGAGTTTTATTGTTTTGTTTTGTTTTTGTTTTTTGTTTTTTTGTCTTTGCTTTTCCTCTCCCAACATTTTGATAGTCTTTTGTCCATTTGGGTCTTTGTTTATTTTCCCCTAATGGCTTAATACTTTTATCCTCATCATTGTCACATGCAATAAGTTGAGAAAATGGATAAGACACAAAATTGTATGATTAACCTACCATGTTTTACCAGAGGTTGCCTCTTGCTATGCCCCGCCTCCATCTCAAATCCTGGAGAGTTTGACAGTCGATGGCAAACAACTGGGAGCATTATCACGCACAACAAGAATTTAAATTATGTGACCCCAGTGTACAGATTAATGAATAGAGGCTCACAAGGAAAAATTAACTATGTTAAGGTAAAGTCTGAAACAGATTTCCTAGAAGGAAGGAGACTATAGGGTGCTACTGATCTGTTCTTTCCCACTAATTGCAGTTCAGCTGGCCTTGAGTTCACTTTGTAGCCCCTGCTGGTCTTGAGCTCACAACGATTCTCCTGCCTCAGCCTGCTGAGTGCTGAGATTACAAACATGAACCACCATGCCTGGCTTCCCACTAGTTTTTTACAGGAATTTCCTTCAGTTATTTTGGGGATGAGGTAATAGCACATGTGTAAATTAAATAACTTTTCCTTTTACATGGACTGTTAATATCCCAGAATCAACTGCCAATATAAATGTTCTTCCTGGAAACACATGAGAAATCTGAGGAGAGATCTTTGAAGTGAAGTGGTAGACACCTCTGTCATCCTGCTGCTGCCAATCCTACTCTGCCAACAACAAGAAAGAAGTAAAAGATGCTTATTAATAAAGAATAAGATTTTAGCAATCAGTGAACAAAATACCACCACCCTATAGTATAAAACACACTGGAGTTTAAATCAGAAGATATCCATTGTGTCAGCAAGTCACCCACTGGGACTTTGAGAACATAGGCTATGTATGCACTCTGGGCCTCAGTTTCTTATGATGAAACAAAATATTCAATGTAAATGAATAATAAAATGGAAACAATTACCCCCAAACAATAAGGTCTTTTGTCTAATATAGAAGAACTATGTAAAGCAACACTAGTACCAGCTTCAGCTAGTAAACCAGTATGCTGTAATCCCTGAGAGGTAAGTTCAAGATCATCCTGGGCAACTTAGCAAGACCTTCTCAAAATAAAAAGGAGTGGAGATGTAGCTCAGTGGGAAAGATACGTAAAATGTGCAATGTGCTACGTTGAATTCTCACACCAGGAAAAAAAAGCCATAGGATTGAGGACGAGTGCCCCACCGTACTGTGACATGAAATTTGGGCAATTCCACTGAGCTATCTCCTCGGAATGTTTCTCTGAGAGACTCACTAAGTCACCAAGGCTAGGTTCAAACTATGATCCTCCTGCCTCAGCTTCCCAGAGTGCTGGAGTTACAGACATGTGCCACCATGCCCAGCTGTAAATCATCTTTTCTGCCAAGGGCACACTTGGTGAGAACTGTTAAAAGAAGCCTGTGGCTCAGGGCCACAGAGACTAAGTGCCCAGAGCAGGCCCTAGAACTCCTGATTCCCACTCAGAAAAGCAGCTGTCCCCATCCAGGCCACCCACCCTGCTTCAGGAAGCATGGGACTTCATTCCCAGATACAAATAGAATTGGCATTTACAGGGGAAGTTGAAGAAACAACTTACCTGTTGGCTGTGGGGCTGGCGAAGAACTTGGTTGTTTCTTCCGGCTTACAAAGTCTGATTTTTCTGGTTCCTAACTTCATGTCTGTACCATCCTTTTGGGGGACAAAGACATTCTGTTCAGGAAAATGCTTTTCTTTATTCTTCATTTATGCCATTTAGCAGGATGCTTGGTGGATAGTTGGCATCAGTTAAAACACTTCCAGATCAGTTTGGAAGAGGTACTGCTACTGCATAACTTCATTTTTTTTTTTTTTTTTTTTTTTTTTGTCTTTTTTGAGACGGGGCCTGGCTATGCAGTTCAGGCTGGCCTTGAGCTCACTTTGTAGCGCAGGCTGGTCTCGAACCCCAAACAATCCTCCCACCTCAGCCTCCCAAGTGCTGGAATTATAGGCATGAGCCACCACAAGCCCGCCTTACTGCCTAACTTTAAAGGAAAATAGGTACGTCTTACTAATTTAAACCTGGAGTGAGGTAGTTTTTGACATAAACGAAGTAATTCCTATAACTTACTTAATTCCAAGAAGTTTACTTCTGTATCTGCTCCTCTGCTTGCCCATGTGCCCATTTTTTAAAACCCCCTTTGCTTTGTTATTTAATATGGAGCAGTATTCTGATGTCATAATGGCAATACATGACTTTTTGTTAAGTCAGGTCACCAACCATAAGGAACTCTAGCAATATCAACACCCATCCCCCGGGGGTGAGTCTTCCCAATCATTGTGTGTGAATTATTCTTAGTCGTTATCTCCACTATGACTCTGTAGGACATAATCCAATTGAACTGAGCACTCCTAACCTTAATTTGAAATTAAATGAACTGATGATATTGCCCACCTAGCCAAATTCTCATAAAAAGGAGTGAACTTGATCCCTCCAGATAACTCGAGGAAGGGTTCAAGAAATTAAAACAAGCAATTTAAAAAATGTTCTTTTGTAATTTATCCACTTTAGGAATATATATAATCTCTTAGACCCTTTCCTCTCTGATTATCTCAAACCTTGACAAACTAGAATGCCTATATATACTGATGATTTTCCATAAAAATCAACTGGCATTTAGGTCTCTGGGAACTATTTCTGTATTCGCTATAGGTTGAATATACACTATTGGGATGCTCTAATGGGTGGTGCGTGAGTCGTAGATTTTCGTCTTGAAATATACACAGGACACTGAAGGATGATAACGTGACACAATACTAACATTAGACAAGTGAGTATCCTCCAGGCCTCTGCATAATCTTCCCTTTCAAAGATGGACTCGGAACTACACATGAGATTTTGGTTGCCAGCGATCTTTAACTGGCTCTGACCACTCCAGGAGTTAGAAACAAAGGGGCAGAAGACAGGACATGGCAAAGAAAATTACTTCCAGGAAGTGAACCCAAAAGGAGGTCAGAGGCCAGAATGCGTAGAAAATAAAAATGCTGGAAGTTTGTTAAAAGCTCTCTAGGAGTTGGGATATAGTTTAGGGTAGAGTACATGCTTAGCTTAGCATGTGCAGGGCTGTGAGTTCAATACCCACTACCAAACATAGCAAAAACACAACACACATGCCGGGAGTGGTGGCATATGTTTGTAATCCTAGCAGCCAAGAGGCTGAGGCAGGAGGAGGATCCCCATGAGTTTGAGGCCAGCCTGCACTACATAACAAGACACTTTCTCAAACCAAATCACACCATATCACACCACACCACACCACAGATTTTTAGGTCCAACCCCAGGAATTCCATAGGCATGAGAATCTCTGTTGTAAATGTTTCCCATCTGATGCTGATGGTAAAATTTGTAGATGGTTATGGAAAGACAAAAATTAAACTAGGTTCTGACTTTTAGTTCTGGCCTTGGAACAAAAAGGCTCCTGATGTTTAAAGTTAGATCGTTTAGATACTCTTCTTTACTCTCTTATTTTCTCTCTCCTCTTTCAAGCAGCTAAATTCTTCTGTGTTCATTTTCCTCTGTGAAAAGGAAATAATGTTTCAGTGTCTTCCCAAAGCCTTAAGATTCTTAGGAAACTAGGAAAAGCATTTGGGAGCTGGAGGAGGAAAAGTTCAGCTTCCCTCCAGCCACCCCCAGAAAAAGGTGAGGTAGGCAGGGAGAATTAGAGAAAGGAGGCCCACCTAGTGAACCAGGTGCCCTTGTGTCCTCTGGTCTGGAGGGGCTCTAGACCCTTCCTAGGGGAAAGAGCTTGGGGAGACACTGGGAGCCAGATCCCTAGAGGGAGTGGCTGCACTGCTGAGAACCTTACGATGGCACAGAAGCTGCAGGAGGTATCCACACCTGAGCAGCGCAGGGAATGAATGGCAAGCCCCTAGATTAAGGGGCCAGATGGACAAATCGTGCCCCTAGGCCTTGTCCTCACTTCTGGGAGATTGTATCTAGTAACTGTGATGATCTGGGGACACGATTTGTCCCTCTGCAAATGCAACTCTAAAGTATCTCTGTCCTGAGTACCATCTGAAACCTGGCCTTTCCTCCTAAGAAGCTCACTTCTAAAGACACTTAGCTGAAGATTCGCTCTACAGCTCAGGTGCTCTAACCTGGGTCTGGAGCACAGTCCACTGAACTGGGGAGTGGAGACCACGACAGTTTATCTAAAGCTTTTGTAGTCTGCCCGAAAGACTGCTTAAAATCGAGAACATAAGCTTAAAGCCATTCATCCAAAATGTACTTACAAAGAAAATTTAGGTGCATAAATATGTAACCAAAATACTAAAAAGTAAAGCAGCGATACAACCATTTCTACTTGCGCCCATCATGTGTCTAGCTCCAAAACAAGTGAGTAGAATATATATTCCCTGAATGCTATTTCAAGGGCCTGCTTTGAGTATTGCATGTATCTTTCTTTAGTTGATACTTTTTTTTTTTTTTTGGTCCTGGGGATCAAACTCATGCTTGCCAGGCAGGTGCTTGTGCTACTGACTGAGCTAAATTTCCAGCCCTAGTTCATTTCTTGTCTTTTTCCTTTTTACCGGTACTGGGATCGAACTCACGACTGCCTGCTTGCAAGGCAGGCGCTTATGCCGCTGAGCTAAATCCCCAGCCCCAGTTCATTTCTTATATAATACTGTATTATCTCTGAAGACAAGCGTCCTGTTAATCTGATTACATATAGGTGATTATATTGTCTACCTCTGACGTGCAATTAGTACATGATCTGAGCAAAACTGTGCTTGAAAGGAAAGGGGGGCTTAAAGTGTTTTAACAATAAAATATGACTGTAACAACTTTCCTTTCAAAGCATTTTTGTAAACACAGATAATTTGCATTACACAATAGTGGAGGGAAATAAGGAATTGAGAAATCAAATATACATTTATGCATTCGATAACTATTTATCCTGTTTTTGCCTCACACTGTGACTATAAAGTGTTAAGGAGAAAATACAGGGACAGTAAGAAGGGTCTCTTCTTTCCTATCTATTATGTATTGGTCTTTCATTATTTATGGTGCTAGTAAGTGACACTGAGCTTCTGTAACACCATTTCTACAAGGTATCACTCATCTTCCTTCATTTATTTTACAGCTTTTGAATTTGGGTCAACAAGCCAATCTGGCCCCAGAACACTGATGGAGGGAAAATACACCAAAGGTGAGTTCAGGTTGGCCATAAACCTGGCAGAACATTTTGTGATGTTTTCAAAACTGGCTGGTGTCAACTGTTTGCCAGAATTTAAAGTTTATTTTCCTCTTCTGATGGTCTCAGCCTCCCTCTCTTTTCTCTCACCTCATTTCTTAAACTTTCGTCTCGTCTTTTCTATATTGCTTGTAAATAGAGGAAATCTCAAGCAGAAAATTGCCAGAGACATTTAGATGGTCTGCTCTGTCTTGTTTCGATCTTGTTTGGAACCAGCCACTGTACTTTTCCTTATCTCGAAACTAGGACAGACGATTTCTGAGAATGGTTGCATTTTCCCCTTCCATCTCAGTTTTTTATACTTTTCAAAGGACACTGTACAAAAGTTAGTCATTGGGCAATGAAAGGGAAAAGTCAGAAAACAAACCTTGAGGGCAAGGATGTGGCCGGTGTTTAAGGAAGTGTAGCTTCAAAGGTAACCTAGAATGAGGAATTCAGAGAGAGGTCTCCACCACAGCCACCAGCAGGAAGATGAGTGGCGCTTTCTTCCCAGGACTCTATTCCGAGTGCTCTTTGTGGATTGGCCCCCAGCAGCAGACCACTACTTCTTTGCAGAGGAACTGCTATATTACATGGACTCTGCGTTGAGAAAGGGAAGTGATTACACTCAAGTGTTAGCAAAGCCGGGGCTAACGTCAATCACTGGTCTCAGCACTTCAGGTGACAAGGATGAGCCAACAAGCAGGTGCTTCCTGTCAGAGGTACTTATGAGACACTGCTGATTCTCCGAAGGAGGAAGATTTTAGGATGAAGCAAATGAAAAAGAGAGGATCCAACTGTCACTAATTTAAAGTATGGATTGGATTTAACAGTGATCTGAGAAAGCTATTGGTTATTTTGCTTAGGCTTGTTTGGAGACCTATAGTCTGCTTTGACATTTCTATTGTATATACCATATCCGAATGAGCTAGAACTTAAGCTTTGTGTGTGAAGATCATTTTCCCTAGCTGGGTGTTTAAACAGGTTTTGCTCAAGTCTGTAGTTGCTTTGCTTTGCTCGGCAATATTGCCATGTTTAACACTGAGTACAGAATTGTATAACTTTATGCATCTTTGCTTTGGAGACTTTTTGAAGAATTCTTTTGGTTGTTCGCTTTTGGTCTTGAAGAACCATCTTTTTGGTACTTTAAGATATACTACTGTCCTTTTCATAGACCCCAGCAAGGTGAGCTATAAAGCCCCAGGATATTATTGAGTCATAGGTGTTGGCTGGAAATTATCATAACTAGCATTTATGCTTGTTCTGTTCAGTCTACTCTGCTACCTGTGATAATGGAGAATAAGGATATTCTAAATCCAGATTTTCATTTTGGTAAGAATATAGCTTCCTTTGTGAAAAGGGGTGAATGAAAACAATAATACTGGTGTTTAATTTCGGCTCACTTTGGTGAGGGTGAGACTCACCAGATGGTAAAGGAAAAGGTATGCCCTAGAAACTGCCAGTTCAAGTCTTATTTGATTACTGTAGGGTTAATGAGAGACAGGAATTCCTAAGCTGGCTCTTTACAGACTTTGGTTATCTCATTAGTTACTTTGATGGGTAAATGTCTACATACACAAATGTATTTATATTTGGCCTACATGATGAGAAAGATATGTTGGTTCCTTTAAATACGATTTTTCATTTTTTGCATTTGATAATTTTGTTGGCTGTCACACTTGTAGGAGTCAAGGACTGTAGGTGTGTTGTAGAAAGAATACATGTGGGGGCTGGGAATTTAGCTCAGCGGCATAAGCACCTGCCTTGCAAGCAGGCAGTCGTGAGTTCGATCCCCGGTACCGCTTTAAAAAAAAAAAAAAAAAGAAAGAAAAAAGAAAGCAAAGAAAGAATACATGTGAAGGGGGTATTACTGGGGATCGAATCCAAGGTTTTTGCCTTGAGTTACATCACCAGTTCCCTCCTTTTTTTTCTTTCAAGACAGGGTTGCACTAAGTCACCAACCAGCCTAGGCTTGGCTGGAACAATTCCAGAGAGCTGAGAAAAAATACTCTTTTTTGTGTGTGTGTTTTTCATTTTTACCGGTACCAGGGATTGAACTCACGACTGCCTGCTTGCAAGGCAGGCGCTTATGCCGCTGAGCTAAATACCCAGCCCCAAGAAAAAATACTTTTGATAATCAACTTCAGAAAATTTTTGGAGCAAGGGGTGCATTATAGTTATAAAATTAAACTTCTCCATAAGTAGTTTTTGGAGAAAATATTGTATCTGAATATTAGCTTCATAGCATTGATATAAGAGGTCAAGTTACTAGAAATCAGTGATCTATTTAACTTTTTTATTTGTCAAGTTGAAAAATACTATCATTCATGCTCTCATAGTTTAAGGAGGTAAAGTCTGTAGATTTTATTATAAATTGCTTGACTTGGGGGCTGGGGATTTAGCTCAGCGGCACAAGCGCCTGCCTTGTAAGCAGGCAGTCGTGAGTTTGATCCCCGGTACCGATAAAAAGGAAAAAGACAAAAAAAAAAAATTGCTTGACTTCTTATTTAGCGTTCTGGATATTAGATGGCAATCCAGTTTCAAGGGTATTCCCCTGCTGGAATACTTGCTTGTTTTTATGCCTCAAAAATGACTTTGTGACCACTTCAGAAAGAGAAAAATCATAGCAATTCTAAGCAAGGAGTAGGCTATTTCTTGTCACAGATTCTCTCTGCTCACGTCTTCTTCATTTAGGTTTACTCTACGTTGTTTCTTGTGAATGAATTCTAAAAGACAAGTTTTACAAAAAGGATATTTGAAAACCAGTAAAGTGTTCTTTAAAACTCTATGCTCAAATATATTTCACAACTAAAGTTCAGTTGTAGACTAAACATTTCAGGTTTGTTTAATAAATTCTAGTCATAGTTAATTTTTGAAAAGTGCGATTGCTAGACTTGGTGGCACACACCTGTAATCCCAGCCCTCAGGAGGCCGAGGCAGGATCACTGCAAGTTTGAGGCCAGTCATAGCTACAAAGTGAGTTCAAGGCCAGCCTGAAATACATAGTGAAACTGTCTCAAAAAGACAATGAATGAATGAATGAATGAATGAATGAAAAAGAATGTTATTCAAATCCAGTGTGCATACAAGTTACCTAGCAGTCTGGTTACAATGCAGATTCTTTTTTTTTTTTTTTTTTTTTTTTTGTCTTTTTCCTTTTTATCAATACCAGGGATTGAGCTCATGACTGCCTGCTTACAAGGCAGGCGCTTATGCCACTGAGCTAAATCCCCAGCCCCACAATGCAGATTCTGATCAGGGGTCTGGGCAAGGTGCTTTAGTCTAACAAGCTCCCAGGGAGGCTGCTGTGATCAGTGATCGGTGACTGGCCTGAAGCCACTTTGTGCAAACTGAGTAGTTGGTGTTTTTCTGGTGGTGGATAATATGGATATTATAGGGCTGTTTCCATGATAATTAGTCAGCTACTCTTGAAAAGAAAAGCCAGGTGTGGTGGCACATTCCTGTAATTCTGCACTTGGGACGTTAAGGCAGGTGGATTATCATAAGTATGAGGCCAGCCTAGGCTACATAGGAAGACCCTGTCTCAAAGTAATACAGTAAGTCAGTGATTGACAAATACCAGCATTTCTACAAGTGCTGTTAAAAAATAAGCTTAATACTTAGTGCTGGTAAATTAGAATTTTGGGAAGGGTGTAATTTTATATTTACAGTGTTGGAAGTCTAGTTTTCTAAGTAACTGATAAATTATATTAAAAAACCAAACTAAAAGGTCTTGGGATATAGCTCAGCAGCACAACTGACTGCCTGGCAAGTGCAAGGTCCTCAGTTCAATTCCTGATACTAAACCAAACCAAATAAAGTACTTTCTATAGCAAAATACCTTCAAAGTGTTTAGGGCTGGGGATTTAGCTCAGCAGCATAAGCACCTGCCTTACAAGCATGAGATTATGAGTTTGATTCCGGGTACAAAAAAAAAAAAAAAAAAAGAAAAAGAAAAATCCGAACTAAAAAAGCCTAAAATTACTTCAATGTGTGTGTTTTTTTTTTGTTGTTGTTGTTTTTTGTTTTGTTTTTTTGGTACCGGTGATTGAACTCACGACCTTGCACTTGTAAGGCAGGTGCTTGTGCCACTGAGCTAAATCTCTTTTCTGTATATGTTTTTAATACAATATGTTTAGAATTTATAATATAGAATATTTAGGTGAATTATTAGTGTTAAGTGCTAGTGTTCAATAGAATATAATCCATTAAACTTTAAGAGAATTCCACAATATGGTAAAGTATAATGCACAACTGGACAGAGTTGTTTTACAGTTTTATTCAATGACACACCAAATTCTGACAACAAGCCAAAATACAGCAGGCTCTCAATAAATAGGTTTTTAAATGGATTAATCTCAGTTGATGATTCATTGACTGTCTTGCATGTTAAGATAGGATTAATCTTCCTGAATTTGGTAATTATTTCTTCCAACAAAACTGAATTTCCAATTAAGAATGATGAATTTAAAATACACCCTAAATTATGTGTTTATATATAATAACTATATACCAAAACCTAGCACAGGGTGATATACACAGGAAGAGGGATAATCTCATGATATGTTGGAATGATAGATGTAGTTAGCCAAAATTTAATTATATTATTTAATGCATTTAGTCTTAAGTATTACTTTATTCATCAATGACAGAGAACAGAATAAATTAATGAGAGTATAATGATTTAAATCTTTAAATGTCTTCTCTTTGCTATCACCCTTCTTCTTCTAGAATACAAGCAGTCTAAAACCCCAATAACCTTCTGGAATCGGAACCTCACTGTCCACTTTGCATTTCTCAGTTGAAACTGCTAAATAGAATATAAATCCCACTCCTTCACTGTTTTCCTACCAAAATAATTGGTAATAATTTTTTTTTTTGTCTTTTTCCTTTTACCGGTACCAGGGATCGAACTCATGACCATGCACTTGCAAGGCAGGGGCTTATGCCACTGAGCTAAATCCCCAGCCCCTAATTGGTAATAATTTTTACATGAAAATAAGTGAAACATCATGGAGATCTAAAACTAATCTTGACAAAATAAATTGCTTCACTATACATCATAGCAGATACATCATTTTTTTTGTCCATAGAACTTCCTAACTTTCTGTAATTATCTTTACATAGTCCTTTAGTTGGAACTGTCTTAGCCTTTGAAGAATAAATGAGGCCCCTTTGTAATTAGTTAGCTATTCCTCATCTGGTAGAGGAGGGCCAGTACCTTCTGTATTTGCTGATCGCTAACAGAGGATCATCATGTTATGTGGGAAAAAAAATTTATCAGTAGAGGGACAGCCTACTAGTAATAACTTTTCATGAATGCTGATGACTGCAAATTGGTCCAGATTTAATATACATTTTCTCCTATCTCTTTATTTTTCTGGTACAGTTTTCAGTCAATCACATGCATGCAGAACCATTGTATTTTGTTCCCTTACATATTATTTTTCTTCAAAGAAATATTTGTGAAACAATTGAGTACAAGCCTCAAATGTAGATTATTCCATTTCTCTCTCTCTTTTTTTTTTTTTTTTTGTCTTTTTCCTTTTTATCGGTACCGGGGATCGAACTCATGACTGCCTGCTTGCAAGGCAGGCGCTTACGCCACTGAGCTAAACCTCCAGCCCCTATATCTCTTCAAATTCTCTATTTTTTGTTACAGTTTTCTATTCCGAAATTTGTAGTTTCCGAATGGCAGTAGTAGTTCCTTTCAAAACTTGGTCATGAGGGTTGTCCCTTCCAAGAAATACAGTGAAAATTTTGATTCTGGTGAGTGAAAAAGGAAAACCAGATGTGGCTACAGTTCAATCTCTTATATAGGTAGCCAAATTACAGACTCAGGGCAGACCTTCTCAGTAAATTCACTTATTGGGGACTACTTGTCAAATACCTAGCTAAGAATTGTGAAAGAGTGGGATTTCTGTGTAGGTGAAAGAAAGAAACCATTTTACTGAAAAAAGATGAAGTACTTCAGGGAAAAGAATTTACATGAAGAGTCAATGGGGCAGTTAGTGGTGGAAGGGGCACAGAGCTTGGACAGGAGAGGAGAGAAAGTGGATTGGTTTTAATCTTTGGCAACTTGTCTGGGTGTGGTTATGGTCAGAGGTGCCACTGGAATTGATTTCCTCTGTGGACTATGTCTGGTATAACATGATTTATTTAGGTCCAAAACTACTGTAAGTTTGGCTTCACAACATCACATATATGATCTAAACAGTGACTTGAACTGGGCAGTTTTGTGGTGGGATGTTATAAAGGTCTCATAGCTCATCATTTGTAGGTGGTAGCTGGTTAATATTAGATGCTTTCTATTTAAACAGTTACGGGTTAAGTATACATTTGTTCCTTCTGAAGATTCACCACCCTGTTGAGGTAAATATTCATTCTATTTGCAGATGAGGAAACTGAAGCTTAGAAAGAGGATCAGTAACTTCCCCAAGGCTACACAGCTAGTAAGTGATGGGTTTAAACTAAGTCTATTTGACCTCAAAATTATCATAAATGTAAAAAAAAAAAACTACCTTAAATGGAACATGGTTTTTCACAATAAATTTTTCTCCCTGATCATATAGATGTTTCAACCCATAGAAAGTTGGGATTTGTCCCAGCTTTGGCTATTTCAGTGACCTAAATTCTCTGGACCACTATTTTGTCTGTGAATAGGAATCCAAGTGTCACCCACATCTATCAGCTCCCAGAATTTCTTCACATTGTGGAGTCAGTGTTTGAGTCTGGCTTCCCTATTGACTCTGTTAAATATAATGCTATTTGCAGTAATACATGTATACTTTTATGACTGAGAACACATTACTCATATTATGACCTAACTACATAGGTTCTAATTGTAACCATTTGTTGCGTTTCCTGTATACCAGGAAATACACCAAGTGCACCACGTATACTCACGTCTGCTCCTCCCAACAGCTTTATTAGATGGATTTTACAGTCCCCATTTTATGTAGCTCAGGCTCAAAAAGGTTCGAGGGTTCCAAGGTCATACAGGTAGAGCAGTGAACCCAGAATTCTAGCCCTGGGTGTTTGACAATGAAACTGTATATATTTTCTAATTCCGCTCGAGGCCTGAAAATCGCGGTCATTGTTTAACCGCTGGTTTTTCCCCTTCTTTTCTTTTTAATAAATTATCATTAGCTCCCGTCCTTGTACTGTTCACTTTCTGCCTGCTTGTCCAATTGCTGGAGAAAAGCAGAGCAGAAAGAGCTTACTATATTCACGGCAAACGCCTCTTCACACTTTAAATTGACAGCGAACAGCATACGTCCCTAATGGCTTTGTGCCTCGGAACACTGCGGGTCTCCTTCCGCGCGTGTCGTCTTTCCGAGAATCCGCATCCTCCCGCTGAACTACGTTTCCCAACGTGCCTCACGGCCGAGAGCGTGAGTTGTCCCGCCCTTCTTTCCTCCTCGCCTATCACGCGGTCGCAGCGTGATGATTCAAACGTAAGGCCCGCGACGAGTGACGTCGTTCTGGCTCGCGACCGCGACGGCGGCCTAAACAGCGGCGATAGGCGCAATTAGCGGCGGCGACTGCAGGGACTACGACGGCGGGGCGGGCGCCGTGCGCAGAGTCGGGTGTAAGCGGGCGGCGCCGGCGGCTCCAACTGCGGCAGCGACGCCTAGGGCGGTGGAAGAAAAATCTCCACTAGCAGGCGGTCGAGTTAGGCCTCAGCGGCAAGGGGAAGGCTCGCGCTGTCCTCCGCGGGAGATCTCCATAGAGACCGTGAAAAACAGACGCGGGGGGCCGCGAGAGGCAGCCGTTCTGGATCCAGATCCTCGGTCTCAGCCGCCGCCACTCCCTCCGTCGCTGTCGGCGCGTTCGCACCCTCGACTTGGCCTTGCAGATTCGCGCGGCTTGGTGTGTCCGTGCCTTCCTGTGTGAGCACCGCGGGCGGACTTTGGGGCCTGGGCCGGGGCCGGGCGGGGGAGGCCCTAAGGCCGCCGCCTCTGCCTCTCCGGCCCGGGAGCGGGAAGCCGCCGAGGCTCAGCCATGGCCTCGGGAGCCGGAGCCGGAGCCGGAGGAGGAGGAGGAGGAGGGGGCGTTGGCGGCGGCGGCAAGATCCGGACGCGTCGTTGCCACCAGGGGCCAATCAAGCCTTACCAGCAGGGGCGACCCCAGCGCCAGGTACGGACTCGGCTGCGGCGAGGGCCCAGGAGACAGGGAGGGAGCGGGCCGGGTGAGGCCGGCGCCCCACGTGGAGCGGACGGGAGGGCGGGAAGAAAGGCCTGAGTGAGGCCCCGGAGCTCAGGCCGCTGGGGCGGCGACGGGAAGTGGGCTGAGACGGCCGTCCTCCGGCGCACACGTGGGGCTTGGCCTGCTCCCCAGCCTTGGGCCCGGGGCTTTCCGGTGGCCGGCGCAGGGCGGGAAAGGAAATTGTAGGCTTGAGAGCCGTGGGCTTCGTTTTGGCGGTTATTGAGGGTTTGATGGTTTTCCTCGTCTCCTCTCGAAGAAGGGAAAAGACGAGGTTGGAAGCCCTGCGGCTGCTGTCTACTGCAGTCGGCTGTGGGTTTGGGGTACGTGGGGAGGGGTCTGCCTCGACTAATCGATCTCCGGGGCACACAGGGAATTGGGGGCGCTGTGAACACGGAAAGTGGAGTAATTTCGTCTAGCTTGTTAAATAATTTTTGGTCTCTGCCTGAGGCCCTCCCCAGCCTAAGAAAATTGGCCTAGCATTTTTTTTCTTTAATTGGGTTATAGTTACCGTGGCACTGGGGCATTTTGAAAGTCCCTCTTCACCCTTACGTCTTTTCTCCGCTGCGCGGCTCTTCCCTTCCCTCTTCTCTCCTCCCCCCTTTTTAAGTTGGAGGCTGGAATTGGGCAGTTCTCCACAGTTGTCCAGGTCTCCAGCTCTGATCTCATACAAAAAATATTTTAATAGGAATGGGACATTTTCTAAAAGTTTGGGTACTTTTGACACGCGAGGAGTGTTAGTAGTCTTAGCCGCCATATGCTCTTGGATGTTTAGAATTGTAAAAAGTAGTTTATTCTAATTGTTAGTGAAATGTTTTCGTAAGTTGTTGAAGTGATACTTTTTGTGTTGAGTTAGGAAAACGGTTAAGATGCATTTTAAGCCACTTCTCAATGGCAATAAGGTAGGAAGTATGTTTTAAACTTGTTAAAAAAACAAAAATACAGTAAAAAGTTGCACTGTTAGAGGGGAAGTTTTAGATTACTTTATTCTGGATAATGAACACTTAACGTTTTGTTGAAGTGATACCGTTAAAAGATTTTTAAAATGTTGGAGGAAATTTTTGATTAAAATTTGTGGTTGATGTATTAAGTAGTTCTCTACCAAGAATTAGAAACAAAACTACCACTGTTTTCCCCCAGATATGTACAGAAAGAGCTTGGATTTTGAACATTTTTTTCTCTTTATTTTTATGAGAAACATTTAAAATTAGAATTCAAGTCACAGTCCTGACCATTTAATCTTATTCAAACTTTTGTGGAATGGAAGTTAGACATACGTGCTTTCTATTTCTCCTAAAATGTCTGAACTTTCTTAGCTCTTCTGCTACAAACAGAAAAATGAAAAACTTTTTAACTAATACCACTGGATAGTCTGAACAACTTTACAGGGGAGCTAGTGTGTTCGAGGTGACAAAAGATGTAATCACTGCTTATTTTAAAATATTAAGATGGGGGCTAGGGATTTAGCACAGCGGTGCAACTGCCTGGCAAGCGCAAGGTCATGAATGAGTTCGATCTCTGTACTCCCCTTCCCACCAATCTTAAGATTAAAAATTATTTAGCTTTAAAATGTACATAGATTGTCATTAAAGAGATGGCGCTTTAATAGTATAATACCTAAAATCCAAGTTGTTAGAGGTGTATCACTGCTCCCTGTATGAGATGTGCTCGGCTTTTTGACTCAGCTGTTTAACTGAACAAGAGAGTACACTGTAAGTGTTATTTAATACTGACAGAAGCTACCAAAGAAAAGTATTCAGGAATATGTAAAAGGGTACTCTCCTATTTATTGGTTTTTCTTTTCAGGTTAGAATAAGGACTTTTTTAAACTCCTTACTCGAACTTTGCTGGACCTGCTTACTGTCTACTATCCTAGGCTTAGGCTGTCAACTGGATGTTTTGCAATAGCTGCTGAGTCATCATGAATAACAAGGAGATTCATGACGTGGCATGTTTTATACTATGTTATTTGATGAAGTATCCTAGGATTTCTAGGCAAAACTGAAGCGTGTGCTTGTGTAGTAGACGGCAGAATATGAATGAGATGTCTGGCACTATAACTAACTCTACGTTTGCCAACCTGTGAGGCCAACTGGCTAGTGCAGTCCCTTGGTACCTGTGACATCTTGCATGTGTTGTTGGCTTGTAATTTCCTGTTTTGACTTTGGGTTTAGCTATGCTGAGAAGTTCAGCATTTTCCCCTTTGAATTTTTGTTCTTTAAAATGTCATTGTGCTTGAAGTAATGGAGAGAGAGATCCCTTGAGTTGTTTAACCATAGGGTAATGACAGTTAAGAATTGTAGCAACAGGGGCTGGGAATTTAGCTCAGTGGTATTGTGAATTTGATCCTTGGTACTGATAAAAAAAATTGTAAGAAACAAAAATGAAGAGAAGTTCCGAACATGCAAGTTGATCGTTTTCTTTTGCCTGCTGCCCCACCTCCTTTACCTTTTAGCCCAGGCACATGTATGAAGGGTATTTTTCTCGTTGGGAGCGAGCAGGTCACTAAAGAGAATGTTCTTGTCACCTTTTCATTCTCCTTTCCCATTTCATTTTTTGTGCAGTTCTCTGGGGGAGGTTATACTAGTTGTTTTTCTTAGTAGCCACTAAACAAAATATCAGCACATGGGCAAGTTAGAACTTTGCTTCTAGGAGAAACTGCTGCCACCTCCTGGTGAGAGGGTACTACTTATTTTTCCCCCTTTTGGGTGTGTGGTTTGTCTTTGGTTTGGAGCCAAAGGAATCCACTTTTTTTTTTGGTCTTTTTCCTTTTTATCAATACCGGGGATCGAACTCACGACTGCCTGCTTGCAAGGCAGGCGCTTATGCCGCGGAGCTAAACCTCCAGCCCCCGGGAATCCACTTTTTTTTTTTTTTTTGTCTTTTTCCTTTTTTATCGGTACCAGGGATCAAACTTACGACTGCCTGCTTGCAAGGCAGGCGCACTTTTAATTGTAGATACAGTTTGTATCTTGTAAGTCAGTTTCTACATTTAATTAGTTTTAAAAAGGAGAAAACAAGGAAGTATCCTTTACATCAATAGTTTACATGTGGTGTTGATGAATTGTTTTCTGTAAAGGAATGGAAAGTAAACTTTTAGACACTCTACTGCCAATTCTGTTTTCTTTTTATAATCCTTTAACAGATGTCAGCTCCATTCTTAGCCTATGAAAGAGCAGACCAAAGGCTAGATTTGCCCCATATGCCACGTTTCTCTGAACTATTGTTTATGTGATAGCATGATGTTTGTTTGTTTGTTTTGTACTTTGCCCAAATAAGTTATGTTCTGCCTAATAGCTCAAGGTTAAAGACTGTTCTCAGTTTTGAAAAGGAGGGATATTTAAAGGCTGAATATTTAATTCATTGTAGAAGTTACTACATTGTAGAAGTTGACTTTTGTCTTTGGTTTATCCTAGTTGCTTAATACCATCAGCAGATGCGGAAATGAAAATAGTTAATTGGGAAAATACACTAATATAGAGTTAAACTGAGTTTTAGTTTTTATCCAGCCTTGACTTGACCAGTTTAAATTCTGTTTAATTTCCTATTTTGTAAAATAAAAATTGTCGTGAAGGTGAAATGAGATTATAACTTACAATTATATTGTATTTGTATATGTATAGCTCAGCAGCCCAGTGTCTGCCTGGCAAGTGTGAGGTCGTGAGTTTGATTCCTGTACCCCAACTTTTCCTAGCTAAAACAGAAAAATTGTTGTGCTGAAATAGAGTATTTGAGTCTAAACATCTTTACATTGTCACTGAATTTTGTTACCTCTTAACCTCTTCCCTTATTGGTATTCAAGTTCCTTTATACATTTAAATATAATCCAGTAG